TATAAGTTGTCTAAATAAATAAATAAAAATATATTGAGAATTATAAAGAACTTGGATAAAAGAAATAGAGCCTTTAAAACATTAGAAAATGAAATGTACGAGTTGATAATGGCATGAAGTTTGTTATTCTACTGGCCTGTCAGTAAAAAGCATTCCTCTGTTAAGCTTAATATATATTATGTTAGCTCCTATACAGTAAATGGGTTCAGTTAAAAGTTCTATTGTCCACACATTTCCATGCTTACATGAATATTTCCATTTTTCCAATTGAACAGTAAAGGGTAAACTTATCTGGCTAAATATTCATCATGTTTTTGCATGCTTTTTTAGTTACACCTCTCTTTTTTAACCAAACTAGACTGCCACACAGCTTAAAATGGTGGTCCAGCCAAAAACATGACAACTTTTACCATCACCATCTCAAACTTGGGAAAAGTGAATGCATGAATTTTTGGGAGCAATCAATATTTGCTCTTTCGTCAAGTTCCCAAATGATTAAATTGTTGTTATTACTCTGAACAATTTATTTTGAGCCATATGTGTATATATACTCCCACATTCCAGTTTACTTATGTACCCAGTCATGAAATAAATTGTCTTTAAAAAAGCAACAACTGTTCTAGCTTGGGTTGGTTGATTTTTTTAAAAAAGAGTGTTAGCTATTTGATAACTTCAAATTTCAGTGGAATGGCACATGTTGTATTTTATCACTTTTTTTAGGGTTCTCCAGAATTTGTAGCTTCTACGGAATGTGTGCACTACTTTGAGTGGAAGACATACCTGGCATGCAAGAAGGACTTATTCAAACCCACTGAAGAGGTAACACAAGTTCTAGGCAAACATACAGTGATTTTTACTGCTATGCTGTGCGTGTTTACGTACCAGCGGTTCACTGAGGTCTTCATCTGAAGCTCTCCTCCATGTTCCTCCCCTAATGAAAGGGGTGGGGGGAGATTTCAAGGAAGAGAGCTTTGGTTCCCTTGTATAATACTAATTTTATTTATTAGTTTTATTATTCTTATGTCGTATTTGATTTTGGTAGTATATTTATGGATTTTTATTGTTATTGACCTCAATGTAATGGTGGAGTTTCTTGTGTTGTACATTATATTGTTTATGTTTCATATACAGATTTTATCATGAAGTAAGCTGCCCAGAGAGCCTATGGTTAGTGGGGCAGATATAAGTTAATCAAATAAAGTTTACACAGGAGTAATTCTCAGTAGGTTCAGTGGGTCTTGCACCCTAGCACAACCTTCTGTAATGTGGTGCTCTTCAGAAATTCCAAATTTCAACCTCCATCAGCCCCAGCTGGGAATTGTAGTCAAGAACACTTGGAAGGCTGTCCAGTTTTAGAACTGTGATATCAGTTTTCCATACTCTTGCATATTCAAAGATATCCTACCCATTAGGAGTGCTGAGGAATATCAATTATTGTCAGGTTTCTAGTGATGTCATGGTGCAAATGGCCACTGTAACCTATAACTTATCAGCCCTAGTCAGGATATCAGTGGTGGGGGATCATGGGAGCTGCAGGCTGTAATGTCTGGAGGTCGTAAGTGTCCCACCCATTATTTTGCCTGTTTCTGCTTTTAATAATGTATTAGTTTTGAGGTCGAGTTCTTAAGGTGTTCATGAAGCTTCAAGCTTGAGGACTCCCTTGCCTCTTCAGTTTGGCAAAGGAGAAGGTAAAGGATGAGGAAAGTAGTGGGTATTTGACAGTGGTGAGACCCGCCAAACCCTGTTGTATTTTCCAGTATAATAATTGGGAATACAATTAAATGGAAGTGACTGAAGTAAGCCTTTTGGAGACTGAGCTGAACCAAAGCAAAGCGTTCATATTCCCAGTCAAACTTCTCATTGACTGGGAATCTGTCTTCTCATTTGGCCTCTAACCAATACAACACTGCTCATTATATTTTCTCCAAAGCGGTAAGAAATTAGCATGGTGGGCTTCAGGAAAAACTGGTGAGGTAGATAAGTGTGTGTGTGTGTGCGTTTGGCTCAGAGATAGAAGTTTGTGTTCTGAGCTATGCCTCTCTACTCTCTTCCTGACCCTCCATGCAGTAACTCTGCCACTTTGCTTGCTGCCGCCTGCTCACTTGCCTAAAGGAGTGGCCAGCGGGTGGCCACAGCAAGAGGAGCAGTAAGGGACCAGGAGGTAAGGAGGTGGCAGAGGAAGCTGCTGAGTGCTCTTGTCCTGGCCTGAATGAGGGGGTTTGTCTTGCTAGGCTGTGGTGGTTCTTTCCTGGACCTCTACTGTTCTAACTTGCATGTTCCTAAACATCCTGCCTTTGAGCCATTGTGTGGGAACACTGGTAGCCTTGAACGTTTGCCCATTCACAGGTAGCCCCCAGAGACCTCACTCAGCCATTCAGCAGGGCCAGACGGGTATTGTGTGCTTGCATCAGCTATGCACATTGAAGTGTGCACAGTTCTCTGTTGCTCAAGTGGAGTGCCTGTGTTTCGTTGTCAGAGTTACATCCCGTAATGCCTTTAGGTATGTAATCCTTTTATATCCCTGTTGTGTTTAAATCTTTAGGTACCCTGCTATGTATTTGATGAAGCCTTGAAGAAACGTGATTTGAACCCTTTGATTTTGACTTCTGGAGGCTACTTGGTAGAAGATTCGGATGAAGACGTAGAACTGTACATCAATATCTGTAGAAATATAGGTCTGTACCTTCATATACATGCAATAGTTCAGCATGCTTTCTGTAAGTGTGTGTGTGTGTGTGTGTCTGTCTGTCTGTCTGTCTGTCTGTCTTAACTTGAAAGGAGCCATCCTGAGGACAGCCTAGTACGTATTTGTTAGCCAGTTATGTTTTAGCACCCCAAGCACAGAAACTCCCTTTCCTGCACCCTGCTGTTTATTATTTCATCCAAGGTCCTTTGTGTTGACACTTATTGAATCTTCTCTGCTCGTACATCTGCTCTCCCTCATAACTGCTTTGCTTCTTTCCATTGTTTTTTCAGTTGCTTCTCTGAGCTCATTAAAGGATTCTGTCTTGATACTTAGAGGCTTTTAGCTTATATTTATGAGCAGAAGATGGCAGTACGATGCTGAATGTTCTAGGCAGTTGTGAGTCCCCAGGCAGTTGTTTCAAGCGACTTGCTAATGGCATTGGCCCTGTGCCAAGTCATCAACCATTTTGAAACTACTGAGTAAGATGCTGGGCATGGCCAAGAGTTTTCTGCAGGGAGTTGCTCTTGCTGATACCCATGTAGCATTTCATAGATTTTTTGAACATTTCTGCTATCAAATAATTGCAGCAGCAGCTGACTTGGATCCACTAAAATGCCATTTTAATTAATATTCTCTTGTCTGAAATGAACAAATCCTTTAACATTTGAGAGTTGCTTTTAGGGTATATATCCAAAATTGGTTATTGCATCAATTACATAAATGGAAGAGTGAAGTGAATTATTTATAATAAAAAGCAAGCTCAACATTACGCAAAGAGGATTCAGTGACTAACATTTCATCATACTTGTATTTTTCCAACACTCACAGTTATATTTTCATACTCATGCACCTTCCTCTGTTTATGGATAAAATTCATCACCATGTTCCCAAATCCATGGGAATATTATCTTATTTTAATCTTCTTTTGCTTTTAGTTTTTTCTACTATATTTAAGCAGCTTGTTTTTTATATTAGGGATTTTTCTAATAGGAATGCTCATGTCTTTCCAAACTTTTGTTGTATGACTCTTTGCAGCATGAGTCAAAGTTGATTGCTTTTCCTAATACAGTCACACACCTACTGATAATGCTTAAAATCTGCTGGAAAGAGAATTAGCAATAATTGCAGAGCACAACTGTTAGTGTTACACACTTTCCACCAAAAAACCGACTAGATGGGCCAAGAAGAACCCCGGGGAGGCTGTAGGTAACATACTACTTGCATTTCCAGGCAGAGTCCCTCTTGCTTCCCCATTCTTATACTATATCATGTATCTCTTTTCATCTCTTTAAGAGTTGTAAGATTTGTTTAAATATTTATATGTTCCAAGAACATTCTCTCTTATACCTGCTTCTTAAAGGATCTGCTATTCTGAGCATATTCACTTTCTAAGACTCTTTCTTAACATTTCCCATATTATTTAATTACCTGGTGTACACACTCAAAATAACCCATGGTGAGCTGCAGTACATGCCAAGAAGAATTTAAATAAAAGTAATAATGTGTGAACCCAGGTGACTGGCATTGTATGAAAATTAAACTATCCTCATTTAGCCCATGGTCTGTTGTTGGATTAAGCAAGGTTTGTTTAACCTTCACATAGCCCCCACCTCATACAATATGGGACTCTGCAGTTGAATGTAGAATTTCAAATAGCCTCTTGCACCTACTGTGACATAAAGAACCCATAGTGACCTGCTGCAGCTGAACATAATGAAATAAAGATTTAATTCATCCGTAAATGAATGCATTTATTGGAACCTGTTTGACACCTCCATGACATCAGTGATAGTCTGGCAGTTGGAATCTTCCACACGCTTCTTGGTAGGGCTGATATGTCTGGACCCAAGATTTACCTAAATATTTAAAGGATTTTTAGGCTGCCTTACAGGATAATATCAGGATGGTTGCAGACATATTTAAAAAATCTCTGTTAGAATAATACTTTGATTTGAGCTACTCAGAGGTCACAAATGCAGATGCTTTTGAAATTGCTGGATTTATGCATCAGGGAAAATGTTACAAGGTGGTTGAGGATGGGAATTGTAGGGAGAGGCTGCTGTGATGTAGCCTTCCTGACATCCCATCATCAGTCTGTCTACTCTGTTCTCTCTCACCCCCTTCATCATGCCTGATGAAAAGCTCTCAAACATTTCACAGTTTTTGGAGCTTTTGAGTGGCTCTAATAAAAAGTCTTTCCAGAGAGAAAAAGAATAAACTTTATATCAGGCCTTCAACAGATTGGAGTAGTATTTCTAAAGCTCTTAAAAGTGTTATTTCTCTGTCCATCAGTGATAATTAGGGGGATGAGGAGAGTTACTTTACTTAGGGTATAATCTTATGTATGTTTGGGTGCAATCCTATGAATGTCCCGGCTAGCAGGGGAATGCTAGGAGTTGCAGGGTCCCCTTTTTGTTTGAATATGCATCGATTGTGCCTTTCTGATCTTATTTCTCCTATACAGTTAAAATAGTGGCATAATTTCTGACATTGTATTAACAGGGAAGTCATCTGATAAAACCAAGAATTGTCCAGATCAAAGTGCAGCATGCCTGTTGAAGGGTGGTCAGGCATATGACCTGGGGCATCCCAAAGAACAACTCAAAAAGCTTGATAAAGATAGGTATGTCTCAAAGCCTTGAGATTTTTTTAAGGGATTAGCATTTGGAAACTAGTATTGAGCAAGTGGCACAGGAGGGATATAATCGTCAAGTAAAAGTGTAAAGTTTAGCGCTCATACAATTGTGTAGCCATTGAAAATACTTGAGAGTACCCATAAATATATGTGGGACACAGAAATAGCTATAGCAATAATCTTTATTTGCACTTTGAATTTAAAATTGTATTCCTTCTAGCTAGAGGGAAGATAGTGCTTAAGATGATGATTCATGTGTTTGTATAAATATTTAAGTTGTTTGTTCTTGCTTTCCTGGATGTTACAGGAGTTATGGCTGCTGTTTCCATGTCTTTATCTTGCTTTCACACTGGTGTGTTGTAATTCTATTTCTGACTCCATTTTTGACCCTGGGAGTTATATGTTGAAAGGTGGTCTAGAAAGCTAAATCTTTTTCCATCCTCCTTACATTTATTAGAAATGTTAGATCTGTATGAAACTAACGTGCTAGCAACTATTTAAGTATAAATTACTTGAAAAGCTGAGAAAAATAACAGTGTCCTCTACCTTACCACTTTCATACTCTGTGACTTCTGTCTTGTACTACTTCTTTTTCATGTATCTTCCATGGCTTCATCTTCTAGGCTTTCACTGAGGTATGAAAGGACATTTAACAGTGAGCAGAGGCCAGATTTCTGCAATGACCATGATCCGGCAGTGACTGTGACATTTGTGTGTCCACAGGGGAGAATACAAGAGGTAGGGTCCTGTTGCCTGGATAGAAAAATCAATGGATTGAATTTTCCTTAAAATAAACTGGATTATTTATGCTTCCCAAGATATTTTCCTGCTGGAGGCAAATGTGCTTCACTCTTCCAAATTAAGGTTCATAGAAGATGGTCAGATTATTTTGGCACTTGAGGCAGACAATTCCACAAGTATGTCTCCCCTCTCTTGGCAGTAAAATGCAATAATGAATTGCTTTCCTCTGAATACCCCAAATCAGCTGCCTGAGATCATGGCTATCTTATTTAAAGCATTTAGGATACAATGGCTTACCTCCCAGGATTATCTGAACCTTGGTTTAGATTGTGACTTGGGGATCTGCCTAGTTCTAAGCCAAGTTAATTAAAGGCTTGATCTGGTGTCTTGGCTGTTTGAGGAGATTTATACTCCACATTTCCTGTCTGAAGGAGGACACTCAGGGCAGCTTATGACAACCAACTTGTCTCAACAATTAAGACTGTTAAGTAACATTGCATAGAATAAACCGCAGTCCCAAGATTATATGTGGCAGTGAGTTGCGATTCCAAAGACAAATCAAAAGGTCAGGGCCCTTTTTCCACATATGTCTGAAGGCCTTAAATTTGTCTACCCCTGGTTTAGATCATCTGAACTGGCTCTGTTCAGTTCCCCAATGGCAAGCTTATAATTACAAATGAATGTAGGGTAAGCCAGCAATTATTATGACTAATGGTTATTATGTAAATTAAATGTGTGAATATTAAATGAAAATTGTTCATATATGTTGTACCCCCAGGGGAGTTCAGGATCCAGGCTTAAGCAAGGGTATACCTACTTTCCTTAGAGTTTTGATATAATTCATGATTCTCATCTATTTTGTTGCATGTTGTTATTTCTGTGAAAGGAGAGTGTGCTAATTCTGGAGACTTGCATCTTACCTGTGAATTATGGGGTTGGACTTTAGATCTGTGCTAAACTTCTATGTTATCCTTTTAAACTCCAGGACACCCAACCCAGACTCACTGCTCAAAGTAATTGCCGTTATGAGATTGAATGGGTCACAGAGTCTGCCTGTCAAAGGGACTACTTAGAAAGTAAGAGCTGTATTCTGAACAGTGAACAGCATGGGATTTATGTGAATTTGACACCCCTCAAACAGGCTCCTGGTAAGCATTGTCCTTTTCTTAAGGATGGAACTAGGGCAGTAGTGCAAAGAAGCTTTTAGTTACAGCAAAGGAAGAGATAGCTCCAGCATTAGTGAAGATGTGCATTCTAGTCATATATGGCATTGCATTAGAATTCTTTGCTTCAAATGGCATTGTATTAGAAATGTGTTTCTCTCTATAAAGAACCCTGCATAACTAACCCTTCAGTGAGGAAAACTAGGTTAAAAAGCCTTCTCAGTGATGCTAACATTGTGCAGAAAGACTCATAATGGAAACAAGTGCTTCCCCCCACACTTCTGGAGTGGTACAGTCTTGTGTGGACTGTATCCTGTGCCTGCATTAATTAAGCATTAATCATCTCAGAATCAGGGCTTGTGAGAAAGCAGAATATTGTACTGCAGACCTTGAAGGAACAACTGTTGAGTTCTTATGGGGGCTTTAGTGTAAATTTGAGGATGAAATAGAGAAGAAATGTGTCATTTGTGAAAGAATCCAGCGTTAAAATATTTGTCTGCGAAATCAAAACGTGTATGGCTTTGTCAGGGTGGGCAGACCTCATGATCTTTTGGACTTCAACTCCCAGCATTCCTGATACTCGCCATGCTGGGAAAGGTTTCAGGAAGTTGATGTCTGAAACATCTGGAGATCTGTCTTCTGCCTGTCCCAGCTTCATGCAGCTGCATCTGTAAGGGTGTGTTCACATGAGCTTTTGAAGTAGCTGCTGAGAAGGGCTACAGCCTTGGGAGCCTCGTAGATGAACTGATACACAAACAAGTCATAACAGCATAATAAACTGGTTAGGCAGCTGTTACGGCTGTAAACGGTTATTCCAGTCTGTGCAGTTGCCAAATACTTTTACTGAAGGCATGTTTCAATAATATGCTCCTTTTCTTCAGGTTACGTGTCACCTTACGTTGCTAAAGACAATGAAGAGTATTACTATTACTTGAATGTATGTGGGCAAATTGCTGGAGGTCCGTGCACTGTTGAATATGTTTCATCCTGCCAAGTCAAGATTCAAAATGGCCAACGTAAAGTTGCAGGAAAGTTTACAAATCAAACCCTCAGGTGAGTCGTGTCCAAATTCTCCTAAGATGTTTTCTAAACAGTATCTGTTTTTTAACAAAGGTTTAAAACCCTTTTAGATATAGTGTTGCCAAAGTTGCATGTGAAGGGCAATCCTGTTGGATGTTGTCTCTGATGAATAATTGGCACTTTTTCTGTTTTAGAAGAAAAATCTAATTAGGCAGATGTGATTTTTGAGCAAATGTATCTGACTTGAAGGAATATCCTGTACTTCTGAATGAGGGCATTCTCACAATACTCTGAGTAGTAGTCCAGCCCTCATGTTTCTTTCAGTTCTGTCATTTTTGTGCCCATAATATTTCTTTCTTTATGCTCTTGCCTTTAGTTAGTTTGTGGATCCACCAGATTGCCTTAAGCAAGACAGACTTTATTTGAAGTTGTATGAGGGGAGAAATGATTTCTACATTAAGTAGGAATATTTATTAGTGAAACAATCAGCAAATTAATAGTACATTAACCTGAACTGAGAAATGGAAAACCCACATGGATTTATTTATTTAAAGTTTTTATATGCTGTCCCAATACTAAAAGTCTCTGGATTGCTTACAGAAAACAAAACAAAAACAAAAAACCCCAGCTATAACAACAACAATAGACAACACACAATTTAAACTTAAAATTGGCAATCCAGAAACCAGAACTAACTACCTAACTAAAATCTCTGGCAGCAATGCCTCAAAACTTGGAAGAAAGTAACACCTGTTTATTTTTGCAGCTGTGTGCATTCAAATGCTTAGCCCAGAACATAAATATTTTAAGGCTGCACCAGGTATAAGAACTAAGCTGTGCTACTTCCTTTTGTAGTAAATTGTAGCATTCATGAACCTGCCATACATGTCCCCTGGAGTTTGAAGTGTTTATGGAAGAAATACACAATTGGCAACCCCAAAATGGCAGAGAATAACTACTACATAATAAGAAAAAGTAACTTTTCTAGAATGTAGCCTTTGAGCAATCCTATATGTGCTTGCACAAGAAGAATTCTTATTCAGCTCAGTAGTGTTTGCTTCTGAGTAGACATATGTAGGATTCTATTGATGGTCATATAGTTGACTAGTAGTGTTAAGTAGGAAGTGGCTGAAATCCTTCTATCTAAGAATGCCAAGTTAGGGCACAGAAAAAGGTCAACATCAAGGGGGTGGGGTCTGGGTTCCAGCAGGGTACTTTCTAAAGGCACAATTCTCCCAGAAAACCCCACTGTTCCATTGGTCTGTCTGGACATGTTAATGCCACTTTTGATGCAACTGTACCTTTAACATGCTCTGAATGAAATAACTTGAAGATTCAGTACATAAGTAGTGGGCGAGTTCACATGGCGCAGCAGCTCATCCTGTAAATAAGTTGCACAGTGTGAGTAGTCCATGGAACAACCCGCAGTATGTTCAACAGACAGTTGGGTGCACCTGGGTAGTTCCCCTGCAGGAGTCTCAGGGGATTCCCCAGTAGGACCTGCTTGCTGCCTCCCTCTGCTGCATCTGCAACTCCTTTCGCAGTCATGGCAGCTCCCCGCCCCCCCATAAGAAACCAGGAAGAATGGTCATGTCATGCCAACCTAGTAAGCGGGCGGCAATTCTGGTGACTACACATTGGAACTATTTCATCAGATTCCTAACATTTGAGCTAAAATGGATAGTTAAGACTTCTGATTAGAAACCTCCGTGGCTATTAAGTCCAAGGTGTTCATCTGATGCAAGCCATTTTCATTTGCTTGTGGGGCACTGGGAAGTTCTTTGCCTAACATCAGGTTGTTGTATCTAATCAGAACCATGTCATTGTGGTTTTGAAATCAGGTATGCTGACGGTGACCTCATCTTAACCTATGCTGGAGGAGATACTTGCAGCTCTGGTTTTCAGCGAATGACTGTCATAAACTTTGAATGCAACCAAACAGCAGGTGATGGACAAGCTGGTTCTCTAATACATGTGGATTGCTTTGAGCAATATGTTTGCTTTTCCTGTAGATACATTAGGAACAGCTTTTTTCAGGCCCAAGGAGTAGATACTTATTTATGTTTATTTGTTGCATTTATGTTCCACCTTCCCTCCAACGAACTCATGGTGCTATGCATGGTCATCCTTTGCTCCATTTTGTCCTTACTGCAACCCTGTGAGGTAGGTTAGGCAGAGAGGCAGTGAGCTTCATGGCAGTGTGGGGATGAGGACTTGGGACTTCCCATTCCTTGTCCAGCACTAGGTTTAACATAAGCTATGGAGTCCCTGGTACCACCAGATTGGATTTTAAGAGAGAATTGGGCCAAGTCATGGAGGAAAAGGTTCCAGGGACAGCTGGTCCCAAGGGCTACATGTCCCTCCAGATCAGAGGCAGCATGCCTGTGTGCACCACTTGCTGGAGAACATGAGTGAGTGCTGTGGCACTCACGTCTTGCCTGGGGTGTCCTGCCAGCAGCTGTCTGGTCACTGCATGGACAAAGTAGTGGGCTAGAAGGCCCCTTAGTCTTATCTGGCATCTTTCTTCTTACCTTCTAGCCATTATATACCACTGCCTCTCTAGATACTAGATGCTGTTTCTTTTGTGAGTAGAGGAAGATGGTGTGCGGTATTGCAGAAGGTTTCAGCTATCGTTGATAGTCTTACGCCTCAGTGGGAAGGGCTGAAGTGATCTAAGAAGGGATGTATGAGGAATCCATTTGCGGGTGGGAATGTGTCAGATCCCCCAGGCATGGCTCCCTGGGCTTCAGTCCACTTTGCAGTGGCCCTGAGTCCCAAGTTCCTGGACAGCATGGCCCAGCGTTCCTTTAGGTAGCTGCACCTGATGGGGGAGGTTGCTAGTTGTACAACTGGGGTTCTGCAAGAATTTGAGGAGTTCCTTTCAGCTCCACTCATTTTGTAGGACTGGTTGAGCACCAGAGGAAGTCTAGGGGGATGTATTCTGAAAGGGTTCATCCTGTCCCCTAGTTATCAGTATGCCATATACCAGTATATTAATAACAGATTAATGGAGTGAGGACATATAATTAAAAGCCAACAGAACATTCATGTTCAAAGGCAGTTTGCTTGTTTATTAGATTTTTATCCTGTTTTTTTTTTTCTTAAAACTCAAAGTGGCTTCCATCATTCTCTTCCTCCTGCTCTCAGTCTTATCCCCACAATAATCCTGTGAGGCAGGTTGGGCTGAGAGTCTATGTGGCCCAAAGTCACCAGTTGATTCCGTGGCCAAGCAGGGACTAGAACTCAGGTTCTCCTGAGTTCCAGTCCTACGCTCTTAATCACAACACCACACTTGCTTCTTGTGGGGGGTAATGTGGCTGGCTTTGTCCCCCTTTATGCTCTGCTTCCCAGAACCCTTAGATTGGCCGTTACTGAATACACAACCTTTCTCCACCTGGTGTCCTCCAGATGTTTTGTATTTCAGCTCCCATCTGCCTCAGCATAGCCAATGGTAAAGAATACTCAGAGCTTGAAGCTCTAAAACATCTAGAAGACACCAGGTTGGGGAATGCTGCCCTGCTCTAGCCCATTCTTATCCAGCAGATTTTTACATAGCTCAGTCCTGAATTCTTCAGAATCTAAATTCTTCCAGTTTGTATTAAAAGTCAATTCTGTACCCAGCACTTTAACATACACTCTTAGCTGAGGATTAAACCTCGGCCTGCTATGGTACTTGAAGGACTGCCTACTCTTACATGAACTTTCCCAGCTATGAAAAGTACCATTAAAGAACCTTTTCTGAATGCACTGCATTTGATGGTAAGATGGATAGCTGTCAGGTTGGTGGTGGTCCCTGTGCTATGGAACTCCCTCCCCTTATCCACTTGTCATTAAGTCTGGCATCTTTTTAGATGCCAGGCTGAATAGGCTTTGTCTTAAGCTTTAAAAGTTTTTCAGCTGGTTTTTAGCTCCTTCAGAATCATCTGTAGCTATAAGTTCTATTGATTTGTATGTCATAAACCACTTTGAGAATGTTTTAATGGAAGACAGAATATAGATGCTTTGAGTAATCAATCTGTAATTTTTTATATTCCCCATATTTGCTTTTCCTTGTAATCTGTACTTAATCTCCCTTTATTTTTGTGAACTTATCAAAGATGATGATGGCAAAGGACAACCGGAGTTTACTGGTGAAACAGATTGCTCATATTTCTTCACCTGGCAGACCAAATATGCATGTGTTGGAGAAAAGGAAGATATTCCTTGCACGGTTGCTGATAAGAAGAAACGCTATGACTTGTCCCGACTGATCCGTCATTCTGGTTTGGATCTTTTTAATTGTTGTTAAGATAAGCACTACATCTTCTGTTGCTGATTCTGCCATACCTCAGAAGTCCTGATAGGTGCACGTTTTACACTTTTCTGTATTACCGAACTGGCGTGTGTCAAGTGCACCTTACTTAATAATCAGACATTAATAATTCTCCAAAGTAATGTGAGTTTACTGTTGTGGTGCATCACTAGATATTCTGTGTTCTGCTGGTTGAGTGCAGTGACTGTATGGATTAGAGCACGGGTCCTCAAACTAAGGCCCGTGGGCCGGATCCAGCCCGCCATGCCCATTTAACCAGCCTGCCCCAGAGGTTTTGTACTCGCCGTGCGTGCACGGCTTGCTCGTGAGGAGGTCGTTTTGGACTCGCTCGGAGAAAACAATCTCCTCGCGAGCAAGCCGGTGCCTCGCCCTGCCCCGCGCGCCCCCCAACCCCGCCTTGCCTCGCATGTGTGCACGCCCCGCCCCCTCACAGACCCATGCCCCCCCACTGGCACCGCCTTGGCGGCCTGCGCCCACCGCTGGCACCTGTCAACTGGTCCCCCGTTGAAAAAGTTTGAGGACCCCTGGATTAGAGGCATCCAGTGTACCTTTATGGTCACAAAGGTTGTCATGTCAGAAGTGCTTTTCTGAGGAAGGTATATTCCAGAGAGTTAAAATAAGTAGCTTAAACTATTTTGTAAAAGCCTGGAGGGAAACCAGCAGAGACCCTGAGATAATATGCTCCTGGCAGGTTTGCGCTGGCTTGGACTGATCTACGACATTTTGTCCTGGTTGCAACTTTGACCGATCATCAAGAATAAACAAATCTGAATTTTCTCCATATCTGAGAGAAAAACAGATATTCTCATTTTTCATCACCGCTCTCCTAAAAGAGCACCCTGTAGCTGATGATATTACTTGATTTAGCTGGCAGATAGGTGAATCCCCACCCAGCCTTTCTGGATGATTCATTCTCTTACTCACAGACTAATGGCATTTGCCAACTTGATTCATAACTGCCACAGTGTTATCATACCCAAGATTTTGTGGTGTTTGCAATAAGGGTTAGCCACTGTTACTCTATAAGCTGTGTACCTAGTTGGGCATCAGTCAGCCCTATTCAAGTCAAAGCATCTATCAAACTATCAATATTTTGTGTCTTTTGGGATTCTCTGAGTGCCTTGCTTGCGTCCCATTCTTGCAGTGCTGCATAAAAACCAAGTCTTTATACTGACCCTTCTTGGTAGGTTCTTAAATAGCTTTACTTGCACAACACATGCATTTTTTTTGCTACTTACATGTTTAAAACAGAAACAACTTTGTTGCAACTTAAATGCCCTCAGAAGTTCATTTCTCAAAATGTGGTCACCCCGCCTGAGCACCTGTGTGGCCAGTCGTGGTGGGAAGCCATCTGTGCAGTTTTAGTCCTTTAAACATTGTGGTTTTTAAAGGGGTGCCACATCTAAATTTTAGATTCTAAAATATGACTTTTTAATTCTAGAGCTGGAGCAGAATTGGGAAGCTGTAGATGGAAACCCTGTTGAAGCTGAAAGGAAGCGTTTTTTCATTAATGTGTGCCACAAAGTACTTCAAAAAGGAGATGCCATGAACTGTACCAAAGAGGCATCTGTTTGTTCCATAGGTGAGTAGGGGACTGACCCAAGTGTCTCCTGCAAGGAGACAAAATGCTGTTTGTCTCCTTGTAGAACTGAGATGTTTTTGTACACGGAGAACCCATTCTGCAGATCTCTGATGATACCATGTTTATATTTCTTATACCTCTCATGCCTAAAATATGTGAAAAGTTTTGGAATCCAGCACAGCCTCTGCGTAACAGACTAATGCATGAAGCACCTTTCAACATTCTGTCTGCATAGTATTTTGGAGGCTAGGAGACAAGTTTTGAATACCTTGCAACTCCTGGGGTTGATTATAGGAATGATGGCTTTTGAAATCTATTAGCTGACAAAGTGATGAAAGAAAATACAAAAATACTAGAGTGTCTGCATGAGATGACAGTTAAATTACCTGGGGAAAGTTGTCCTACTTGTTGTCTTCTGCATATAATGAGCCTTGCAGGAAAGCATGTATTCCAAGCAGTTACACAGTAGAATTATTTGTTGTTGTTAGTCACAAAGTTGTGTCCGACCCTTCGCAACCCCATGGACAACACTCCTCCAGGCATTCCTGTCCTCCACCATCCCCTGGAGTCCACTGAAGCTCACACCAACTGCTGCAGTGACTCCATCTAGCCACCTCATTCTCTGCCATCCCCTTCTTCTTTTGCCGTCAATTGTTCCCAGCATTAGGATAGAATTATAGAACATATTTAATTTAGAGGTTTTTGGGGGATTTATTTTTTGCACCCTTATCCCAGCTTCTACCTAGATTCCTGGTAAGCAAGGGCCGTTTTTCAATTTAGATGTTGCTGTTATGCTTGGTAACTGTGCCCTAGGATGCCTTTTGTCCTTAAATGCAAGCACAGTGTAAAAAGAGCAATCTGTTGGATGAATGTAACTGCTTAGGCTTAAAAAAAACTCAAAAAGCATTCTGTGTCTTTGTTTTTACCTTGAAGTTAAAAAGATAACTTCAACTCCAACTCCTGAAATGGTTTCTGATTTATTTATTTTTTTTCATACAGTTTTGCATTAAGCCTCCTACTTGAGTTTCCATAAGGTTTTTTTTTTTAATACAGTATCATTTTTTCTCTTGTATATGGTACTTTAGATAAAAACAATAATGCAAAAAATCTTGGGACTTTTATGTCTCATCCCACAAAAGTTGGAGAGAATATTCAGCTTCTCTATTCAGATGGCGACACTTGTGGACCAAACCAAAAAATCGAAACAAAGATACTACTTATATGCAAGCCGGGTGAGTAGCCTGCACCATTCTCTTGACATGTATGTTTCCAAGAGGCAGGATCTTTTATACTTTACTCATGCACAGAAGCATGGCCTATTCATCTGTGGAGCTGCCCCTGCTGGGAGCTGCAGATGCCCTGGTGGCTGTCAGGTGGTGGGGAGGACCAGATTTTGATATGCCTTTGTTCTACTTCCTAGTTGGGTTGGTGGCCTTGAAGATTTTAGCTGGAACCCTAGAGCCAGGATCCCAGTCTGTGTTTGTTTTAGTTTATAAACATGCTTATATGCTGCCTTTTGGCCCTTGAAAGAACCCTCAGGTGGGTCACAATAAGTCTTGATATGATGCAAGTTAAGAGCAGTGAAACTACTGTAAAAGGAAACAGTAGAACATTATTAAAAGCTTGGTGAAGTCAAAGCTTGATTAAGCCTTCAACAAGAGGGCCAGGCAGACTTCTCAAGGGGGAGAACCCCACAACCAGGGAGCTGCTACCCAGGAAGCCTTGCCTCATGCAGCCACCAGCCGCAGCTCCCATAGCAAATAAGACAGAGCAGGGCCTCTGCCGAAGTGAATGGGCAGGTTCATGCAAGAGCAAGCAGTCCTTCAGATGTCCTGGTCCCAACCAGAAACTAAAACGAAACTAACCAGTACAGATGAAGTTGATCTGGAAAACAGACACCCAGAAGCAGTACAACAGCCGCATTTTCCACCAGCTCCATTTTCCAAACACTCCAAGGGCAGCCCCATGTAAAGCACTTTAAGGTAAACTAAACTGTGTTTGACTTCTGGGCATGCCACTGCAATGTGAAATCTGTATATTGACAAGGCAGCAAAGATGAACATTGCTGGATCCAATGGTGTCATTCTGATTGAAACTACTTCTGTCAGTGCAATCTGGGAGGAGAGAATACTCCCTCCCTGAAGGTGTCCTCAAATTGCTCTCCAGAGAACAGGGAGAGTTTCCTGAGCAGGTTTTCAGGTGGCACAGAGGGTGCGGGAGGGAGGAGAGTAGGAGAAGATGCCATTGTGGTAGCAGATGCCATTGTGGATGCTGCTGGATTTCACCCACCACTCTTGCAGCCCACCCTTCCTCCACATATCGAGCATGGGTCACATGGGTTATCCTCACAGCAGTGTTTTAAAATAAGCTAGGCTGAGCGAGTGACTGGCCAAAGGAGTCTCTGGGAAAAGCAGCCTGTGTGGGGGTTTAAATCCAGGACTCTCAAATCTATTAGTACCATTATTTTGACTCCCAGCTTCCTCTAGAAATAGTTTCTTTACAGATGTGATGAATGAATTGCCTCTTTTCTTTGACCAATTTATTCCATGAAAAGAAGAACTGATGCAAAATTTTCAAAACTGAAACATAAGCTACTCAGAGCTGTGAGTGATTGGTGCTGATGTATCCTCAAACTGGCTGTTGCCAGAAACCAGATGTCAGCAAGCTGGAAGCTGGGATATAAAGTACAGCCTTGTTCTGCCTGACCCATTTTACATGTGGAATTAATCTAATTGAAACAGGAAAAAGAGAAACATGACTGTGTTTGACTCCCTGCACTTGGAGAAGATCAAAAGGGTCGGGGCTTTTTGGTTGAAGGGAAATGGAACATACGGCAATTGCCATCTTCCATAATTTGTGTGTGGAGGGGAATTCACTTGAACTGATAACAAGGCTCTTGCCTTCACTTCAGTCGCAAACTATATACTGGATAAAATACACTGGGGAAGACTGAAGCACCTTGGAAATCGCCTCTGGAAAATGAGAAGCTTTCTGTGTAGCTGCTGAATTCAACATTTCTGTCACTGTTCTGTTGCCCAGGTGACTTGGAAAGTGCTCCCGTTTTGATTCACTCTGGCTACGGTGGGTGCCTGTATGAGTTCGAGTGGCATACAGCCGCTGCCTGTGTCCTGTCTAAAACAAAAGGAGACCACTGCAAAGTTTCTGACTCTCAAGCAGGTAAACAAAGTGCTGGCTAGTAGCTGGATTATGTCCACATAGTTAGGCTTACATTTAAGCACATTATTCATCTTGCATCACATTTCCTTGGTAGCTTGCATGGAGCCACTTCCATAGAACAGAACAGAGCAAAAGCTTGCTCCAGAATTAAATCAAGATGCTATTTAAGGCCTGCCTGCTAAATGAAATTGAACTGGGTTAAATGCCAGTTCTTCTTTTCTCCCACATGGGGTTTTTTTTAAATAGGGCAAATTGTTTTCTGACAGTGAACAGTCGCTGACAAATAGCTAGCCATAGAGCCTTACAAATACGACCTTGCTTTTGGTTTTTTCCTAGATCTAGCTGTACTATGACATAACAAAGATTACCAATCTGGTTTACACACAGATCTGATTTTTACACACAAAGGGCAATATCCAGCTGCGCTGTTGAGCTTGCATAGATGACCACTAGCAGGATGGTATTGCAGTGTTTCCTGGCTCAAACTCATGCTTCTGAAAGGGAGTTCTGCCGAACACTTCCATTCCAGAAACACTCATTTGGGTTAGTTTCTGGGGTTGGTGTAGCAAGTTCTAGATTCCTCTTGCACTGGCAGCATGGATAGTGCCATAACTGTGTGGCCACTCTGTATGTACACACGCACATATGCATGTGTGTTTTAAACTTGTACCAACAGATCCCATGGGCTCTTAAATCACATTGCTACATGTTTTCTCTTGTGGAAACTGCCTTTAAATTAAGTGTATTCATGCATAATTTACTGACCGAGAATTTTTATTTTTACTCAGGAGTTTATTTTGACTTGTCGCCATTGATGGCCGTGACCCATCCAGTGACTACAGATGACTACACTTTTTACATCAGTGTTTGTGGCAATGTGTCGAACACAATGTGTACATTGCCATCTGCAGCATGTCAAGTGAAGAAAGCGTAAGGGTTGTCTATTCCTTTTCCTCTGTGTTGTGCATAGGATCAGAATTAAAACGAGCCACTGAGTCCAACTCCCTCTCCAGTGGAAGAATCCAGTTCAAAGCACACCTGATAGATGGTTATCCAACCTTTGCTTATATACCTCCAGTGATGGAAGACCCAGTAGCTCTCTAGGTAGCTGGTTCCATTATTGGGCAGTTTTGAATGTGGACAAAGTTTTCCTATTTTTGAGCTGAAATCAGCCTTTGTGTAACTTAATCCGGTTATTTCACATCCTCTGTTCTTGGATGATATATTGCAGTCAACCCTTTTCTGTGCATCAGCCTTTAGGTACTTAAAAATTGTTATAACGCCTTTCATTATTCTCTTTCAAAGGCTAAGCATACCCAGTTCCTTCTGTCTTCCCTTACAGCTTAGTTTCCAGTCCCTTTGTAGTTTTGTTGCCTGATATCTCACTCCCGTTGGATGAAAAACCATCAAAAAGCACTCTGAATACAGTTCAACCAGCAGGTTGCTAAAGGTCCCATGTAACAGTGACTAAGGCAGCAATCCTGTGCATATTATTTTTGGCGAGTAAGCCTCATTGAACAGTGGGTTTTACTTTTGTGTAACATGTGTAGCATTACATTGTATAGCTGCAATGCCAGTATCACCACTGTTAGGGAATTCATCTTGCTGAATTCAGTAGAATGTAGTTTTGAGGAAAATATGCTCAGGATCCCTTCTCAGTGCTTAAGACTGTGCTAGCTACTGTGGCCTTAAAATGTTCTCTTAAATCGCATAAAAGGAAGGCTGTTTGAAGTCAGACATCCCACTCACACAAGCCTTTGGGCTTAACTGAACATTCAGATCCCAGCTGACCCCTGCATTTTTCTTTAAAGAGCAAGTCGACCCCCTCCCCAAAGGCTGTTTCTGCAGCAAAACTCTTCGGCCTTGAAACTTTTGGGAGTGCAGGTAGATTCAATACATGCAAGTTCAGAGAATTCCTGGACATGCACTTCAGGGGCATTTGGCCACATCACAGAGTATGCAATTGATAGTATACTTACCTTCTTTTATTATTTGAGTTGCCCTATAGCTGATGCTCTAGGGTGAGTTTCCATACCAATCTGGCATTTCTATGGTCTATGTGTCTCTTAATACCATTTTTTGTCAGACGTCATGCCTCTGCCATTAGAAATTGGTGTGATGGGCCACTGTTGATTTTAGCTTATGAGCCTGGATACTAAACAGACGCCTTATCTAAAACTGCAGAGTGGTTTTGGGCATTAGTTCAGAGATCTGCTAGTGCATAGCTGGTTCTCGGTGCCATCATGGTAACTTTGTGACAAATTCCCTTTCCATTGATGTTGGAATATATCTCTAGCAATGGCCCTGTACAGTTTATTGATTCTGAGCTGGGAGCAGTGGTACAGATAACCTCAGACTGCTCCTTTTTTCATCCAATGAACAAATAGTTGTTTGCTCAAGGGCAGATAGCCTTGAGCTACAGTATTAGGGCTTTAGGCAGCGAATGTATCCATCAGGGCTTTGTAAATCAAGCTCATTTTTGTTATGCATTGTTGTTCTAAAGGATGTAGGACACTTACATGAAGTTCTGTCAATATACACTTTTAGTGGTAAAGATGCATGGAGTCTGGGAATGCCCAGTTCTGAGCTTTCCTATTATGATGGAATGATTCAGTTGGACTATCAAAATGGTACACCCTACAACAATAAGAAACACACACAGCGTTCTACCCATATAACCTTCCTGTGCGATCGTGAAACAGACATAGGAGTGCCCGAGTATCAGGTAAGAGCTGAATCTGGATCAATTTTGAGCTTCCTCCTTTCATATTTTATCCTCAGTTAAGCCACGATAGTTTAACTTAATGGGAAATTAAACCTCTGCAGGTATTTTCTGGGGGCATACCAGTACAAAAGCACAATGCACTCTTTAGCCATCTTCCTTGTGGCTGAAAATGCTGGGAATTCAGCAGTGGTGGGCAAAATTGATGTTTTTAGTGCTACAGAGTATGAAAAATGTCAAATTTAGCTTGTTCTCAAGCTAAATTGAGACAGCATAGATGTTTTGGTGCAGCATAGATTTTTTTTTTTTTGCTGCCAAATACCAGCAACAAACTGTTTTCTTCTGCTAATACCCCATGGGAGGGTGGGGGTAGTGTTGTCCAGGGCAGAAATAGCCCTTGGACTTTCCAAAGTTGCCTTTCCCTGCTATTTGGACATTTTTGTGTGGTATTTGAAATGAACCTACAATTCTACATTAAAGAGTTACTGTAAAGTACTGGATATTATATATTTGTATTTTATTGTATATATTTTAAAATGTTATTTTAATTTTTTGTTGTAAGCCGCCCCGAGGCTTCGGCGAATGGGGCGGCATAAAAATGTTTTAATAAATAAATAAAATAAATAAATATTTACCAGAGGGATTGGCTTCCCTTCATGAGGATGAGCTATGTTCAGATGCATGTCTGAAAAGGCTTTGTCCAGGTAATGTTAAATTATACTGATTTATAAATCTGCTTGCTTTAACATAGATTCCAGTGTACTTTTTAATGCTACAATCAGCTTTTGTATGGAAAGACAAAACTATGCGGCTTATAAGTTGAAGCTCTCATTTTAAAGTTGTCATAATGTTACAGACCATGTTGTACAGTTGTAATTTTTATTTTTTTTCTTTGTGCGCATGCACGTGTGTGTGCGCATGCTCATGTTCATGGCAATTTAGGCAGAGGACAACTTTACCTACAACTTCAAGTGGTACACCAAATATGCCTGTCCAGAGATACCCACAGAATGTGTTGTAACAGATCCTCAAACCTTGGAGCAGTACGATCTGTCGAGGTAAACAAGAAAGCAGTAATTCTGAGGATAAACCAGGAGTGACAGTGCTTTGGCCCAGGAGAACTGTAGCCAAGCATCTGTTTACATTTCATACTGAGCACGGTCCTGCTTGGCTCAGCGGCGCTGTCACTGAGTTCTTGACATAAATGGACTGTAGGGGAGGAAAGGATTTATGGGCATGCTGTTCCTCTGCAGTTCTAGTTGCCATGTAATTGGTATTCTTGAAAATACGTTTGTGGTATGGGCCCATGTGTTTCCCACGTGTTTTGACCTTAATCTGGGACCGGTATCACTCCCAGTGTACTTAGCTCATTGAAATGACAAAACTCTTGTTGTACATCATAAGAAGGCAAGACTCATTGGTGAAGACAATAATGCTACGGAAAGTTCAAGGCAGAAGAAAAACAGGAAGACCAAATATGAGATGGCTCAATTACATAAAGGAGGCCACAGCCTTGAGCTTACACGAGCTGAGCAGGGCTGTCAAGGACAGAGCATTTTGGTTGTTTGTAGGGTTGTTCGTAGGGTTGCCATAAGTCAGAGATGATTGATGGCACTAACAACAGTGAGAGGCATAAATAGAGAAGGGAACAAGTTCTGCATTACTTCTCAGTAGATGGTTTTGCTTGTTGTTGTTGTTGTTAGTCATGAAGTCGTGTCCGACCCATCGCAACCCCATGGACAACATTCCTCCAGGCCTTCCTGTCCTCCAGCTTCTCCTGGAGTCCACCCGGAGTCTAATTGTTAACTTGCTAATTGTAACTTGATTAAAAATAGGATCAGATATAGCAGAGCTCAATACTTTTTTTGCACCTTTTTCAGCTTATCTGGAGACAGAAAGGAAAACTGGTTTGCAATGGACACCTCTGAACCAGAGGCTCTCAAAAAATATTACATAAGTATCTGCCGGCCTTTGAACCCCATTCCAGGCTGTAACATGCGGGCATCAGTCTGCGAAATGACATACCACAGAGGAGTGGATGTGAGTATATCTATCTTGATAAAGAAAAACACTCAATCCCTACCCAAGCCTTGGGTTCTGTGCTCTTATTGTGGAGTTGCTCATTCCTCTTAGTCTCCCTTCTGCTCCCTGGTGTATCTAATTGTGATCCAAATTCCAGTGTTATGGTTATTGTTTCTTAGATTGGCTTAATCTGATCGTTGCTCTTCGCAGTACATCTGCATCAATTTCTCAACCATTGCTTAAAATTAATGTATTTGATCTTTAATGCATGATGGCTTTCTTTATTAAATTTCAGAAGGACCCCTTCAGAATTTCCAACAGTAACCTGGGCATAGCCAGCAGAGGCCCCATTATTGAAGGACATGGTAGACTCCTCCTAAACTACACCGATGGCTCTGTGTGCACCAGGGCTAATGGCACGACCGGGCCTTTCTCAAGTCTCATCCATCTTGTCTGCTCCAAGGGGAATCTTGTAAGTTTCCAGTGAACCTCCGTCATGTCACACTATGGTTGGAGTGTTTTCTAATTTGACAGTGCATATGTAAGAGCAGAGAGTATTGGGGGGATAAATATCTGAGTACTTTGAGCCCCTCTTGGCAGGTGACTTGGACCTGAATGATTTTCATGTGCTGGTGATCTAAGGGTAATTTAAGGCTGTATGACATACAGGGTAGAGTCTCTTCTTTCATGGGAACATGCCAGCCTAGTGTTGGGCAGGGTGTTGGCAATCTAGTTTTAGTCACGCTTAATTTGAGGAAAAAGTGGAAACATTTTAAGAATAATTATCACATTTTGACAATAATACACATTTTTAAATAGTGCAACTCTTAAGGAAACAAAAAAGAACCTCACCTTAAAATGTGTTCTGAGGGTAAGCCATGGAGAGTCCTTGATCAGATTGGCCCTGTTGGTGATACCATGTTTACTATCTCAGCAGTCAAAGGAATGGAGGTGTGTGGTCAAAATAAGTGTGTATTGACAATGTTTCCCATGTTGTTTTGGAACAAAGTTGGATGTGGGTTCCTAAAAAATTGGGTGGGAGAGCACTGGGCACCAGTCAGTTTCACTGACCCATGTACCTAGAGCCTTTTAGTTGGTCATATGCTACTTGGTTATGACCCTCTCTTAAAGCCAAGCACAGTAAAACAAAGTAGCAGTTCTTTCCATCTTCCCTTCCTCCAAATCCCACTGGTATAGTTTGAATAGTTATTCAAGATGAAATGTAGCAAGATAAATTGTAGCAAATGTAGAATATAATTGGTATATAATCTACCAATTATATATATTGATAGATCAGTATTAAAATAAGATTTTAATAGGCTTTTAAAGTAGGATTAATTAAATGTTACTACCATGAGCGGGCAGAGCAGACAAAACAGGATCAACCATGGGAGTAATATTCTAAATGGAGACCACTGAAGGCCCTTCAGGGTGCCAGGTTTCTGAAAAAACATGGTGATGGCTGGTTGGTTTGTGTGTTTGAGGACAATTGAAAAGATGCTGGAAAATTTGCCCTAAGGCTTTATCTTGCAGTCCCAAGACTCGATCTTTCAGCTGAACTGGCTTTAGTTGAAGCAAATAGGTACCATCCCTGCAAACATATTGCATGTGTAGAATGCCTTTCAGCCAGAAGGCTGACAAAATCTCAAAAGCCACATTCCAGTGGTGGGCAGGGTGAAATGACTGGATTGTTTTAGTTTAGAGCTCTTATTACCAGTAACTAATCCTTTTAGAACAGGAAGAAAACTACAAGACCCAGTCACTTGCTTTGGAGAAAATGGGGTCTGGCCAAGGAAACAGGACTTTCTGAAGGATCCCAGGGGACTGGAATTGGCCTCTGGGCCTGTAGTTCTGCATGCTTGCCATATACAATAGCAACCTAAAGGGATGCTTAATTAGATGTGATCATTTTTAGATATATCATCATATGAAATCTGGCAGGATTGTGTGACACATTTTGCATACTTGAAACTAGTCTTGGTGACCTAATCACCAAGTATTGTCAGCTTGCTAATTTACCTTGTTCAGCTGTCTGCTAACCCTTTTAATGTCCAAAATATGGGACACAGTATTCAGATTAGTTTATTTTCAACATTTTGATATAGGAATGCCATGTAATAGCAACAGTTTTGTTTCACCAGAAACCTCAATATTTCATAAGCTGTCAAAGGTAGTCTTCTCCTTCAAAGTACTGCACCAGCAGCTAAAATTCTGCCCTTTCAAACTGTGAAACCAAGATTGCAGCAAACTCAGCAAATGCTCTTAAGCTGCTTGTTAAGCTCAGGTCTTGTGTGTCTTCCTTCCCTTAACGTCCTGAATCTCTTCTATTTCCAGATTAGCAGCCCGAAATTCATAGAGATAAAAGAGTGTGTTGCAACCTTTCTGTGGGAAACTGAAGCTGCCTGTCCGGTCGTGACGACACAAGGAGAATCTGAGGTGAAGGGCAGGAAACATACATCAAGACATGTGTGGGCTTTACCCACACGCTATATTCATAGCTCAGCATGCAGCCTTGCAGTCTCTTCATTCTGCATGTTTGCTTGAAATGAGGGTCATGTGAGCATCCTGAGATTCAACCTAAAAAAGGTTGGGGTCTTGCAAGTGCCTCAGTGAATCTTTTGTCAGCATTTGGCTTTACTTGCACAAGAAACTTGGATGTTACTTGCAAAAAGATGTGAGAGGAGCTCACAAGGTACTCATCAATGCCATTGCCCCCTATCCTCACCAAAGATCCTATAACTTTAGGTTCCTGGCAGAGTGCCAGTTCTCATCCAGAATCCAAACATCAGTCTCACCAAGGGGGAAGGTCCTCTGGCAGGTCATGGAAGTGGCCAAAGCAGCGGTGTGAAGTTTTGAAGAATGTAGTTTGCTGATCAAACCCTCTTGCAAGGAGACTTCAACGGGATGCTGTTTTGCGAGCACTCCTATTTCGTACTTTGGAGAAAGACTAGAAATTTATTTCCAAATGTCCTTAAGGGGTTACAGTTTTAATTGCTTGGAAGGATGGAGGCTTGAAAATGTCATTTTTCAAAAACATCACTGGCCACCTGTGGTTGTGGAGAAAAGTATGAGATCTTCATGGTGTAGGCTTGAGCCCTCAGATGGAGGGAGATCTGTATGTGATTGGCAAAGCAGAGTCCCTGGATAACAGCACTGAGGGCTTAATCTCTGGGAACCAGTCATCTCACTTTCTCTGTATTTTATTAATTTTTAGCTTGATTTACTTGAGTGTAGCTTACAGTTGGCGTTTTAGCTTGATTTACTAGAGAGTAGCTTACACTTTGTTTGTTTGTTTGTTTAAGACATTTGTATGCTGCCCAGTTGTGCCACAGCACCTCTGGGCGGCTCACAACATGAGATAAAAACAGTTGGCACCCAAACTGATACAGAAAATATCCTTCCCATGAGCAATGTATTTCCAAGGCTGCAGATATTTTGAGTGTGTGCCTTGTTTGCCGTGTCTCTTCTCTTAACGAAAGGCCATGTTTTTCTGTCCCTCCACAGACCTGCTCTGTAAAGGATCCCAATACTGGCTTTGTGTATAATTTGGAACCATTAGCTTCAAAAAAGGCATACCCAGTAATGCATGCTGGGAAGGGTTATATGGTAAGGCATTTTCTTTTCCCAGCCATAGACCTTTCTGTTCCTAAGCTTAGTGTCCTCTGGCATCCATTTATACAGCAAGTTAGTCTTTCAGTGAGCTTCCCTTCTCCTTGTGAGAAGGGAAGCACAAAAAGCTTCTTCAGCCCTGATGAAAATCACAAGTCCAGGTGGGGTTCAGTCATGGAAATAGGCAGCTAATGAAAGTATGTGCCTTGGGAAATGTCCCAGCGCAATGGTAGAACATCTGCTTGGCTTGCAAAAGCTCCCAGTCTCACTCCCTGGTGTCACCAGGTAGGGCTGGGAAAGAGACAGGTGCCTGCGACCTCTGAGAGCCACTGGCCAGCAGAGTTAAGGCAGTGCAGGGCCAGGTGAACCCATAGTCTGATTCAGTAGAAGGCAGGCCATTGCTGCCTTTTTAGGCCATTGCTGTGGGAACAGGAGATCCCACATTTGGTGGCAAACTCAAATATACATGCTGTGTTATTTTGGAGTAGTTGAACGAGCTTGAAAAAAATGCTCTTTCAGTGCACTGAGCAGTGCATATCATGGGGCAAATGGAAATACAAATAGGGCTACTGTGTGATTTGGAAGCTGCGCCCACCTCCCTATCAGCATATTGTCAGTCCTCAAGGCAGCTAATGTAGATGGATATGCTAAAGTCTGTTGATTATGTGTCAAATCTCTTAGATCAATATTTGTGGACCAGCAGCAGATTGTAGACCTGCGGAGAGCGCGCCTGATGACTCGATTGGTGGCTGTGAAACAATTGATCTAAAGCATATTCGTTTGGTGAAACTGAACAAAACTCTTGCACTCTCTACACAAGGATATCTGTCTCTTACTTACAAAGGTACAGTTGCTGTGGAACCAAGGTTGCTTTGTACCTGTTGTTGGTGTCTGAGTCAGTTGGCAGCATTTCAGGTGGCTAGGTTCAGTCCCTCTGCTCATCTCATTGTAGTTTTAAGCTACAATATGTGGCCATTAACTGGATAAGTTCTGGATGCTAATTGGGCAGTAGTCCTCTTCTGTGTGGGCAACCTAGCAGGCTGGTAACTGTAGTATGTCATTCTCTGAATTTTTAAAAGGCATATACCATAATTCTGATATCCTACAAGCTGTCTTGTGCACACTTAACCAAAGATAAAGTCAGAAGGTCAGATGTATTGTTTTTAAACTCTAAACACATCGTGGATTTAATTCAAACAGAGCCAGCCATTGCAAGGTACACATCATGAACGTTGGAATTTGCATCTGCCGCTCACTGTTTTGCTAACTTCACTGCCACTTCACACTGATTGGCACTTGCTTGGGTGGCACTCTGTCCCACCACATAGATCTCTGCATTCTCCATCTGTCAGTCTTGTTCTTTCTTGATAGAAACATACATTATGATGAGCTGTTTATCTATAATCCAAGAAAGCATGTAAGGGAAGCAGAAGGTGGAGGGGGTATTCCGCTTGTTGGCCACTGTCCCATGTACCCTGAATTTTAGTTTCACTTCTCCCCACGCCTTGGTCCCCAATCTCCAGAGGAAAAAAATCAGGGCTGAAAGACCAAGGGAAAATCTGGAGATCAAGTTATGAATAGGTATGACATGTTATAGAATATGTTTTACTTATGCCACAAAGTTGGGTTGGGAGGATTTTGGTGCAAAGTGTCCAAGTTGGTCTTGTTAACTGCAATCCAATAAACCACAGGCTTTTTCAGGTCGATGCATTGCATCTGGCTCTTGTTACGATTTTTTAATTCATTTATTTTATTGTTTATATTGCACCTTATTTCCTGCAAAATAAAACACCTAGAGCAGTTTATGTAATTCTCCTTTTCTGTCACTACAACAACCCTGTGAGTTAGGCGAGTCTGAAAGGCCGATAGTTAGTGATTGCCCAGAGTCATCCAGTCAGCAACGTGGCTGAGTGGGAACGGGAACCCAGTCTCCAGATTTCTAGCCCAGCACTCTGACAACTGCTAGCTTACGGTTTCTCCTCCTCCTCCGCCAGCAGCATCCATACGTATACCCTGCTCTTCCTAACAATTCCAATTTCTTTTTGTCTTATCCTTCCCATCCTTGCCTGGTAGTTCAGGGAAAAACAGCCCAGTTGTGTCCAGATGTGTTAGATTTCCCATCACTTGCTGTCAGAATGGCCAGTGGGCATGGATGTTGGAAGTTGCGGTTGAGAACATTTGGAGGGTACCAGATTGGGGAAGCTTTGGCTGCAAGGTAGCAAATTATCCTAGCTTGCCCAGGGAGTGTTACACTGGACTTCTGATAAAATTCAACATTGTAGCCCTTGCATGGCTCTCAGAAGGGTACTTTCGCAAAGTATTTTTCTAGCAGATATCTATAAGGCATAAGTGTTCCCCTTCAGATTAGAGAAATCTGACCTAGGTAATAGGTGCTTATCGAAGGTGATGCTGTCCTTTACCAGCACTGGTTTGCCAGCTCGATCACTGTTGGAGTTACCTCTTGGAGTTTACTTGTGGACTTTGTTGGAGTCTTGATGCTCTCATGCTTCCTTTCCCATGGCCTAAAATTTTGCACTTTATATAGCAGCTACTTTACTCAGTGAGCTGAATAGTGGGTCCTTTGCAGTTCGTGTTCAGGCCTAGTTCTGGGACAGAAGCAGCCTTGGTAGTTGACCTATTCCAAGAATGGGGAGGGAGTTGTATCCATGTTGGTTCTACTAGCATTTAGCAACATTCAGTATCATCAGCCAAGGTATTTTCCTGTGGCATACCCTCTGTATGAGACTTGGGGGCACCATTTTATGGTGATCATGGTTCTCTGAGTGTGAGTCTTTTGTTCAGCTGCTTGGCCTCTGGTCTGCAGAGTTCCCCATGACCCCCTGATCAGAGTTTTTGACTTCTGTATGCTGATTAAGCCAGCTCTATCTTTCCTTTCTAACTCATGCAAAGGAAGCTGCTGCTGCTGTTGTTTAGCGACATTGTGTCTTAACCATTGCAACCCCATGGATAACAAGGAGGCTGTAGAGGCCCCAAATCAATGCCTGAATGTACTGAAGAGTTTGAGATGATTGAACAATCATTGCCAATAATCAAAAGGGCCTGCTGAACATTAGACAACCTAACCTGGGACTGGTGGGACAAGCTGTTGTGGATGGGGTTGCACACATTCTGAAAGATCAAGTATGCACTCTCGGGCGCTTTTGGATCTCCTGCTTCTCCTGGAAGGTCAGGTGTTAGTTGTGGCAGGAGTACCTTTGCCCAACTTTATTTGGTTTGTAAATTGCATCCTTTTGTGGCAAAAGAAGATCTGGCCACAGTGATTCATGCCTTAATTATTTCTTGTATAGATTACTGTAATGCCTCTATGTGGGGCTGCCCTTAAAAAGACTGCAGAAACTACCAATAACACAAAATGTGACAGCTGAACTTTTGTCAGAATTGTCTTTTTGGGAATACCCAAGTAGATCAAATTATGCCAGTCTTGGATCAAGCTCACTAGCTTCCAGCTTTTTTTGTGTGCAGTGTGCTGTTTTTGACCTACAAAAGCTTAAATGGCTTGGAGCCAGGATATCTGAAGGACTGCCTCCTTCCATATGAGCTTGCCTGTAATTTGTGATCATCATCATCACTGGTCCTGTTAAATGTCCCACCCCTTAGAAGCTAGGTTGTTGGGGATGCAAGACAGGGCCTTTTAAGTAGCAACACCCCAATTGTAGCATTACCTCCAGAAGAAGATGAGATTGGTCCCTTCCTTACTTTGTTTTCCACATACATCAAGTGTTTCTGTTCTTTTAATATTTTTCTCTTCAACTTTACTGCTGTTCTTATTTTATCACATGGCTTTTCTCCCATGACTCTTGGTTTAAGCTTTAATGTGAAGTGTCACCCTAGGAGCCTAGTAGGCAGTATAATTTAGAAATCTAATACATAATGGGCATGAGTATCACAAGGATACGGGAGTGGCACACGCTGTGTGCAGCGTGAACAAAATGTAAAGTGCTGTTGAGGCTTTGAATTCACATTTTCTTCTCACTCTTCAGGAACCAGTGACGTTTTTGTGATCACCTTTATCTGCAATGGGTCCTATCCTGGAGAACCTGTATTTGTGCACGAAGAACTGAATTTGGCACAGAATATCAATTACACTTTCTTCGAGTTTCACACAGCTTTAGCTTGCCCACCTTCTCCAGTTGCCTGCCAGGTTACTGGTAAGTACACAAAAGTAGAGGATTCCCGGCAAAGGTCATTTCAGTCTGCTTCAATGGTAAAACTTTCCCCAGATAGCGTTTTCCCCATGCCCAGTCAAGAAGGGTTGTGATTTGTTCCTGGGTTTTTGTGCGTGTAGGAGGCCTATCAAAAATGTATACGCAGTGTCTGGGGTAGGGGGAAAAATAATTCAGCATCCCTCCTCCCGCCATTGTTGCATTTTTCTCCAAAAACTTGAATGCGACTGTTCCCTTGCCCCAGCTAAATCCTGGTTGAAACCTGAAAAGCTTTTGTTAGGCAGACTTCTAGTTCAGCTACTAGAATGGTTGGTATCAGTTGGTATCAGTGGCTGGTATCAGTTATCATAGTTGCTTGCTTGGATTCGTTTTGAAATGTGGTAAAAAGAATACAAAAGCCAGAGCATGTTACTGTCACATTGTTAATGTTGACTTCCTGCGGTAAAAATTTTACAAACACTTGCATAACATCAGTGTCTCTCTCCAACTCTGGAGTTTGGAAGTCCATATATCCCTTTCCCTAATATAACATGGGTACAGGAACTTTATTTCTGTATATTGATCTAGATCAAGTCCATTGGCCACACAGAGCCACAATTAAATAAAGTTAAAAGGGAAAGTAAGCAGTGGTACAATACTACATCTGAAATATTTAACTAAAATAAGGGTTGTTGAGTTGTATCCAGTGGGGGTCTGATGCTAGTGGAAAAGTCCCACTTGTGAAAGGAAAGGCACCTGTTTTTTGTTGATCCCCTTTCTTATTGCGGCCCTTCAGCAAATAAACTAATGATAATACGAGCTGAATGTATTTTTTTATTTTATACCACTTTTGTGTTTTAATATAATGCTATTTTCTATTATTTTTGGTTTTAGCCAGTCAGGCTTGGCTTACCAACCCCTTGCAAACTAAAGTTTTGCTTGGATAAGGTGGGTTTAACCAACTGGTTTGCAATTCCTGATTATGTTTCAGATTCTGCTGGCAATGAGTATGATTTGAGTGGCTTGAGCAGAGAGACCGAGCCTTGGATTGCCTTGGATACATCAGAACAGGCAAAAACAAGAACTTTCTATCTGAATGTTTGCAAACCCCTTCCCAGAATAGCAGGGTGTCCTGGTAAGTTCTTTGAATTGATCTGACTTTTGCAACTGGAACTAACTATAGTACTGTACAACAAGCTGTATTGCGCTTCCCCAGTCTGGTGGCCTCCGGACGCTTTGCATTCCTGCCAGCCTCATCCTGCAGTGTTAATGATCTGGAATGTTGCGAGAGCTGCTAGAATCCAAAACATTAGGTGGACAGCATGATGGGGAAGGCTAAGCTATCTCCTCTTTCCTCCACAACTCTATGATTCTTGCTGGCTCTGTAGGCTCTGCCTGCCTACTCTTGATGGCCTTGGACAGTTGGCTGTAGTGTCGCAGCTCATGGTCCTTCTGGGTGCTACCCAGAAGCTGCAGCAGGAGTTCAGAATCTCTGTCCCAGGTGCCAAACCTGGCACACTTAGGTAGCATTGGGACAAACCCTTTCAGAAACAGTCCCTCTAGCATCCAGTGGACTTGTTTTCACACACAGCCTGGCCCTGCAAAGTAAGCTGAGCTAAGAGGAAGTCCATGGATGCTCGCAGGATGCAGAAGAGGGGCTCTGCAAGCAGGCATGCAGGCACCATTCCCAGCGCCCAACCTTGTTCCCTGCCTGCTTGCCAGTGGTGGCAGGCGCGGAAGAGGAGCGCTGCTTGTGCCGCTCATGGAGCTTGATTCTCAGGAAGTGCCCAGGAAATTCTGGGAGCACTTACCAGGAACCTGGACTCCGGGCTGCTGCCAAGTGGACTGGAGTCCAAGGAGCCGAGCCCAGAGAATCCAATGGATCCCAGCCCCAAAAGGATTTCTTACACTTCCCTACTCTTGGGCTCCCAATCTGGCCCTGCAGGGTTTTCCTGATGGCCACTCCTACTTCCTTAACGCCACATCCTTTCCCTACCACCAGTTCTATGGTGGTTTCTTAGTTTCTGTGGAGTTTCCCCACTTTTAAAAGGACCAAATGTCTCTCCTTAGTTGGTGGCAGTAACAATGTTAAGATAAAACCTGTTTTTTGTTTTGTTTTGTTTTGTTTTTGCCTCACACATTTGGACTTCAGCACTGCACACCACTGAAGTGCAGCTGCAGAGACCTGTAACACAGTGCAGCCCTCCATACTACAGAGCCTAGCAGCCGAGGACCGAATGGCTTTTGGGATTCAAATTTGCACAACCATGAGTTCACTTTTGATAAGGCAATATTTACTCAAGTTTGTTAGTCAGGGTTATGAAGATGGTAGGCCAGCCCTCCCAAGACTGGGAAAGTGGTGCCTTCCAGGTGGACTGCAATTTTCATTACTCCCAAAACAACCCCTGCCCACCTGACTGTGATGCACTGATGAAATTCAGTTGAGCTGTTTCTGAGCCTTACATTGGGCACAGGGGTGGTGTAGTTAGAGCTGCATAGTGTATGTGGTTATGGGATGCCTAAGAGCTTTTCGGGATGGGTGCAACTGGAATCAGCTGCCTGGAGGTGGTGGGCTCTCCCACACTAGAGACATTCAGAAAGAGACTGGACAGCCATCTGAGTGGAATGGTGGCATACAGTGGTGTCCTACAACAGCAGGGGGTTGGACTCGATGGCCTTCATGGCCCCTTCCAACTATATTATTCTATGAGAGTTGCATTTCCAAGGAGTTGTTATCCTGTTTAGGCCTTCCTAGGATAACAATTTGGAATGTATATTTTACTAGGAAGACATGATGGCATCTGATTTGATGCTCAGTAACAAATACATTTTGGACTTCTGAAAGTATAGAGTGAACCTGTTTTATGGCCAAAATAAGTAGTTTGCAACAATAAGTGACGCTTTTATGGTAATTTTCCACTAAAATAGGCAAATTTTAAAACAGGTATCTTTTCCGACTGACCTTGCATGTAGTGAACAAAATTGGTGCTCAGGCCAGACTAAGCTGACTTCATTAGGATGGGGGAAAGCATTCTAAATTATTTGACTTCCTTCTTTAAAGGAACAAGTGCAAGTTTTAATGGCAATGTGAGCTTCAATGTTCCTTTTGGCTGCAGGTGGTATAACAGGATCTTGTGTGAAATATGCTGAAAAGGGCCAGAGCCTTGGTATGATTCATATGAGTCCTCAGGCTGCCACGGATGGGTCCCTTTACATTGTGTACTCCAGTGGGGAGAAGTGCAAAAATAACCGGCTGTACTCAACACGGATCATCTTCTTGTGTGATCAAACGACAGTGAGTATGTGTTGCATGTAGTGAATTCTCATGCTGGCATGTCTGGACACAGTAATTCCGCCACCCGTACTAACCCTGCAGACTTACTCAGGGGTTGTCATCCAAACCTATAATCAGACGCATCTGCACTGCTCTAAGTTGCCAAACTTGTTGGGTCTTTACAGCTTGTGAATTCTGTACTCCTAATGGAGAGAGATGAGTTGTGTTTGCATACGCTGTTCAGGTCCTTCTAATTTGAATGTCCTGAGATATTGTCATAAAGGACAGCATATACATGTTTTAAATAAATAGAAAAATAAAAACAATAGCCTTCCACAGATAGAAAGAACTGAGTCCACCTACATAAAGCTGTATCTTTTGGTACTCAGATGCCTGCTTGAGAATCTTTGCTGCTTGTGTGGGGAAACAAAATGGTGGCAAATTACAAGAATGCTGTAGCCACAATATTTGATGCTTTTCTCCATTCTCCACCTCACCATCTGCCACCTAAGAGAGTAAGAAAATTAAGAGGTGATGATGTCATTTTATCCTCTGTTAAGTGATAGCAAAGTGTCAAGCTAGCTAGATTAGCTTTGCATGCTCCTTTAAGAAGGCAGAAGGAGCCCTGCTGGATCAAACCAAAGGTCCATCAAGTCTAGCATTCAGTTCACTCAGTGAATCCCACCAGTTGCCGTGAGAAACCCACAAGCAGGACATGAGTCAGGGGTGATTAGTGAAATGGACAAGGCACCGGATTATTAGGGGTAGCTAGAACAAAAGGGGATTGTGAGGCATTTCAGAAGGATCTCTCTGAATTCATAAAATAGTTATCATATTTCCTAGCAACTTGTACACATAAGCATGCTGCTTCTGATATTGGAGGTAGTATATAGCCAGGACTAATAGCCATTGATAGCTTTTTCCTCCATGAATTGTCCAATTCCCATTTTTGATACCATGCAATTGGTGACTGTCAATAACTTGTAGAAGTTTAAATCCATAGTTTAACTATAGGCAGTGTGAAGAAGCACTTATTCTATCTCTTCTGAATATCTCGCCAATCAGCCTAATGCGATGACCCACATTCTAATATTATAAGAGAAGGGAGAAGAAGTTTCCCTATCCACATTCTCCATGATAAGCCTAATCAAATCCCCCCTCCCCCCTTTTTAAAGCTAAACAATTCCAGATGTTGTAACCCTTTCTTCTAGGGGAGTTGCTCCACACCTTTCATCCTTTTAGTTGCCCTTTCCCAACAACTCCCACTCCTTTTTCGTGTGATGATCTGAACCGCGCACCATATTCCAAGTGCAGTTGTATCATAGAATAGTATAAAGATAATCTTATTTTCAGTTCCTTTGCTAACCATCCCTAAAATATGGTTTGCCTTTTTCACAAGTAGCTGCACAGTGAGTTGACACGTTGACCACATTGTCCTCTGCAACCCCAAGATCCCTTTCTTGGCCAGTCACCACTAGCTTGCATCCCATAAGCCTATATATGAAACTGGGCTTTGTGCCCCAATGTGTCTCTCTTTACACTTGCTCCCATTGAGCAGCATTTAACACGTTGATGCCTAATCTCCCAGTCGGGAGATATCCTACATAACTGGCTTTCTACTGTCATAACTTTTCTTTATTGTTTTTATTGGTTTCTTTAACTTCAAACACAAAGTTGTTTACTAGGAGAAGGGGAATTTATAGTTATCTGTTTATATTTGTAGCCACTCATTTATACTTGTTTACAATGAGAAAAGAGAGAAGAGTTGACTACCCTGGCTTACTCATCTTATTGCTAAACCTGCATAGGTACTTAATACTCTTTTTTGCCAGTATTTCGTCCTTGGGGATGAGATGCCTTGCAACTGAAGCTCCTTGCTCCTGAAGAGCTTCTAAACCTTGAAAGTTCAGCAGCTTATTTAGAAAGCAGTTTCATAGTAATGTGGAAGAAATTCTTGATACTTTGTCATTGAAGCAGAAGCAAGTGTGGCAATGAATATCCATGTGTGTTCCTGTGGTGCATTCAGGAAGGCGGAGAAGCCGCTGGCTCGCTCTGTGTGGTTTTGCGAACATGCTGAACTTGGAAATTATATGGGTAGATGGGTTTGGACTCAGTTCAGCTCAAGTAAAGCTGCCTTGGACATGTGTGTACTGACAGGGACACGCATATACACTCTGATTTGAACCATGTCTAAAAAAAAAATACTATTGTTTAATGGGGGCAAGGGCTAACAGTCTCCATACATTTCCATGTAGGTAAAAGATGTGCCTGAATTATTTATTTATTTATTTTTCGATTTCTATCCTGCCTTTTTCCTACAAAGGGCTCAAGGCAGCTTACATCATTCTCCTCCTCCATCTTATCCCCACAACAACAACCCTGTGAGGTAGGCTGGACTGAAAGTCTGTGACTGGCCCAAAGTCACCCAGTTGGCTCCATGGCCGAGTGGGGACTAGAACCCAGATCGTCTTGAGTCCCAGTCCCATGCTCTTAACCACTATACCACGCTAGCTCTCATTATGGTGCAAGCTGCAGATTTCTTCTGCTACTGCAACCCCACCACCACGAGTCTGTCAGTCCAGCAGCTGCATGGTGTGCAGGTGACACAGAAAAGATACTGAAGTCTGTAGTTTTCTTTCTCTCTCTCTCCCCCTGCTTCCTCCCCACCCCCGTTCTCTGGTTTCCACAAACTATGTAAAGCAATCTTGGCAGTACAGAAAACTGGCTCAGCTAAAGGATCTCTGAAGGCAAATCTTTCTCTTTCAAAGGTTTTCTCAGTAAATGGAACTTGGATGACTTAAGTGCTGATGATATAACATAATGGTGGGTCAGGATTCTTTCATAGAGAATGTGTAGAATTAGGGGACCACAAAACATAATGTGTACATAAAATTGCCAACAAACCTCTCACCTTTATGCTTAGGGACCACCAGTGTTCCAGCGTGAAGAAGATTGTGAGTTTGTGTTTCTCTGGAGAACGCTAGAAGCTTGTCCTGTGCATAGATCAGAAGGCAAGTATGAGTACTTCATGTTCTTGTTGAACCTTCCAGTACATCTAAGCATCTCGGGAAAAAGTGGTTCTATACTGACAAGCAAGAAGTAATGCATCCATCCATTCTTGACCTTAAATACAGTATCTGCCTTTCAAACCCATGATATAATTGGTTACTTGCAAGGTACTTTGGGTAAAAGAGAAGATGGCAACTCTCAGCTCAGTCTGTGTAACTATCCCTGTGTGTGCATGATTTTTTCTAGAAGTGTTTTTGTTGTAGGGAATTCAGCATTTGAAACAGTCCATTTATTGCAGAATAGGGAGATGTATTATCCAGGCTAAGAAATTACATTCTGTGCAGTGTTGTTGTTGTTGTTGTTGTTGTTGTTAAAAGCTTTTATATGCCATCCTATTATACAAAAATCTCAGGACAGCTTACAATATTTAAAAGAACAATTAAAACAACAATTTCTAATAAATGAATTGAAACAGAACAAAACAGTAAATCACAAAACAAACAAGAGTTGTCTGGTCTCCCCACCATAATGAAAACAAACAAACCCCAAAGCAAATTGCTGTAAAAAAGTTATGGCAAAGCATTTTGTATTATTTCCATATCTTTGGGATTAAATTGGAGCTCGTATTTAGTGGAATTCCGCTGGAGTGGAGGAAGGGGGCAGGAGGATGATTTTCCGCTAGTTCCTTTTCCCCCTTGCAGCCCTCAGTGTCTCCTCCCACACTGTTTGAGTAAATAGGGGATGTTATTGGACACTGCAGAAGGGAAGGGGGAATCATGCAGCATTACTGCCCCAGCCCTTCTCTCCCATGGGGAGCCTCTGGTGGATTCTTATTCTCTCTGTGAATGGAGGGGACAAGGGATGTTTGTGGGCCGGGGGAAGTTTGGATGCTTTGCATGATATGACAGGTGTGTTTGTGCAAAATAACTGGCAGTCATGTATGTTAATCTGGAGGCTTTAAAGAATGCATGAATGGAGTGAAACAGAACTCTGCAATCTTACCGTTGGGAGACCGGGCATGTTACGTGATTGATGACCACAGCAATTACAATGACATAAATGATTTTTTTAAAATTCTGCTTGGATCTCTCTGGTGGATCATACTTTCAGTTTTCCATTTGGGGATGTAGGTGTGTATCACAAGCTTATTTTTCTTTTGATTTGGGGTTCCTTAAGGTGAGAACTGTCAGGTAAAAGATCCACGGTACAATTACGTATATGACCTCACATCACTTCGTGGGAAGGATATCCAAGTAAGCACTGACGAATATGACTACTACTTCAGAGTCTGTGATGCACTAACACCAGGAATATGCAAACAATCAAATCACAGGACAGAAGTGTCATCATGCCAGATCAAGAAGAAAGACTCCGATTTTAAAAAGATAGCAGGTAAAGTCATTCAGAGGTGATTATTAGAGGGGCCAGTTAGCCAGTTCTGTAGCAATATAGACTTGAAGCAGGGTGTGCTTCCAGAGGAAATGGGCTCAAATGGACACTTAGTAAAAAGATCTTCAACTCCCTAGTATTTCTCTCTGGGTGAGGGTAGGGGGACAATCACTGGCATACAAAAGACAATTTCACCAAATTATGATTATATGGGTGGGAGCATAACTAATCTTCCCCCCTCTCTCAACAGTGTTTCTTTTCTGTTCTAAAACTGTCATTCTTTTATCGTGTTTAACAAACTAGATATTGTCAGCAAAGTAATCTTGCTAGTCATGACACTACCTTAAATCTGTCTAGTTGATGTTTCCAATACCAGGCAGTACTCTTTTTATTAATTTATACTTTATCCTTAACTTATGCTTTATTATTAGGCTTGCATACTACAAAGCTGACATATGAAGATGGCTTAATTAAAATTAATTATACCAGTGGAGATACATGCCACACAATATATCAGCGGTCCACAGCCATATTTTTCTATTGTGATCTTCATCCAGACTTGAAGGTAAGCAGGCTAGGAAGTCAGTTCCTTCCCGTGGCATTAAATGTGGTTAGGCAAAGAGTTTGGCATCTGTGCTGCTTCAGAAAAAAATGGGCTGTGTGCAGATTCTGGTGTGAAATGCTAGGTATATCCTGTACCAAGCCTTCACCCAGATTGCTGCTGATGTTTGCAGTGCTCATCAGTGGCAAGAAAAAAGATGCATAGTGTGCATTAAAACAAAGCATATGGTAAGCCAATGCCAAGCATTAAATAAAATCAACCTCTCCTGAGTCTTGTGGAAGTGCACTGCCACATTAAAATAAGGTCTGTGCTTTTTAGGTTTGTTTTGATTTAAAGCAAAAACATGCTGCTAAATTGCTGCCACATTTGATGGTGATTTCAGCAGCAGGAGTGATGCAGTCCTTGGTGGGTTTTCTGGGCAGAAATGGCTCCCTGGGTCCACCAACCCTGCTTACCCCCAGTGGTATAAGGTAAATACTGAAGTTTTACCAGGAAAAGGATGAAGATTTTGGTAGCAGATTCAGTTTTGTCAGGTTCATGGTTGGGGATGTGTTTGACAACAAAGCTGTGGCTGAGGGATAACACTTTCCCAAAAAACATTTTGAAATGAATAAAGGGACAAGAATGCTAAAATCTTTGTCTTTCATTCAGGTTGTACAATTAAGAGAATGTCAAAATTTGTTTGTAACAGAGCAGTGACCCCAAATATTGTGCCCAATGCAGAATCTGTAGCCTTTTGTAGAATTGCAAATGATTACCATTTTGTCTTTTATAATCAGAAGCCTTGATGTACAGATGGGTCAAGTTGCCATCTTTCAGCCCCACATGTTTTGTTGATTTGCATATGTAATAGAGGTTTTCTGTCTTTATTTTCTTAGCCTGTATTTCTGAAAGAAACGGAGGATTGCACCTATATGTTCGAATGGCACACTCCATTTGCATGCCCACCTTCCAAAGCTGTGGAGTGCTCCTATAAGTAAGTTTCCTTTCCCTAGGTTCTTGAAATAATGTATTCTTTCTGATAAAGGGTAGCACCTATCATGTTCTAGCAATCTAGTCATATTTATAATAACACAGGGATTCCCTGGCAACTGGGTGGTGCAGAGATGGGTGGATGCCAAAACTCACTCCTTTTGACAGTTTTCAGACCTTAAGGTACTCAGGGTTCTTTGTGCATCAAGAAATGGCACACTCAGTATAGTTACTGGAAGAATTATTGTGGTGTTATGGAGTTAAATAATGTAGACATTTAAAAGCAGTCGGGACAGGAGATCTAACTTGTATTCTTTCTAATAGCATTCTCACAAATTTCTGCATGTTCGCATCTTCAGTGCATTATGTATTATAAAATGACCTCTCTTTAATTGCAGAGACAGTGCTGGCAACTCCTATGATCTGTCTTCTCTTACACGCCATAAGGAGAACTGGGAAGCCATTTCTAGGGCTAACCCTAAGCAGAAATACTACATCAACGTCTGCAAATCTTTAGTGCCACATAAAGGGGCAGGTAAGAATTGGAGAAGCTGAGTATGCTCTTTACCCATAAACATTGTGGAAAGAAATGACTACCCATGTTCTCCATGAAGGAAATGCCACACACAAAATATGCCTAAATTTGGGGGCATCTTTCCCCTTAGGGGCCACACACCAAACACCAGCAGCTCTTAAATGCTTAACTCACGCTCTCACACTCTCTCTGCGTGTGTGCAAACATTTCTGTACCATCAGTTAAAATTTTTGTACCATCAATTAAAAGGTCTGAGTTTGGCTCACAGTAGGTCATAAAATGCAGTAAAACTATTGCAAAAGCAATAAAAATACATCAGATATTAAAAGCCTGGGAAAAAGTAGTGGCATTAACATAGAAGTCTCTTTTTTTTGCTGTATCTGTGTAAGTATTTCTAAACACATTACTTAAGCAAAAAAGTAGCACATGTACAGGGTATCAATACCAACTTTTTTTCTTCCTTTCCCTTTTGTGGCAAATCAGATTCCTGTCCACCAGATGCTGCAGCCTGCCTGATGGATGGGTCTAAATATGTAAACTTAGGTGAAGTAGCAGAAGGACTCCAATGGCAAAACAATGTTTTTGTTCTCAAATACATCAATGGGGAAAAGTGTCCAGACCAGGTCCGGAAGAAGTCAACAATCATCCGCTTCAAGTGTGATGAAAATAAAGTTGTAAGTTAGTAGGTTGGATTTTATAATTTGGAAAGGCTGAGGAAGAGCTGCATTGACTTTGTGGGGGAAACCAGGACCCCACTGGGTTGGAATCCTACATCCTGTACCTATGAGAAGTGCAGGTAACAGTGGACCACAGATTTGCTCCTGGTGTGTGGTCAAGTCCTCACCACTGGCAGGATGAGGCAATGTCTAAGCAATCCTAGGGTAACTATCTATATGGGCTACCTGTGCAGGAAAAAATGTCCAGAATGGGCTTGCTGGCAAAGCTTTCCGCTACCAATCCCCTGAGCACCCTCCAGTTTGGCAATGTTGGCCACCATCACTTAAACTGGTCCTTCTGGATATGGGGAAATGGCAAGATGGGTTTGTGAAATATGGGCAGCACTGCTCACTAGAAGCTTTCCCAGTGTCCACTCTTTCTCACTCTCTCTTTCTGTTTGATTCAGGACTCCAAACCAGAGCTAGTAACAGCCATTGAAGATTGTGAATATACTTTTGTGTGGTTCACAGTGGCAGCATGTCCTCTGAAAAGCAACGTGCACAGCAACTGCACAGTGTCCAACCCTCGTACAGGTAACTTTTCGATGCAAGGTAGCGCTGAGTGGCTGGAGCAGGGATGATGGGTGTGGGGCTCACAGTCCCTCTCTCTGTCTGAAAGGACAGCCTGGGCCAGTTTGAATGCTCTCTGACCCACATTAAAGATCTAGGCAATTGTGAAAGAAATCCCAGGGCCAGTTAGTGCACTCTTATTATCTGTCGGTGCATGCCACAGGGTTCCTTGAATCTCGTAAGTATTTGCTCTCCTGTCAGATTGCGGGGTAACCTGTATACCCATGCGATCTAGGTGGGAAAAATGGAGCTGTAGCCCTCCTTCCTTGTGCAGAGTAAGACTGCTTACCCTGGGGAATTAAAACAAGATGCCCAGATGCTTTCTGTCCTGCTTGTAAGGTGTGGGACAGATCTTCCAGACAGCCCTTCTGTAAGGAGAACAGAGACTACAGCCAGTGCTAAGGGTGAACAGCATAAGTTGTTGGTACTATCACACAACAGTTTTTATCTTAGTTGTCTAAAATACCAGGAGCAAAGTGGATAACTTCACTTTGTGATAACTCAGAGGTTCAACCAATCAAAGCTCATGCATGTACTGGTTCGACACATGTGTCACGTTCACACTTCATGCTTATAACACCACAGATGTATTTCCCAAAGTAATTTTTCAGGGTTCTCCCTTTATTAGTTGGTTTACTTCCTGCTGGAGAGAAGACAATAATTCTTTATCTTTGCCACCATTAGGTAACAAAAATCTGATTCTCGTTTGGCTTTCTCTACAGAAAAGCTACACTGTTTTCATCTTGTCCTTTCCCTTCTCCTCCACTATTGTCTTACAGGCCATCGCTTTGACCTTAATTCTCTAAAGAGGCAGGATGGCTACACTGTGACTGACTTCAGGAACCGGAGAACCATCTGGTTAAGTGTGTGTGATGAACCTAGAAGTCCATGTGGTAGTGGAGCTGGTAAGCGTGGTTTGTCCCATAAGCATCTTGTACAGTTGCCTATCTTGAGCCCATGAAGAGTAAGATGGAGAAACTCTCTTTACTTAAACCCAAGCTAATCTAACGGCCACGTCTACTAGCTGATATGTTTAATGAGACAGATTGGATTTATCCAGATCCGCTCTCTACCCTGCAGTGGAGAAGAGGTGCATGCCCTCCTGCCTGTAACATGTCTACTGCTACTAGCTCATGGGTAAAATCAAGGGCAGAGGCTCAGCTCACGTAGTTGGTATCTGGGATACTAAGTGATTCTGGACCTACACAAATACCATTACAAATGTTATTCTTACATGTGACTGGCCAGTATCATCATTCTTTCTGGCTAGGGAAAGAAGGTGTCCACTTGTTCCCCACCATACATGAAACAGCACATGAAATACAATAAAGACACAGTTTGAAATATAGATAACGATAAAGACATCTGCTTGGGTCATTGCTGTATTCCAAAGGCTGAGCAGAGATTTGACAGAACTGTCAGCTGTATCAGCTGGAATCCCTCAGGTGTCCTCTGGAAACCACCCAGAGCCATCAGTGTCTGGGGCCAGAAAATTTGAATAGGATCTTCACCCCTTCAGAGGGGGAATGTCACCTTCAACCTAAATCTCAGCAGACAGTGGTCTAACCATGACAAAGGGACTGATTCCAAGTCCCCCACGTTCAAATCGCTATCCCCATGCCCAGCTGAAACAACCAGACAAATCCACAGCGTGGCCTGCCATGTGTGTTGGACTGATGATATGTTACAATGATGCCGTCATCATCACCATGGAAGTCCATGAAATCTTGAGTTGCCTTAGATAAGATTTATTTATTTATTAAAACATTTTTATGCCGCCCCATTTGCCGAAGCCTCGGGGTGGCTTACAACAACAAGTTAAATCATCATAAATAACATTTTAAAACATATACATTAAAATAAAATACAAATATACAATATAAAATAAGCCGCCCTGGCCAGATAAAATTCAATAATATTAACATTTAAAATGCAGCTTAAATAAAAAGATGCCTTTGGAATGGATGTGAAATACCACCTAGGACCAGTGGTCCGGATGACCTCAACACTGAACCTAAAATAGCCGCTGTCCGTTCAGGTAGGCAGACTATTAGGTCATGGGGTGGGCAGTACACTAGCAAAATCCCCAGTCGGTCCTGCCAGCCAACACAAGATCCAAAGACTGTAGACAAAGTCAAAGAGTCAGACGGGGAACCTTGATCTGGGGAAGCTATTACTCAGTCTAGCCTGTGTGAAGGGGCTGGTAGGTAGCCAACTGCATTTGTGTATTCATGTATGCGTGTACGTATAGACTGCATCTGGAATATTGTGTCCAGTTCTGGGCACCACAGTTTAAGAAAGATGTTGACAGGCTAGAAAGGGTTTAGAGGAGGGCAATAAGGATGATCCAGAGACTGGAAACAAAGACCTGTGAGGAGAGATAGAAAGGATTGGGCATGTTTAGCCTCCAGAGGAGAAGACTGAGAGGAGATAAAATAGCACCCTTCAAGTACTTGAAAGGCTGTCACAAAGGAGGAGGACAGGGTCTCTTCTCGATCATCCCAGAGTGCAGGACACGGAATAACAGGCTCAAGTTACAGGAAGCCAGGATCCAGCTAGATATCAGGAAAAATTTCCTTACTGTTAGAACTGGACAGCAATAGAACCAATTACCAAGGAGTTTGTGGGCTCTCCCACTCTGGAGGCATTAAGAGGCAACTGGACAGCCATATGAAGGGATGGTTTAACTTGGAGTCTGCACTGAGCAGGGGGTTGAACCTGATGGCCCACTGGCCCCTTCCAGCTCTACTATTCTATGATTCTATGACTTTCCCCCATAAAACCTGGATAATAGGCCACTGTTCTGCTTACTTTATAGATGACAGATTGGTGCTGAGAGCAAGTTACTGTTATTGCTGTTGCTATGCAGTTATTGAATTTATTTGATGCTAGCTGCCGACTAGCATCACGCTCTCTGGGCAATCATTGCAATAATAAATGCCAATAAAATAACATTGGATAAATCAATACGATTAAAATATCATAATAAATTAGAACAATATAAAATCACAAAATGTATAATTAAATAAAAATATTATATAATATGTGAAAAACAGTACAATTAGTCAAAATATTCTAAGTAGCACCATAGGCACACTGAAAATAGAAGGTTTTTGCCAGGTGCCAAAAACTCGGCAAAGTAGGCACCTGTGAAGGCTGCCCAGTGGGTCCATGAGTAACTTGGAATAAGAGCTAGTCTGGTCTGTCCTGCACTGACTTGTTCTTAGCGCCCTTTTTGATGGAAGTCCTCAGAGTTGGTTTTGCTCTCAGCTAGTACAGTCACTCTCGGTTGTGTTCAGAAGGTCTCAAGCCAGAAAGAGATCTCAGAAGTGCTTAACCTCAGACCCCTTCTGCCCTAAAAGAAACCTCTAACATTGTCCTCTTGAATCTCTTCACAGGAGTCTGTGTCACCGATGGCCATCAGCCATCCGTTAATGCTGGACAACTGAGCAAAACATTAACTTACGAAGATGAAGTTTTGAAACTTGTCTATGAAGGTGGAGACGCCTGCCCAGCAGATCCACGCTTGAAGTATAAGAGCTTTTTCAGTTTTGTGTGCTGGCCTGATGCTGGGCCTGGAAGCAAGCCAGTCCTTGTCTCGTTTAATGAGGCGACATGTGCCTATTACTTCTCTTGGCACACTGCTGTAGCTTGTGAAGAAGAGAGTGTGGTAAGGCCATTGCCAATTTCATCAAGTCCTTTTACTGAAAATGGTATTTTAAGTTGGGGAAAGCAAGTATTAAAATCTTCCACTTTCAAAGAAGGTTATAAGGAAGTGCAAAATTGATAATATTAGTTCAGGCTTCTTCACTTCCTGCCTTCCAGTTAGATGTTTTGGACTTCATCTCCCATCATCTCCCAACCAGTTTAATCAGTGGTCAGGAAGGCTAGGGGTTACCATCAAAAGCATCTGGAGACCAGAAAGCTGAGCTAAAATTGTTATCTTCCACATTTTGTTGCACAGTAGTTGTTCTCCAAAGAGGGGCAAAAGTGTTCTGACAAGCAGTTAAACAGGGCCAGTAGAATTTCTACTACCACATAAGGAGCTGCGAGTCCTGCCAGCTGTATTTCTAGCCACTAATACTGGCACAGGGCAGACACAAGGTGCCCACGGGGTTTAAACAGTGTTCAAACTAATCTTAACCAGATTAACATGATGGGATGCAGTGGTCCAGGAGCAGGGCCAATTTGCGTGCAGGAGGGCTCAGTGATGTGGGTGTACGCAGGCCCACACTGCTCTCCAGGGGGAAGGGAGGTCTACACTCTTGTGCATGTTGCGTTGTAACACCCAAGTTAGGAAAAAAAAGTCTTAATGATAGATGAACTGTGGGTTTTTTATATGACAGTTTCATTATGCTTTGAAAAGAATCATATTGTCAGAGCCATATTCATCTGTGCAGCTGAGGTGTTCTGAAAGATGGACTAAGCAAATCTTGTAGCTTTTGTTTGGACCCATCAATTATCTGCAGAGTCATATCTGGCTGCATTTACAGCATCTCTGCTAGCAGTGTGTTAAGTCAGTTGCTTTCACTGGTCTGCACTTCCAAGCACATGTATCTTGTCTAGAAGTAGGAGTTATTTTGGCTGCAAGTGTTCGAATAGATGGAAATCAGTCTTCTAAGGGAAGATCCAAGTTGAGACGAATGTAGTGTGATAGAAGGGAAGAAACCCGAAGAGGAATAGGGAGCCTTATAAACAGTTTGCATTATTTTCAGTTTTTGTTAGCTATGTGCTGTTTTGTGAATCTTCTTCTTCCTTTCCTCCAAACAGGTGGAATGCACAGTTACAAATGGCAGCACCATAATTGACCTCTCTCCTTTGAACTATCCAACAAGTTCCTATGAGACATATGCTAACTTATCCTCCCTTCATCCAGACTTCTATATTAGAATTTGCCAGCCTCTGAATTCCATCAGAGATGTTAACTGCCCACCTGAAGCAGCTGTCTGCATGGTTCCCATTACTGGTTCTCCTGTAGTAAGTGTTGCCACCAGCCTGACTTGAGCAGTCACTTGCACCAAATGCTGGAATACTGGAGTGGAAGGGTGCTGTTGCACCCCCACCCTGCTTGTGGGTCTCCTGGGGCACCTGGTTGGCCACTGTGTGAATAAAACGCTGGACCAGATAGGATTCTTGGTCTGATCCTGTGCGGCTTTTCTTGTGTTCTTAATTTCTTTGCCAAAAACATTTGTGTTTTGAGAATACATACCTAGTACGGTGCCTCGTTCTAATGCTTTACTCTGGAAGCATCTCTCTCTGGCCAAAAATGCTGGTTCTGTGTAGCATATTTATAGTGCAATGAGTTCTGGTATGCTGGGGCAAAACGGTAGATAGAGTTAGTTACTTGCATCTTATCCTCCTTGCAGCCTGCATGTGAGTAACTCCTGGGAGTTTTTGGAAGAATTTCTCATAAAGCCTGTGTCTACCATTGCACTGAGTCTGCCAGCTTTGTTAGCAGCTCTGAAATAACCTGCCTTGGTTCCGGCACTGCATTTCTAAAGCTTTCCTGTGCATCTGTTTATCCACTTGACACTGGAGAAAAGGTGGAAAACCATGAATAAGCCTCCCTTCCCCTGATCCACGTGCCATGAGGTGGTGGCATTCTGGATGCTTTCATTTGAGGTCGGGGAAGACAGCTTTTTGGAATGCTATCTTAACTTAAAAAAAAAAATCTTGTCTGCAGTTAATGATCTCCCTGATGGTGCTAGTTTTTCAATCTGGGTATTCTCCAAAAATTCAGTAGCCTCCCTTTAATCTCATGTAGTATATTGAGCCCAAAATCATTGCCTCCTAATTCTTGTTAAACTGTACTTATATTTACCGGCTTGTCAATATCTTTCATTCCTGTTTCCAGCCCTCACAGTCAGTATCCCCAGATTTTGATCAGGTAATCCCTTGCACGGTTGTGCAGAAGTTTCGGAATGCCTTGGTTCTCACTGGCACTAATAGAACTTGCTTGTTGAAAAGCCAGATCAGGGGCACATTAAAGTATCATAACAAATTTATCTTTTCAATTTAGGACATTGGACACATCACTGCACCTCCCAAGCTTAACACAGCAACAAATGAAGTTTATATTACTTATGACAGTAGCACTCCATGTTCAGAAGATAAAAGTCTCAAGTATTCGTCCCTCATTGTCTTTCATTGCAACAGAGGCGAGAATTTGGTAAGAATTTTCTTACTTTGTTCACTGCCAAGCCTGTAGAGAGACGTGGGTGGAAGTCTTTGTTCTGGAAGAAGAAATGCAAAAACATATTGGGAAAAGGATGATGAAATCTATTCCAAACACTGACTTGCAAGATACAGTGAGAGTCAGGTGTGGGCTTGTCATGGAAAGTCCCTCTATCCACTTCAGTTTGATGATCTTTCAGTTACTTATCCATCTCAACATGAATCTTCGTTAACTATGGCACACTTGCTGTAGTTGACGTAATTTGGATTCCTCTCCATCCAAATAATAGATCTGATGGACTACTTGCAATAGAGGGTGCTGGTTCCTTTGTGAATGGAGACCAAAGCCTGTGTTTTCTGAGACTGTTCCTAAGACACCTGCAGGGTCTAACTGTATCCCTCAGCCCTCCAAACAGAACCTCATCCAGAAAGAAAATATGTATAATTTTCTGCTGTTAAAAGATAAAGATTTACAAAGCACTTGGTTATTTTGATGAGGAATAGTGGTCAGGAAGGGGGTGAAGGTTCAGGCTGGGAGCAGGATATGGAGCAGCAGATATGGGGGAGGGACAGAGAAATGTTGAAGACACCAAATCTTCTTGAGACACACAAACTGTTGACTATCCACCAGATTTCTGGCATTTGTGAGATCTTGCTTGAAAACTTGTCTTCAGATTTCCTCTCCTTTTTGCTCTGGATAGCAGGTTCCTTGCCTCAGCATTTGATGCATTTTGCAAGACCATTGAAAGTCTAGGTGGATGAGCGCAGTCCTCTTTAAAACCAACTGCATGCACCTGCTTATGTTTTCAACACCTTGGCTTATGTCTTGATCAGCTTAAGGTAGAATCCTATGCTTATTGAGACAGAAGAAAGACCTGTAGCTCCCAGCATGCTCCAGGGAGCTATCCTGTCAGAGTCGTGATGGGACGTATAGGCCTCCTGCTCAACATGTGCAGGACTACACTTTTAGTCAGAATTTGTTTATTTGAATATTTACTGAAGGACTCTCAGGGCAGCAATTCTTGCAAGGCACTGTACAACAATAAAAGACAGTAAAGATCACAGTGTGCTCATCACACTGGTAAAAACACAGTTAAAAATGAGCCTAACATCAGCAGTGCTGGCAAGAAGCTATGCAGACCGCATAAAGCCCTTGATCAAACAGCACCTGACGCAAATAGACACGCTTGCTTAATGTGGTCTGACCTTTAGCATAAGCTCGCAGCATGCCCCTACTTTATTTGCTTGCTTTTGAAGAGACTTTCTTTGGAATAGCCTTTTTTTAATAGCCCTGTCAAGCAGTCCCTTACCAAATTTGTTCATGCGGATGAAGAAAAATATAGGATTTGTGCAATTGAATAAGCAGAAAAAGCTCCCCTCCCCACTCCAAAAGAGCAAATTTCAGCGTGCATTTAATTTCTAAAGGTAACCATCATTCATATGAGTATCTTACCCTAGCTAGTTATCTGGTTTCTCCGATCTAAATCTTGTTTGCATTTTGCTTGCAGGGAAAACCCAAAATGATAGAGCAGTCAGCCTGCAAATACATATTTGAATGGAGCACCCCATTGGTATGCCCTGATAAAGTCGCTGTTTCAGGCTGCTCTGTGTCTGATGAACGCTTGCACTACTCCTTCAACCTATCCAGTCTTTCTGGAACCCTTTACAAGGTGATGTATTGCCATGACCAGCCAGGGAGCTGCATACCTGGTTACTGCTTTCCCATCAAGTGAAGTCGAGCATGCTCAGCTATAGAGACCGTCACTCTGGGGGTAGATCCCAGGCTTGGCATGCAGCAAGTCTCAGGTTCAGTCCCAGCACCTCTAGTTGGTGTTCACAGCATTACACCCCCTTTGTGGCAGCTTCTCCTCCCTGAATAGTATCCAGACTTGCTACTTCAGGCTGCTGTTGCTGTTCCTGGACAGGAACCTCCTTATGTGTACAGTTTGCACCTGTTCACTTTTAAAAGCTTTCTAAACTAGTTTCTTGGGGTACTTTCCCAGGTCACCTACAGTATGGACCTCCATCTTCTAGGAGGGAAGCTCCTGATTGGAGCATTTCCTATATTCCTAGGTGGAACAGAAGGAATGCAAGAGAAGCCACAGGCATATCACCCTTTTTGTAAAGAATGGCACATGGGAGCAACAGGGTGGGGGAGGGACAGCTACCTTCTCAAATTACAATGGGAGCGCAGAATAGTTGAAACTGAGACTGCCATCCGACCCCAGATGGCAGCCAATAAATGCATTATCTGCAGCAGTCCTCTTCACACATTTCCTTGCATCTCCATTAAGCAGCTGTGCAAGCCTTGACCGTTTCCGCTCCCCATGTACTGACCCTTGATCTATGCGCGTGCACTTCAGCATTGCTCTCATACCCTGTGTGCAATTCAGTAATGGTCTGGCCTCGGCTGCCCCCACAGGTCCCATCCGGGGGCAAGTTTTTCCATCTAGGGGTATGTTCCGGTGCCACGGAGGTGCCCCAAGGAAAATGCAGAGACGCAGCAGTATGCCTGGTCTCCGGCAACAGTGCCGTCTCATTTGGCAACAGGAAGGCAATGTGGATGGACTACTGGCACGAAGAGGAAGCCGTCGTTGTGCGGTACAAGAGTGGTGATGTGTGCCCTCCAGGTACGGCTTCCTTCCAAGGAATCACAAGGGGTTCTCTGCTACCTCTGGGGCAGTACTTAAGCCTGTGCATCTAGCTACCTTTTCCCTCTCACCAAAGTTGCAGGGCATGGATCGAAGACAGTGACACCCAGAGCAGTCTCAGTGAAAGTTCACGTGAAGACCAGGGCATAAGTGCTCTCATCCAAAACAGGCTTCACATGGGAAATTATCAGTCATCGACTGCAAAAGTGGTCACTGTGGGCTGTTGTGTTTCCTAATTGCGGGTGGTAGCGGACACCCAGGGCAACAGCCTGCTCATGAAAGGCGCGGTTCCATTGCACCTTTCGTTGTTGCAGAGGTGCGATTCACAGCATGCTTTACCCCCTCCCACTTTTCTTTTTACAGTTACTGAAATGGGCGAGCGTTGTGTCTTCCCTTTCCAGCACAAGGGCAAAAGTTACGACACGTGTATTACAGAGGGACGTGAGCGGCCCTGGTGTGCCACTACAGACAATTTGGAACAAGACCACAAATGGGGGTTCTGTGTAAATGGTAAGCGAAAGGACATGTTGCTGGGACAAGTTTGAAACTAGGGATAGAGCAGCAGCCACAAGAAAGGAAGTACCCCAGTTTGCTCACAGTTTTGATGCGCAGAAGTGATTTTCGCCCGTGCCAGGCTGCCTGCTTGCTGAGGGTGTCTGCTGAAGCCTTCCTGGTAGCTTTTGTGGTCATGTAGAGCAATGGTTTTCAACCTTTTTACAGTTGAGGACTGGCAAAAATCAAAAAATTATTTTGAGGACCGCTGAGGCAGACATAAAAAAGCATCATATTCATAATATAGTAGAGTATTTTGTGTATTAGTTTTTAAATGGAGTACCAAAATAATGAAAATTCTCTACAATAACCAGAAACTGAGCAGTAAAAATGCTAATAGAAGACCGGTGGTTGAAAACCACTGATGTAGGGCACAGCTTCGAATGGAACAGGTCCCTCTCTGGAATTCCTTGTCAGCTAACATTAGACATGCACCAGTGTGGCTCTCTTTTCAGTGTCTTCTAAAGATAGAATTATCTGAACAAGCCTTTTCTGCATGTCCATTATTGTGTTGGCATCAGCTGATTCTACAGATTTTATCATTTGTATATTTTTTTCCTTTACTGTTCACTGCTCAGGAATCTTTTTAGTTACAAAGCAGTGTATGCATTTTGTAAAATGTGAATCTTAGCAATTGTGAAAAACAGCCATGCATTAACACTGACTGGGTTCACATGCTGTGGAAAACCATCATGGGTAACCAAAGTGGGTGGTTACGTTGTGCAGACCTGGGCTGCTGCTTTAGGGTGGCTTTTTTGCCCCCAGCAAGCCACCCTGACAACCCATGGCTTGTTTCAGAGGTGGTGTTGCCTGAACCCAAGCAACTAAACCCTCTGTGCATTGCAGGCAGTAGTGAGCAAGTGGCTCAGCGGGAGTGGCAAAAAGCTGTTGCTGCGCTTGGTCAGGCCAGTGCCAGAGACAGCTGCTCCACTCGGTGGCCGAATGATGCTTTGGAACAGCCATCCCTGGCTTACTGTCCACATTCAAATCATGGCCCATTAGGGTTGCTAGGGTCTCCCCACTCTTTTCCCCCTCTCTCCTCTAGGGAGTCAGTCTGCCCCTTCTTGCATTTCCTTTAGTATTTTTCCTGATGCTGCACTAGGCTTGCACAAAGGCTGTTGAGAATTTTTATTTCTGCTTTCATGCTGTGATTTCACTACACTGAATGCTTTCTGATATTTTGCACTGAACTGCCTGGGGGACCATTCACGTAGCCTAGTTTGACTCTTCTTACAGGCCTCTAAATAAAGCATTCGCATGTGCAGCTCCATGAACCAGGAAGTTTTGCAGGCTGAGCATATAATAGGCAAGCAAAGGGCTCTCTGATGGATGTGTCTGGTCTTACCCAGTGCAGCAGTTTCTTTCTCTGCACAGATTCACCCTTCAGCTCAGCCAGGACTGTCTGTGCTTTTGTGGGAATATATGCAGAAATACCTGAAAGGTTGGTTGGCGGATGCTATAGAATCTAGGCATGGATTTACAGTTGCTTCTGTTTCATGTCCCGCAGGATCTGTGCTTCGGGAATCGACTATTATTTTCAAGTGTGATGACAATGCCGATAATGGGAAGCCCCAGCTCTTAAGTGAGACCTTGGGCTGTGCTGTAACGTTTGAATGGAAGACGAGAGTTGTGTGTCCTCCCAGGCAAATGGAGTGCAAGTTTGTTCATAAGCACCAGACCTATGATTTGAGGATGCTCTCCTCCCTTACAGGCTCGTGGATCTTTGCTGACAAGGACAGCACGTGAGTCTCTTTCGGAATTCTAATGGAAACCACCTCACCGGTTCATGTTCAGTGAGCGAACCAAATGCCACATTTGCAAGGTGGCTGCATATTGCGCAAGGGTCAAGAGGCTGGACAGAAGAGACTGCCGGTGTCGCCCTAAGATGTGCATAAGGCTAGCTTTGCACTCCTTTTCACTGGCTGATTTCTCTCCTCCTCTGTGTTTGGTACATGTAAACTGGGAGCAGATCTGTCAAGGTGACATAGGGTAGGTTCACCAGTTTAAAAGGGGCGTGTATTAGCCAGAAATGCCGGTGCCACTTGGTCTGCCCTATGGAATAGTATGCTTTGCATGATAGGAGAAGTTGTGAAGCAGGAAAGAATTTAAAGGAGAAATATGAATTTCTGCAGAAGGCCTAAAATTGACTGAAGTCTTAGTTGACTTTAATCTACAGGGCTTGGTGATGAAGCAGGTTGGTAGATCAAACATGACACTAGAGCAATATTCTTCGGCACCCTCAGAAGACAGAAACTACATTTATAACTGGAAAGGCTCCAGGGTTAAAGACACCTTAGCAAGCAAGCAAACAGCTCTTCAAGAGTTCTTATAGAGGTTCAAGGGAAAAAATGGGCAGGTATCCTTCTGAAAGAGATTACTAAAAAAAATCCTTTCTGATTCAGTTTGAAGCACCCAAGGTAGCTTACCAAAGATGGACAACCACTTGTAGGTTACCAAAAGTGGCACAAGCTGTTTAATTGGACAATCTCAGGTAGGAGGCACTTTGGCTTATGTGCCACAGTAAGGCTTGCATATGTGCCTGTTCCCTAGAAACAAAACCATACCCAAGGTATCCCCTTACTCTGCCCCCCAATACTGTTTGTGGTCCTTGCCACACCCCAGAATGGCATTGCCAGACCACCAAATTTTGGCACCTTGACGTAGTGGCAAACTGTACTCCTTGCACGCCTTGTTTTCAAGCGGACATGCAACCTTTTTGCTGCCCCATCAGTAGAATTTGGTGATGTGGAAGCAGCAAGGGTGACATCACCTCTGGGTACTTGGATTCTGTATGAGCATATGTGCAATTCCATAGGAGCATGGGATGGGGTAATGAAACACAAAATTCAGCCACCTAAGTAATGAAAACACATGTCTAATCCCTGTTACCATGAAGATATGCATTGAAGTGTGTGGGTGCTGGCTGCCGAAATCTCCAGGCTGGAGAAGCTGCTGAATACAAATGTCCAGGCTTGTGGGCATGTCCTGGCACAGCTCTTTGCCCCCCCCCCACCCACCCCCCATGGCAAGTAAAGGTAGAATAAGTTGTGCAAATTTGCACAGATTGCAGTGTTCCAGTTTTCGTGGTGTAGAATCCAAACTCGGTTAATCTGGAGTGCACTTTTCCTAAAGAGCCTTGTTTGACTGAAGAGCAGAGTAGAATGCTTTAAAAACCAATTTACTATTGAGTTGATATACTGCCTCTTCAAAATATAGAGTCAAGCTGCCTCTCTTTCCGTATTCATTTACAGTTACTACATGAATCTCTGTCAGAGAGTCCATGGAGGACCCTCAGGCTGCCCAGAGCGGGCAAGCGTTTGCCGGAAAACTAAGAACGGGGCTGTGCAAGTTCTAGGATTAGTTCATATGCAGAAATTTAACGTGACCACAGGTACAGTATATCTGTTGGAGCTTTCCCTGTGGATAGGGAAAGAAAGCAATGTGTGACTCAATAGTCAGCTGTAGAAATCCTGCCTCTGAAAGGAAAATGTGCTTGATTCAACTTGCCTTCATTCCAACAAATGTGTGTTATGTGCAATTTTATATTTCCCCTCTCTGGGGCTAGAAGTTTCCCTGAATCCTGGAAAAACCCTTTCATAGCTAGCAACCTCCTAGCCATTTTCCAAAATGTCAAGTATTGTAGAAAAACTGATGTATTAATATTGTTTTATTTTTATTTTTTGGTGTCAAAGTCTTGCTTGTGTCTTTCCTGACACTTTCTGAAATTCAAGCCAGACTTCATTTGCTATTAATTTACAAGAACTTGGTGCTTTGTTTCAGGTGATAAATTTCTTGTCAGTTACTCCAATGGCTATGACTGTCCACAAGGGAACAAAAAAGCATCAACTGTGATTGAAATGAAATGTGGAGAAACAGTTGGCAAACCAAGAATCAGTAGGTAGGTATGGGGCCAGGAAGTCCGGTCTCACTGGTGCACTTCCTGTGTTCTTTAATAAGAAAACATGTTCATTTAGTGCTGATACACTTCCTGCTGGTTAAATATTTCCTGTTAGGATCGATGAAGAAAGTTGCACCTATTACATTACATGGGAAACTCGGGCTGCTTGTGCTGTCAAACGCCAAGAAGTAAGCATAATCAATGGCACGATTATAAATCCAGCAACAGGGAAGAACTTCAGTTTGGGTGACATTTATTACAAGTAAGTAATCTTCCCTGGCATACAGTGGAGCTGGTGGAAAGGGCAGGGGTACAAAAAGCCAGCTATCTTAGTTGTCACTGGCTTCTTTTAAAAACTAAGAGTCCAATGGGGGGGGATATTTGAAGTGGGGAACCAAAGCTTCACACCTGTGTGAGGTTTCAGGTTACCTGGTGACCCTAGGTAATCAGAAATTAGGCTTTTCGGTGGGTGGACTTTGAATTGGAGAGGAGGGATTGTTGTACTTTTTCAATTTTGATCTTTAAAAGGCTTTGGAGGTTGAGAAAAGATTTTTCAGTATGCTCATTAGAAAATCTGTTTATTTTTGTGTTGGCAATCTTCATATGTGTTGAAGAGATGTATGTCTGCCAATTTAATTAAGTACAGTTTTAAGATGGCAATGTTGATGAGTAAAATCCATTTTAGTCTTGTTCAGGAGAGACATGTTTTTTAACTTTTTAAATTATTTTTAAGGGCACTTTAGCTGAACATCATTGTAACTGTGGTGCTTCCTTAAGTAAGGTGTGTTCCTACCCACAGAATAGCAAGGTGTACTTGCAGTACTTGATTTAAACACTGGGCTCCTTTGATTTATTTTAGAGCTTGCTGTTGAGACAAAGGGCATGATTAAATATATTAAATGCAAGGGCCATTGCTGAGTCCTGAATAACTCTGATTGGGAACGTGCCTGCTTTAATTTCATGAGATACGGGGATGCACAGACTAGTTTGGAGAAATGAATGGAAGGGCATTTCTGACAGGGCTTACAAAACGTTTGTTGTGGTCTGTATAGAAGTGAGAGGCATGTCATGAGCAGAGCTGGCTGGAGCTGTGGTGGGGGATGGTGGTCAGACTAGATGGCCCGGAGACCCCTTCTGACTTGCTCTGTTTCTATGCTTCTGTGTGAGATTTAGTAAGATTTTACAGATATTGGTGAAAATGGCTATAACATTCAGTGGCAGTGTAACATACCTGAAAGTATAAAAATACAGAGGCCATGCTGGATCAGACCAAAGTCTGTTCAATAGCGCATTCTAGTTGCACAGCAGCCAACCTGCTCCTTCCAGGAGCTTAGTTGGAGATGAGCCATGACGGTCCCCCTCTTGGGTGGAAGTGGACTGGAGGTTTAAGCTGAAATAATACAGACCATCTTGAATAGTGAATTCTTATCAACTAGATAAGAAGAGGTGACTGATCCTGAAGCCTTTCTTCAATAATAGAAGAAGAGAGAGCCAGTGTGGCGTAGTGGTTAAGAGCATGGGACTGGGACTCAGACGGCCTGGGCTCGAGTCCCCGCTCGGCCATGGAGCCACCTGGGTGACTTTGGGCCAGTCACAGACTCTCAGCCCAACCCACCTCACAGAGTTGTTGTTGTGGGGATAAGATGGAGGAGGAGGAGGATGTAAGCTGCCTTGAGCCCTTTGTAGGAAAAAGGCAGGATATAAATAAAAAATCAATAAAAATCGATAATAGCGGTTACATTTGTGTGGTATGAATTTATGTTCAATTTTAAACCTTCTCTTGCTTTTTCAGACTACACAGTGCTTCTGGTGATATCCGAACTAATGGTGATACCTACATTTATGAGATTCAGCTTTCTTCTATCACGGACTCAAAGCACTCACAATGCTTGTCAGCCAACATATGTCAAGTTAAAACATCAGGGACTCATTTTCGGAAAATTGGGTCTTCTAGCAAGGCGAAATATTATATCCAAGGTAAGTGCTTACCTCTCCTAAGAACAACTCATTACATTGTGGTGGCCAGGGCATTGCCTTTGTTGCTTTCCAGTATTTCAAAACTCATGTTTTTGCCTTCTAGTGAGCCTGCAGTTTTTCCGTGCAGTAGAGGAATGCCCGTCAAAGGGTTTACTCGCGGGCTCCAGAAGTGGGGGCTCCTCAGTCCAGCACCTTTCACGAAGAGTGTCATCTGCTGCCTACCCCTGGCCTAAGTGCTTCTCCACCTGCTCTCCTGGCTGCTTGGCCATGGGGAGACAGACCAAAACAAATTGCCTCCTTTATTTTCTGATTCTTTTGCCCTACTCCCTGGCCTGGCTTATGTTGAGGCTAAGGTTCTTCACTGGACTAGAGAAACTTTTCTTCTTGCTTTTCCCAGCCATTCTTGGGCTCAACAGTGAGGGTTCGAAAGACACATAAAGAAGTGGGCCCCCTGTTGGCTTGCTTCTCTTTATTGTCTTCCTAAGCTATCAAAGGCAGCTGGGAAAGGCAAGGAATGGCGAAAGAGTATGGCAAAGGAGAAGCGGTTTGCTTTGTGTATACACAGTTTTTGACATTCTGCACCCCATTTGCCCTACCAAACTGGGAACGGGTTTACAAACACACCCGGCCGTCTCTTGCTTTTCCAAACTGCAAGACAGTTAAGAGTCGAAGATGGATAAATGAAGAACCAATTCTTCACCCAACTCTCTCCTTTTCCCTTCATAGTCTTCCTCAGTATAAACAAGTACTGTGGTGAAATTCAATGGTTGGCATTAATGGCATGACTTTACTATGAGCAGGAGTCTACATAATGCACATAGTTTTGCTAATATTTTAGATACTGGCCATCTATCATTAGGCGTGCATATAAGAAATACCTGCTACGAATAGGGCCCTGACACTTAGAGGTTCAAAAGCAATTAGAACACCTTTCATTTCCTCTAAACTGGAAAATCTTGAAGTGTTTCCTCCTGTAATTTAAGCTGACCTTAAAGGCTGTAGTGAGCAGGTCTTCCCTACCTCTTTTCCTCTCCTGCAGACTTAAATGAGAACTTAGAAGCACAATCCTTTTATTAGAGCTTTACCAGTTACTGTACAGTATAAATCAAAGTAGTTTCTTAAGATGTGGGAGAGGCCTCTGACCATGTAAAGAGTTGATTCAAAACTGAAACATTCCCTCCTTCCCTTTCTTTCTCTGTACTGTGTGACAGCTATTCCCCCTCTCTGCACAAGGGCTATGCAGAACATTTAGTGCAGTGTGTATCAATTAGCAATGTACTCCCACATGGCCAAGTTTCTTCTGTAATGTCTGCTGACAAATGAGCTCCATTCAGCAAGTTTCCTGGGCAATACATTTAAGACTTGCTGCCTCAACCAGTTTTATGGCTTTAAAATCGTCCTGGCTGGAGGAATTAATGAGCAATTTTCTTTCCTCTGAGTTGCCCCAAATCGCTGCTTTCTTTAATGTGGGGCCAAAAGATGTCATATTATCAAGGCACTGATAACAGTTTCTTAGGATCTGGAAAATGTTCAACAAACTGATACAGCATGATGTGTTTAGGTACCTGGAAGACCAAGCAAAACCTTCAAGGGTTCAGTGCTATGTAAGCTTAGAGGGAAAAAATGTCTCCAACTCTCAGAGTGCTGCGTCATAGGATTATAACTAAAGCTTTGTAGATATTGGTTAAAATCGACATTTTAATCCACAACAACTTCAGTAACATTGTTGCCTCTTTTTGTAGCTCTGGAAGAGTTTTCCCCAACCTGTTCGCCTTTAGATGTTTTGGATAAAAATGCACATCAACGCAAACTCCAGAGCAGATGGGGGTTGTCATTCAGAACATCCTCAGGGGTACCAGACTGGAGAAGGCTGCTCTAGAAAGTTAATATAAATAATTTTAATCTTTTCTCTTTTTGTAGATGATGATTTGGATGTTGTGTTCACCTCCGACTCCAGTTGTGGTAGAGACAGAACAAAGACTGCATCCTCCACTATTTTCTTCCACTGCAGTCAACAGGCCAAAGAAGGCATCCCTGAATTTCTCCATGAGTCGTCAGACTGCCAGTACTTGTTTACCTGGTACACCTCAGCAGTCTGCCCTTTGCTGTAAGTCAACCCCTTGAAAATAGCAAGACTTCTGACCTCTTACCCCTCGGAATAGCAGAAGATTTGTTCACAATGGAAACATTATCTGGAATAACATTCACTGGTGTCCATAGTAATCCTCTAGTTATTTTTAAGGCAAATATAATAAACATCTGATTGACATGTCTCACTTGGAGGCAAAACTCCTTTGATTCAGTCACCTAGTAAAATGCCCAAATGTATAAACCATGGGCTTTCCAAATTATATTTTGGCAGCTTTGCCTCTAGTCTTGTTGCCCGTGGATCTTGGTTCAGCCTGGGAAGCCAACCCAACTAGTGCAACCTAAGTATTCAAGGCATCATTCAGAAGGATTTATCCATGAGCAGCTTGCAATACAGTTTTAAAAATCTAGAGGAAAGCAAAGAAAGTTTTAACACACAATCGAAGGAAACCAATGAATCAAGGGAGTGGCAAATTGCTAAAATTACCCATCCTTAAAAATAGGAACTGATGAAAATTCCAGGAAAGGTACATCTGAACCAGGGCTCAAGTTAATGCATTTGGCAGCAGGTGGACATTCTGCAGCTGGGATGCCTCTGAAGGAAAAGTCCCCTCCTCTGTTGCCCCTTGCCTTGCCTTGCCTCTGATGTGGGGGCAACTCAAGAAGGGCCTCCCTTGAAGACCATACCAGGCAGGCAGTTGGATAATGTATTACTGCTTCTTGGTTCCTGTCCCACCAGTCCTCACAAGGGACCCAGAGCAGCTAACAGTCCACATGACACGCTATGGCACATAAGCACCATTAAACTTATACCTCTGGAATTGCCATTCCATAATAAAATAACGCAAAACTCCAGTTTGAAATTGGAGTAGAAATAAATGATTTTAGCTGAATGACAACAGTATGGGACAAACGACTTGCCGCTGGAAGGGAGTGCAGCGGGGTGTTTCAGTTGAGAAGGCTCTGCCGTAGACCATGTTGTGCATGGTAGGGATGTGTGAGGAATCTGGTAGCAGGGTAAAGGCCTAGGCAACAGTTTAACCCGTCTGCCACCTGAGTAGCTGAGAGGATAGAAAGAGACTGTGACTGCTGCAGGCAGAATCTCAAATCAGGCAGAATCTCAAATCCCCAAGTGACTGCTCCTGGCAGTTTTTAGGTGTTGAAAGACCTGAGGGACCAGAAGATGCTGTGCTGTGGCTCCAAGCAGGTTCCTGTGGGGCCTGTGGCATTGACTGAACATCTGGCTGAGTGGTCTTGAAGTAATGGGGAAATTGGCTGGGAGAAGCTGGTTGCTCTACTCTCAAGAAGCACAGATAGGAACCACTACTGTGCGGGCAGGTGATTAGCACATCCTGAACCAGTTTCCCCACACACAGAATCATAGAATAGTAGAGTTGGGAGGGGCCAGGAAGGCCATGGGGTCCAACCCCCTGCTGTTGCAGGACACCAAGTTATACCATCCCACTCAGATGGCTGTCCAGTTTCCTTTTGAACATCTCTAGTGTGGGAGAGCCCACCACCTCTCTAGGCAGCATGTTTCAGATTAAGCATCCTGGCAAAAACTTATTGATAATCCTTGTATTTGATCAGTTTCAATGGTTTTCAAGCATGCTTTTGGGGTTGGATTCAAGGTCAAATAGGATCTGTTCACTCAGCGGTGCTTTTCTATCCTTTTCTTTCTGCCAGAGCCCCCCTATGGAAGGATGTGTGGAGGATCTGACAGGGGGTAGGTGGGGTGAGCATCTAAAGGATTTTCAAAGTTTAGCTCTCCAGATTCCCATTTGTCAGCTCTGTGCTGGTGTTGACCCATTACTGACAAACTTGCAGTGAAGCCAGGTGGCAGAATCCTGTCGCTATAACAGGCTGTAATTTGTGCAATTGGAGGAAAAGAACTGTAAAGGCAATTTGTATAAAATGAACCAATTCACACTAATCTGCACTCAAAAAACACTTGGTCCTTGCATGATTTGTGCAAATCACATGTTAACCACGTACTATTTTGGATTTGCACAAATAGCACAAACTTGCAGGGTTCTTTTTACTGCTTAACAAATATGCAAACCAGAGCCTGTTTGGAAGACAGACATCTGCAGGTAAATCCTCACTTTATTTACTTATTTAGGAATAAGTGAATTTTTGTATATTATTCACTCAGCTGGCTCTCTGAACAGCTTACAATCAGTAAAACATAACACAATATATTAAAACAAATTTGCATAAGTTAAACTAAACAATTTATAACATAGTTAAACAGGTTAATAAATACACACTTGGCACACTTCCTATCATTCGACCCAAAGAGTGCAGGAAATCTGCCAAGCTCAAGTGCCCCAGACTTCGCAGTATCAGTGCATCTTCGCCCCTGTGCAGAGGAGCTCCTGATGGTCTTTCTGGAATGGGACTGGCTGACTTAAAATGAATGGGTCAGCTGGACTAGATGACCTTTGGTCTGTCTATCATGGCTTTTCTTAGTTCTAAATTCATGGGGTGCTTTGCCTGACTAGAAAGACAATACTGTGCTCTGTAGATAATCTAAGATTATTTATTATACTGCCTGCAGAAGCTCTGAGACTACAAATGACAAATCATATACGGAAGATAATTTTCATAAAGGCCTTTCAGGAAGAAGTCAAGCAGTCGGTGCGCTTCTGAGTTTGCTCCTTGTGGTTCTTACGGCCTGCCTAGTGATCCTATTACTTCACAAAAAGGAAAGGAGGTAAGGCAGAAAAGGGATCTGTAATGGTTGTAAGCTTTGTCATGACTTTTGTCATTTCCCTTTGCACTGTCATGCAGTTTTTGAAATCGCATAAATGCACTTTCGGGTACATCCCATACAGACTCCATTCAGAACAATGTATCCAGTATTTACAAATTCACACTGGAATTGCTAATCAGAGTAACAGCCTTTTAGCCATAGCAGTTGCTGCCACACAACCAGCACCAGCAACCCCAAATGGCGAGACATTCATGGATACTTCTTCGTTTCTTCACACAGCTGTTCTTTTTACTGTGGCCAAACAGTTTTTCCTCTGCTCTAGCATCAAGGCAGTTTTCTCTCCTCCTTCAACTCTTTCCTCAAAATTATCTATTCCTACAGTCCTTTTCCTAGAATGCCAGCTCTCTTCCACCACTTCTCTTCCCCTCCCCCATTTGCTTTTCTGTTACAGCCAATAACATTTCATCAGGGGATCATGCTTAGGGAAGATGCCCAAGTTCATGACAAAATCACAGCAAGTTGGTTTCCCCCTTGCATGTTTTCGCTTGATTATTTTTTGGGCAATACTTGTGTTGGGTGCTGAGTGAGTTTGCTCCAGGTATAAGTTATTTCACTCCACCCAAAAGTCCTGCAACATTCCTCTAAGGCATTACAGTGACAGTATGAGCTATATCAGTGTTTTTCAACTGCTGGTCCATGGACCAGTGCCGGTCTGCCAGAGAATTCCTGCTGGTCCATGAGGGAGTTGCATCCCACTCACTGTGGACTGACACTGGGGCTGGCTGTGCGCCACCATCTTTTCCTCGGCTGGCATGGCCTTCATGGGGGTCTGCTGGTGCCTAGGGCGGGGGCAGGGAGGGAAGATACGACTTTTTGTTTCTGCGTCAGCGGTCCATGAGGGGGATTTCCTGTTTTTGCTGGTCCCCAGCTGTGGAAAGGTTGAAAACCACTGAGCTATATGAATCCACTGATTGTAAAATGTGAAGTAGGACTGGCAGCACTTAATAATGGAGCTTCATGAATGAAGCGCATATATAATAGTGAACTCAAACTATGTAAGACTAACTTTCTGTTTTGTAGAGAGACTGTGAAGCAAAAACTAGCCAACTGCTGTCGAAGAACATCAAATGTTTCCTATAAATATACAAAGGTAAATTGCTCCTCTGTGTATAGGTCTATTAGAGATTTTGCTGTCTATGGTTGTGAACATTGTGTGTGTGCAATGTTCAAATTATTGCTGCATAACTCTGCATGAGTCACTTGAGGTATAAACATCTAGATGTACTTTGAAAAAAAGAGATTTTTAAAATACCCATATAGAATGGGTATCACATAAAATGTCATAACACTCAACTGTTGAGATTCACTGTTATTCCTTATCCCTTCTCTGTTCTGGAAGAAGTGTAGGATTTTTTTCCCATTTGTCCAAACTTCATATCTGAGCCAGCTGGGAAAATACTGAGAACATATGGCTTGTGTTGGGGGATTTTAGCCAAATCTGTGGTTATCAAAGTGCTAATTTTCCAAGAAAAAAAATTATAGTATGGAAACATAGAAGTGCAGCAGCACAAGAGAAACTCCATAATGTTATAAGCAGATCAGACTCCTACAGGTATTCAACAAATTATTGAAGCAATTCCAGCTCTCATCAGTCCTAGCTAGCATAGTCTATTGTGGAGGATCATGGGGGTTGTAGGCCAAAACATCTAGGTGGCTACAAGCTGCCTACCCCTGCTTTAAAGTATGTTCCTCTGGGATCGGATAGGCAACCTGCAAATGCGCTAATTATTCATACTGCAGCTCCCATGATCTGTGATCCTTGACCATGTTTGCTGGGGCTTCTGGGAGCTGCTGTCCAGAAGGTCTGGAGGGCAACAGCTTGCTTACCTCTCAACAAGGAGTTTCTAACAGTGCTGTCTTTGAGGAGCAATTCACTGGAAATAGGTTTGAGTTGTTATGCTAAAACATTGTACATCTGTAGGAAATAAGGTGTCAATAGAGGGAGAGTGAAAGGACACAGTGGTTTGAATGATGGTCCCTTGTTTGGAACCAGGTCAGTAGCCCATCCAGCCCAGTGTAGTCTGCTCGGCTTGGCAGCAGCACTCAAGGGTTTGGGTCACTTGTTCCTCATCTCCTTTTCTAAATAGGAGGTACCAGGGATCAAACCTGGCAACCTGAGTGATAGTTCTTCTCTAAGACCACTCTTGCCTTTGACATTCCCAGAGTAGCTATAGCAGCTGTTTGAAAAGCTATTCACTAACCACATCCTCTTGAAAATGGCAGATAAACACAGAAGAAGTGAATGAAACTGAAACAGAATGGCTCATGGAAGAAATTGCTGCACCGAATCAGAAGCTGGGAAACGGGGGACAAGAAAATGGCCACATCACCAGTAAAGCAGTGAAATCTAATGCCCTCACATCCCTTCACGCAGATGACCTGGACAGTGAGGACGAAGTTCTAACTATACCAGAGGTGAAGTTCCATTCAGCCAGGGACTTCCAGCTGAGAGGCTCAGACACCAGCAGGCCTGCTCAGAACAAAGCTTTTAATGATTCAAGCAGCGATAAAGCTGGCCTGCTAAACGGCAGAAAGAATAGCAAAGGCAGCTTTGCTTTTGGCCAGCGGAAACTGCAGAACTCAATGAACACAGCACCTTTCCATGATGATAGTGATGAGGACTTGTTGAACGTTTAACCTTCTCTTGTGCCTACTCAAAATTCCATGTGTGTATGTTAAGGTGGGACAACAAAACACTTCCAACCAAATATGAAGACTGTAGCTGCAGATGCCTTTTGCAAGGGAATGCTTCAAAGGGAATGTAGGGTGGAGGGAGAGAAGCAGGATCAACCCTAGTTGTTTACAATGCTCTGTTTTAATGATTACTAGATTTCTAGCATCCAGTGAACTGAACGATGGTAATTCTCCTTCTCAGCCTGGATTTGCACTCTTCCCCCTCTGTAGATGGTAGAGGCTACATAATGATTTCCAAAGTAGGACCAGATCTGAAAGAAGACCCCTCAGCTTCAAGATGAGACTTGTATTTTAACGCCCTCCTTTATTTATTGCTCTCACTACTCAGGTTCATGGAAATAATAATAATAAGGCAATGCGTTCTTCCTGCAGGCAGGGTATTTGTTGTACAGATTCACCTGTCACGTGAAGTGGAGTTGAAGGGTTCTCTGTATGTTTGGTAGGTTGGTTTGATGTATATTTTGGAGCTGGTCTATTCAACTTGCCTGTACATTTGATTCCTGTATTCTAACTTAAAATGGCTTGTTATGATTTGGAAAGTGTCTTTACTGGAAGTCACAGATCTTTATAGCTTTAGCTTTGGAACAGTGGCTGTTCTTTGCATGATGAGTCTTTTTATTTTTTGGTAGCAATCAAACAACATCTTTCATCAGTATTTACAGAACTGTTGGGAAAACATGCCAGAGCCCCTGTTTAACACTAATTGAGCCCAACAAAGAGTGGGTTCTTTTTAGATGGCCTTCTGTCTCTTTAGGAACAGTGAGGAAGGCGGACTTCTGGTGCAGTGCCTACGATCCAAATGGCATTGTGATGCATCAAAAAAGAATGCAAAACCTGCACCTTTTTTTTTGAAATGTTGTACTGCTTTAGGGGCTAGAAAAAGAACACCCACCCTCATCCCTTCTGGAAGAAACTTGTAACCCTACCATATGAGACTTTTTATTCCAGGCCAACTTACAGACTTTGGTTAGTATCAGCTTCACTGCCCCCAAAGAGATTTAAGGCTTTTCTGAAGCCACTGGCCCAAAGAAAGTCTTTATTGCACAGGCATGTGCTTATTTTTTGGTATGTGGGGTGTGAAGAGAGTACCCTTTGGGTATGATCACTGGACATTCTGATGTCCATTACATGTTGGAGCCACACTAATTAAACCATGTGCTTGGTAAGATGGAGTGAAGAGCTGCCCATCAGCTCAGTGGTTTTTCAGGGGCTCGCTCATGTGAACGAGTTTCCATAGACAAGGTACCAGTACTTGGGCTGGCCAGAAGCTCTTCCTTGTTTATACCTTTTCCTACTTGCATTGGTTTCCTTAAGATTGATTTCCATTTGGAGATTTGATTTAATGTATAATAAGCATTCAAGTAATTTCAATAAATGATAAATTATGTTTCCCTAGGAACTGAAGTGATAAAATTAATTTTTAATCATGTCAAATGCCTTTATAATGGGTCTCTAAATGGGGGAAGGGAGTTTTTATATAATTCTGAGTTTGAAGTGTATGTAATACCACAGAGTTTAAAGATCTAGCAAGACACTACAATGAAATTGTCAAACAGTTGTGGGAAGTGGGCCAGTCCATTGTGTTACCATGAAGGGACTTGGTTCAGGTATTGATTTGACTGGCTTCTATCCACTTGACAGAGTACCAGAAATAATGGGGTGGATCTTTAGCGATAAGCTTAGCTAACGGTACAGGCCATGAGGCTACAATAGCTCTTGAAATTGCACTGAATACGTGGAAGGCTTTCAGCTCTTTTGATTGAGGTATATTTCCAGACACTCAGCAACAAGGTGAAAAGGCAGCACATCAAGTTGCCAGGTTCATTTTTGCTGTGGAAAAGGATTGCCAAGAATGCTGTACTCAAACTATTCGTCTGAAGTGTTCATGTGTCACTTTTTTTGCTCACTGGGGCCCTGAAAGCATGCTGTACAGTAAAATACAATAAAATTGCAACAGAAAAGTAAACCAGAACATCATTTTTTTAAAAGCCCAAGTACAATTTTAGAAGCCAGAAGCCTTGCAAAACAGGTTTTATTGCCTGCCTCAAACTCAGTAGGGGTGAAACCAGTCTGAAGGAGGTGTTGGATGATTTAGAGTGGTTTTGGGAAGGAGTTGGGAAGTATAAAATCCAAAGACTCTAAGCCTCAATACTTGCAGCCTCAGAGTAAACAAAATAGCCTACTAGAACTGGTGTTTTGGGATGCATTGATCTAAGGCCCGAGCAGTAATTTTCAGAGGAACAGACACTGGTTCTGAAAATTCCTGCATTAAATCATGCCATCTTCTTCATGGTTTCAATGCACCACATTTATGGGGTTTTGTACCTGCACACCCTGCCCAACGCTGCCTGTAGTGCTCAGCACTCCCAATTGCTTTCGTGATGGAGAGCTGAAGTCCAGCACCTCTAGTTTGAAGTAATACAGGAATGGATGCAGACCTGAGCACACTTCTGGTGAACTCAGCAGTATGAACAATTCTCTTGAGGGGAAATGGTTAACACATCTCCCAAGATGGTCCAAGCTGTGTAGAAGCTATCAGATCCAGAAGTTACTGTCAGCTGCTGTAAAAGGAGCCTTGATTCCCAGTTCTTCATAAGTGATGTAGATGAAAGCTCTTTACACAAAATGCATGCTTTTACGCACCAGGAGCCTGGCTCTAATGATGCATGTTTGCCCAAAGTTTTGCCTTGGTCCTTGGTGCTCTCAACCTACTGCCTCATGCCCTAGCAATCCGCACTGGAACTAGAAACCATATGCCTATGTTAGCATGCATTAGTACCACTGATATCACAGGAAGTTGTCTCTGCTGAAAACTCTGCTCATCTTACTGGCTGATTCTGCCTCTACCCTTCTGCAAAATTTGAGTCCAAGATGGAGGGCCAAAAGTTGTTGCTTCCATAAACTTCTTCCTTGAGAACTTCAAAGCAAGGTTAGTATCTTAGTTTTTCATCTTCTGTTGCATGGCATGAGTTGTCTTCACATGAGAAGCAGCTGGTGGGCATTTAGTTGACTTTCTGTCCCTACTATTGATAGGCTCTTTTCTGGCCTGTGTCATGACTTCTGCCTGTTAGGAGAAGACCGAGAAATGTCCTTCCCTAATAGGTTTACCTTCCCTATTTATAAAAGGTAAATATGAGTTGGCAGTTTCTGATCCTGACCTTATTTCATGTGGGAAATTGTGTGTGTGTGTGATTAAACATGTTCAAAAATGTGCAAATATGCTTTGCATAACAGTAGTGGGCTATGTGAAGTTCTACCTCTCCCCACTCACCTGGTCACTATCTTCGGGATTTTCACTACAGTGGAGGTGGTGGGGAAACCTTCCCAACAGGGAAAGGGGAACATCTGTTGTATGTGTTCACAAGATCTAGGCCAATCACACTGGGGCCACATGTCATCAATGCTATGCCCCCTCCTAAGCTTACCGAGAACCAGTGTGGCCTTTTCCCTATGCCTGTTCACAAAATGACACTTCAAATTATCCCCCAAACCCCTTGCCCCACCTGTCTCCTGCTCAACTTCTCTCCCAATGCCCTTTTTTTAACTCTAGGGGTAAGGAAGAATGTTTCTGGCACTCATGACCTTAACACTTCCACTTTTCTGGCCAATAGGATTCTCTGGTAAAGCTAAGTGTTCTACTAAATGCAGGGGTGCAGAATTTTGTTCTAGGGACCGCAGATGGCCATACCCTTTTCCCCACTCCTAATATTTAGTGGTTTTCCAGGCTTTGCAGAATTTTAAGATGCTGAGATGCTCAGATCCTGGCAGTAGGAGCTTTACCTGAAAGTATGCTGGTATATGTAGCCCCTGAGCCATGCGCATAGTTTTGGGGCTGCCCTGTCCCAGAATGCAGCCCCTTGGAGCTCTCTGAAATGCAATTCAGCCCTCTGGCGAAAAGAGGCTCAGTGCTCCCATTTTGATGAATGAAGTGACTTCTCCATGCCCTTTATCCAAATGTGGCCATCTGTGGGCCTCAGGCCTTTCCCTCACCCCACAAGTGCAAATATAGGAGGCAATAAGTGTACATTTGTATCCACTTTTTAGAGACAAAGGGAGATATTTCACTGCAGATGTGTGTCAGTATGATAGAACCAGGAAGCTTGGTTTTTTTTCCACCTCATGAGGGTGTGCAACAAAATGGAAACCAACCGGAAGAGTTACCAAGAAGGAATACGTATTTGATCATCCTTTGGGGCACCAACTTGTGTTCCTATCTTCATATTGCGAATGGAATATCTCCCCTCTTATAAAAAAGAAGTTCAGAGCCTTTGTCCGCAACTCAGCTGTTACGGATTTCATCCTACTCTTGTGTTGCTTTCTACCTACCCTTTTACATTCGACAGTGTCACTGAACAAAAGCCATCCAAAGATAAGCCATACTCCTTTTATTCCTTCAGATGTTATGTATTTGTCGGGATTCAAGGCCAGCTTCTGCCTGTTAAAAGGTCTTGGCAGTGAGATGTCTTACGGTTTTCTCTCCCATTTGGTTTCAGGGTTGTCAGCCAAAGCATCACGCGTGTGCTTCTGTGGAGCCCCTCCTGCCTGGCAACTGAAGTGGATCGTTCTGTCTATTGCACAGGCTGTTAGAGCAACAGCAGGCTGCTTTAGGCCAGATGTGCCGATCATCTTCCTTTTCAACATCAACATCCTGTTTTCTTACTGCAATCATGCTTGTGTCCAGTTCAGTTTTATGGGTCAAAATGCAGAAACTCCAAATGAACACTACTGCCAAACCTTTCTGTCACCATCATGGTTGTGGTTGGATTGTGTCTTACCTCAACCATGCCAGTCAGGTTCGCATACTTTGTAATGCATTGGCAACCACAAAGAAAATCTGGAGGCTTGTTTTTGTTTTTTCCTCCCCTGGGATGCTGAATTCCATCAACAACAGTGACAACTCTTTTTTATATTTCTTCATCGGGTTCATGAAGAGTCAGAAACTCCAGGAATTCATCTGTGTATTTCTTTGGCAAATTTCAGCAGAGAAGCTCATAGCAAGCTTGATAACATGAACAAAAACTCGTCAGGTTTCAGCCAAGTTAACATTTGCACTGGCCCAGTATTTCTGCAGTGCAAAACCCCAAACCAGCTCAGAGGTTTTGACATTTTCATAGAAGCAGGTTCAAGCAGAATAGTTCATCCCAGAGTCATAAAAGAGCTAGTGGAGGAACTCTCACAACCGCTGGCTATTATCTTCGATAAATCTTGGAAAACAGGAGAGGTGCCAGATGACTAGAGAAGAGCTAACTTTGTCCTTATCTTCAAAAAGGGGGGAAATGGTGGACCTAGGAACTACAGACCAGTTACTCTGACATCAATCCCTGGAAACATTCTGGAGCAGTTTATTAAAAAATCAGTCCACAAGCGTCTTGAAGAAAATGCAGTGATTAATAGAAGCCAACATGGATTTATCAAAAATAAATCCTGTCAGACTATTTTAATCTCATGTTTTGACTGGGTAACCTCCCAAATGGACAGAGGGAACACTGTGGATGTAAACTACCTAGACTTTAGCAAACCTTTCAACATAGTGCCACATGACATTCTGATAAGCAAATTAGTAAAAGATGGACTAGATGGAAAAACTATTAGGTGGATTCTAAATTGGCTGCTAAATCAGATACAAAGAGTGTCACCTTCTCAAATTGGATGGAACTTAACTAGGGAGGTGCCACAGGGTTCAGTCCTGGGCCCAGTGCTCTTCAACATCTAGTTCTGAACACCAAGATTTAATTAGAGTCCAGAGGAGGGCAACAAAAATGATCCAGGGTTTGGAAACATTGCCCTATGAAGAGAGACCGAGAGAGCTGGGCATGTTCAGCCTTGAGAAGAGAAGACTGAGGGAGGCATGCTGTCACTCTACAAGTACCTCAGACTGTCACAAAGAAGAAGGTCAAGATCTCTTTTTGCTGATACCAGAGTGTAGGACACAGAATAATCAATTCAAGCTCCAACAATCCAGATTCAGGCTGGACATCAGGAAAAGCTTCCTTGCTGTCAGAGCAATACAACAGTGGAACCAGTTGCCTAGAGAGGTGGTGGGCCCTTCCACACTGGAGACATTCAGATAGAAACTGGGCAGCCATCTGAGTGGGAGGGTGTAACTTGATGTCCTGCAACAGCAGTGGGTTAGACCCGATGGTCTCCATGGCCCCTTTCAACTCTAATATTCTATGAGTCTGTGACCCTGCTTCACCGACTTTCAGCTTCACCGACTTTCAGCTTCACCCACTGGAGGAGGCTAATGTGCCCTGAGGCTGCTATAGCTGAGTCAGCAGCTAGACAAGCACTCTGGCCATCTCAGATTGGAAATAACCAATGGGATTCCTCCAGAGACCCAGCTTGGGGCAAACTCCATCCCCTGGAGGGTTTCTAGAGGCCTCCATGGGCCAGATGGGGAACTTTCAGAAGTTGGATTAGGCTAAATGTTCCCATCCTGTGATGGAACTCTATATTATCTCCTCCCCAAGCTCTTGAGCAGAGTGGGCTCTTCCTCATCATCCCTGTCCTGTAATCCTGTGAAATAGCAATGCTAGGAACTGATGCTGGGGCCCTTTGCATGCAAAACACATGCTCTACCAATGAGCTATGGTTCATTCCTTCTATAGAGCATGGCCACTCCTTTTTGCCACCTAGATTATTTTCAATCAGATTATCCTTTCTTTTTTGTCCTCATGAGCATTTTTGTACTCTTTCTGGTCCTCTGGCTTGCATATGTGATGCTACAGTATTGGAATCTGTGGTTCTTAATGGTGTATCTTGTCTGTAATTATGCAGTCATCATACCACTATCTCTTCCCTCCCTGTGCAATTCATGTACACTCCATGGCAGAGAAAGTTATCATGTAACAAGACAGCTATGACTGAAAGCTGCAAATATGAATCACATACAACAGGAACCATGCCAACAGAAAGATCCAGCAACCAGCTGTGAACCTTCTTCTACAGCTTTGAATTTCTCACTTGTGTAAAAAGCAGGTTGTGGAACATGAGACATTTGGAATCAGGCTGTTGATCTTTCACAAAGGTCTGTGGTACTATTAAATAACTCCTGTAGAGATAAGGGAAAAGCCATGCTTACATTCTACCTCACCCCTGGCAACGTAATGATAGAAAGGTGGGATGTGCGTGTGCTTCCATTCCCTCTGGGTGCCGAGACAAAGTGACTGGATTCCTGCAATGTCCACACAGCTCGCACTCATCACAGGCACTGAGCCCACCCTCAGTCCATTAACACGCCTCTTAACTTTCCACCGCAGGAGCGAATAGCAGTTGCTTTATTCCTGGCAATTGTTATGCATTAGCATGGAATGGAAGCAAAACATGTCCCTGCCACATGCAGGGCCCTATAGGCTTTGGACCCCACACAGGGTGGCCAGGCGTCCTACTTCACCAATGATGGTAGCTTAATTCGGAGAGCTGACAGAAGATTTGAAGGGTCCTCTGCTTTGGCCAATCCAAGCCTAGTTACAAGTCAAAGAGCCGTTAGGAGGGAGAGCAGGGCAGGGGGTCTGGCCGTGGCCCATCAGGTGTGAGCACCTGGATAAACAAACTGAGCAGATCCATCGGTCATGAGGTTGGTCTTCAGCACTATCATTTAAAAATGTCCTACCCTACAGTTGTTAGTTCTAAAGGGCACCTTTACATGTAATTTTGCATATGCAAGTGCCATGCAGATTTGCTGCCTTTTGTCCTTTGATCTCAATAGCAGGGTGAGGGCAGGTCTCGGTCTCCAGAGCGTTGTCCCTTTTTTGCAATGAAATTCCCCACATACCACACTATGGAAACTTTCTATCTCTGCCTCTCACTCTTTCTCTCTCTCACTCAGCATGTCATTGGTGTATTATCTAAGGAGGGGTGAAGCGAGGGCAGCATCTGAAGGGTTTTTTCACTGAAAGCAGCTATCTTAACATCCTTTATTTGAGGCAGCTCCAATGTCCAAGGCTGAATAAATGGCCCATTGGAGAAGGGCAGAGGGCTGTTTGCAATGAACTGTGTTGCCGTGAGTCAATGATTCTCTTTTCGTACTATGTTGGCTTCTCAGTTACTCATGCTGGCTGTTTTGCCTGAAGAAGGAGAGTATGTGCTGTCTGAAGTATTTAATGGAAACCTAGCAATCAATCTTGTCAGCTCCTGCCATTAAGGGGGGCATTCTCAGTCCCAAGGAATACCAGCTTGCAGGTTTAATATTTTTCCAGTGAAACTTATATAATAAAAGTTGCCACAATGGCTTAATAATTTATAAAGAAACCCCTTGGCTTTTGGTCAAATATTTTGTTATTTAAGCTCTTGGCTTCATTGAGTGCAGAGTCGTAACACCCTTAGCCCAACATGCAAAATCTGGATGACATTTTAGAGCACATTGGGGAGTTCGACCTGTATCAGAAAAGGGCATTTTTCCTTGTTTGCCTTCTCTCTGCTGCCTTTGCCCCCATCTATGTAGGAGTTGTTTTCCTAGGTTTTATCCCAGAGCACCGTTGCTTGAGTCCAGGAGTTGCTGAGTTGAGCAGCAGATGCGGCTGGACCCTTGAAGAGGAACTGAATCACACGATCCCCAGAGGGGAGAGTTTTACTCATCAGTGTAGGAGATACGATGTGGATTGGAATGCAACTGAGCTGAGCTGTACCGATCCGCTGGAAAGCTTCACTGAACATGGGAACCGCAGCATTTCTCTTACCACTTGCCAAGACGGCTGGCTTTATGATTCTTCAGTACAGTCCATTGTGAGCGAGGTAAGGACACACATGCTACATCAGTCTCTAGCGAACAGCTTTAAACAGGAAAGAGAGAAGTGTGCAGATTGTTGTTATGATACATGCAAGGGTCTGTCAGGAAAGCAACAGTAATATTCAATATCATGTGAAAGCAGTTTTTAAAACACCTTCCCAGTCTTCCTGTTTTAACAAAAAACTTACTTTACTCACATCTGGGGTCATTTCTGACCCCAGTGAAAATGTTTTGGTCAAGAAAACTGCTGCATCTGAAAAGCATTTTTTTTCCTGGTTGAAATTTTCAGTCAGATTTCAATTAACAAAAGTTGTTTGAGTTAATCAACCTATCAGCCAGTACAGGTAATTTACGTTTTCATTCTTCCTGAGCTTATGAAAAGCAAAAAATCTGCATAACAATGCTAGGACACCCATTGTTATACTTTTTCAGTATACCAATGGCCTACTAACTTTAAAAAAAGCTTTCCCTAGGTGCGTTTTAATTTTGTTTGCTGGAGGTTTTAAATCTTAGCTTTAAAAAGAGACCAAAACAATCTATATTGAACCTTCTTTTGTGCTCCTTTTTGTGTGGTCTATTATTGTGGTATACAAGTTCCCTGCATAGCTACTGTTAGGGAGATGTTGGGGCACTTTTGTGCCCTGGACGTGTTTTGACAAAAAACCTGTAAAAGACCCTCAAAAAACTGAAATTTTCATGACAATTTTCTAGAATGGACCGATCAACCTAATTACCTGTAAATTATAATACAGAATGTGAGCTGGGGAATGCCAGTTACAGAAGGATGCAGGATAGCGGCTACTGCTGTTAACTCTTGGGATACTTGGGTTGGAAGTGGACACACAGCATTCTTTGCATGAATAGCATTCTTCCCTTTCGGAAAATGCAATACTCTGATGACCATTTTCAGGGATTCTTGGTTGTCCTTTCATTTGGAAATGTCATTTCAAGCAGATGGTTATAGAATTCATACTTTCAGTGGTCACTAGATGAGCTGTACTACATCTTGCAAAAACAAGTATCTACGTACTTAGATTAGGGAGGATGGCTTGCTCAAATGATTTAAGCGGATTCAGTTCTGATTATGAGGCACATGGTTCTTCCGTGCTTTAACTTTGCTAAATAGGGGACCTGCAACATTTTCCATCAGAGTTTTAAAGAAATAAATTTATTTATCGTTTCTCCATAACTAATAAAAGCATGTATAATACTGTTACCAAACACAGGTGCCTCTGTACGTTTCAGTGGCAATGAATAACTAGCAGAGGAAATAAACAAGTTAAACATGAAACTTTTCACACAAGTTCAAAAGTGCTTGACTAGCTGTGAATTTAATGTCTTTCTTCCATAAAGCTTCCCACTGACAAGGTGATATTTCTTCTCCAAGATTTTGCTTCCAAATTGTCATACATTTCTCGTCTTGTTGATTTTCAGTGTCATGCTGTAGTAATTGTTTTTAAAGTCTAATAGATGAATATCATCTTATATAGTTCTTACACCATCTTAAATTGGTATAAGATGTTTTATTGGTGACATATTACTGTAGAAGTTATAGAAAAAATAGATATGAATTACAATGGAAAATGTTGGAAATGTAACAGGGTAGATGAGACTTTTTATCATATGTGGTGGACTTGTGAAACAGGTAAAAGATTTTGGAAATTGGTACATGTGGAAATACCAAAAAAAAAAAAAAAAAAACTTTAAAACTAAGTTTCCTATGAGTCCTAAGAATATGCTTTTGAATATAATGCCAGAGTTTTTTCAAATAATATGACAGAGCTATTTAAATATATGACAATTGCAACAAGATTTACAATAGTCTCTAAATGGAAATTATCAGAATCCCCAATAATTGAGGAATGGAACAATAGCAGAGTACTCAGTGATGGCGAAATTAACTAATTATGTAAATAGAAGTCCAGTTAAAGAATTTAATGAAAAATGGACATTCTATTATACCCAGTACAATTAATGTAAAAGAGAGCTCTTTAAAAAGTAGCTGAGGATTTATAATTGATTTAAAGCGACTGGAAAATTTGTCAGTATATAGAATAATAATTCTCTTTTTTCTGAACTTCTATAGCAGTACTGAATGACAGAAAGGTAGATATTTTTGGTCTCTTTGAAATTTGTGGCCTTGAATATATTGGTTATACTTCTTCAAAATCTCTTGGCAACTTAATTTTACTTTTATATATATACACACACTTTTCTTCTTTCTGTAGTCTATTTATGTTAAAATAATAAGAATAATACTAAAAAAAGGCTTTCACCCTGCTTATAATGGACCAACTTTGTTAAATATTTTCTGCAAGTTACCTCTTAAGCTTCTTGCTTTATCTTAGACAATTATAGTAGCAACACAGTTTTTTTTAAATTGAAATTTCCAGGTTCACTGATGCATAATAAGGGTAATGGTGAAAACAAAAATCTACTTGGGTGAGCAGAGCTGTTAGATTGATGGAGTTTAAAAATGTGGAAGGATGTCAAACCCTACAATTCCTTAAAAAATCAGCAGTTTTCTTACTTTGAAAGCAAGCCCTCATTCTTGAAATGGATGCTCACAAATTATAAATTTGTAATTTTGTGCTTGGACTCAGTTTTTAATTCCTCAGGTGGGTTGGATCAGTGTTTCAGGTACGGTTAGGATTAGGGTTAGCCACTGGCCTCACCCTTCCTATGGATCTGCATATGGTCTGGGGAGCTAGAAGTTGAACTGAGCAGCAGGTGAACACAGCTGAGGAGCTGTAGCGTGTGGATAGCTGTGGATAGTCTGGGTACTTCTTTTCTTACGCTGGTTAATTAGAACTCAATATACTTAGAGCTGACCTAGCCTGCTTCCTCCTAGGCACTACGATATAGAGCAGGTTCATAATTTCCTGGTTCTTCAATCACTAATGAACTTTTACAGCTACCAGAATGCCAGGGCAAGGTGGAGTTTTTGACCTATCAGCCTTTTGTGGACACAGTCCCTGCTCCCCTTCCTCGTTCAACAGAGTTATCTCAGGAGCCAGCTGAAATAAGAAAAGTGGACAGATGCGCTGATCCATAGATACAGCCTCAGCAAGAGAAAGACCTCACCAGGTCCAACAAGTATCGGAAGTCTTCAAGAATGATAGTTCCAGGGCAAACATAAGACTCAAGATCCTGTTGGACAAGTGGTCAACACATCTCCCTTGAGTTGTGTGCGCCCAAGGCCAGATGCTATGTGGAATGACAAAGGGAAGAGAAAGGTGTTATGAAGCCTTATACCTCCAAGATAATGTTTTCAGTAGGAACTCAGCATGGGAAGGTACACCTTTACCTGTGGCAGATAACCTGTTGAATTAGAACAGAGGTACATGTAGTATTAGAACACCTAATACACATTAGAACACCTGTTGAATTAGAACAGAGGTACATGTAGTATTAGAACACCTAATACACATTAGAACACCTAATACACATGTAGTATTAGAACACCTTTACCTGTGGCAGATAACCTGTTGAATTAGAACAGAGGTACATGTACTCCCTGAGAGGTACATAGCTCAGTGATACAAACATGTTCTTTGTTTGCAGAGGTTTCCATGATCAATCCTGGCAATTAAAAGTAAAAAGGATCTCAACATGCAGGATGAGACCATGTCTCTGTCCCCTGAGCTGCTCTTATATAGGACAATTGGTGTGGTTCATAAATAAATAAATTAAATTAATAAATGAAAGCCAGAATGTAAAAAATGGAGCTAGAAGGACCAAATGGACAACTCATTATAAGATACTTTTATATATATTCATAGTAAGAAACTGTTTCTTAAACTACTGCAGCAATTCTAAATGGTTATTTAGAATAATTATTTGTCTATGGGCATTACAGGTGAATTAAGAAATCCAAAGTCTCCAAAGTACTAACACTAATGATTGTGAGATTTATGAAACTGGACTTTGCTCATAGATTACTTTGATTTTTCTTAAGGTTTTGGAATGGATCAGGAATTTTAGTTGAACAGTGCAGCAATTTCTCCAGTTCTCCTTGCAGCATTTGTTCTTAGCTTGAAAAGCAGAGCAAGCTCCAGCCTACAAAAATTTAATTTTTGAATTTTTGCTTTGTGTCCAGTAATGTAACTTAATTTGTTATAACTTATCCCTGTATCAGTGGCCCTACATTTTTCTTGCCCAGTGAACGAAAGCTTCCTAAACGTTTGTTAAAAAAATCTTCTTCCCCAAAGGAACTTTTTGTCATATTTAACTGTGGTGTAGTGGTTAAGAGCATGAGGCAAGGACTCTGGCAATTTGGGTCCTAGTCCCTGCTCATTCATGGCGCCAACTGGATGACTTTGGCCCAGTCACAGACTTTCAGCCCATTCTGCCTCACAGGGTTGCTGCCCCTCAGCAGCATTCAGAGCAGGAGGAGGAGTATTATGTAAGCCACTCTGAGTTCTTTGTAAGAAAAAAAGTGTGATATAAATTTAATTAATAAATAAATGATGTCTGAGGAGCTCAGCAGCTTGGCTGCAATTAGTGGGAACAGGAAAATCAGCCCGATGAAGCAGTAATTCCACTGAATGTAAACAAAATATTGAAGATTATCTCTTCCGAGGTCTGGAGCTAGTAGCAAGAGTGGTTGCTACATAGCTAAATTACTTTACAGCCAAGCCAATATTTAGATAAACTATCTTGAAATAACTGCACAGTAGCTCACCCCAGCCTTCAGTTTGGCAGCATATACTTGGGAGATACGTGTTGGGTCTAAAGGTGGGAAATCCAGGCTCACATGCTTGTCCCTGGGGCTGGGTGTGCACTTAACTCAGATCCCTGGCTCATGCGCACCGATGTGCTTTTGAAGGATGCATAGCCTATGCAAGTCTGAGATCCCTGCTTAAAGTGTTCTTGTGGACACATGATTCTAATACATGCATTGGCTTTGGGCTGCACACAGATGTTGGGTGATGATTGTTCTGCCCTACTGTGTCTAAGTCTTTAAAACATGTTCAGCAGTTGAGAGGTGGGAATATTATGCTGCCATTACCTTGAGTACGCATCTTCATTTTCTGCTAGCATATTACATAACTGTGCAGTTGTCATACCCTCCTCTGGCAAGTACTTTCTACTTAGGACTACTGCCACACTTGACCTGGCCCTGAGTTAATACTGTCCCTCCATGGCAGTATACTAATCAAGGGACGTGCACTAGAATGTTCCCTCAAAAGTATGGTGGCAATGCATAGGAATGAGTGAGAAAAGCACTTGGTTTTGATCTAATTTAAATCACCCAGGTCCGTTGCCCTGACATAACCTGCAGGCTGAAGTCCACGCATTTTCAAGCTTGCAGTGCAATTCAAGCAACATAAGGGTTTTTGAAAAGTGCATATATTGGAAAAAAGTGCATGCATCTGAAAACTGCACAAGCACAGTTTAGTCAATGGGGAAAGAATGCATACATTTCAGAATATATGCAGCTGATGTGTATGTTTGGGAAAATGTGCCGGAAAGTATGCACACATTTTGATGCAGAAAATGCCTCCAGAATGCATATGCATATCAGAATTTGCTTCAAGATGGAAATGGAATAACCTCAGTGAGCTCACATTTTGCTGATTCACACATCTCCAACTGTCTGCAAGATCTGATGGAAGTATTTTTGTAGTTTTTATGGAACTTACAGCTAAAATATTTCCTATTTCATTCTGGGTATTGGTCTGGCTAGAAATCAGGGTGAATGTTATATAATAATATGACTTAATTAATATTAAAAGTGAGGAGAGTCACTCTTAGCATCAGAAACCTCCTGTACTCTTGTTCTACTCCATTTCTGAGCTCTTAACCTCTCCTTCTGCCCTGTATTCTTGCCTCTGTCTTCCCTACACACTGGTTTCAGTTCATCCACATATGATGTGTTGGTTAAGCATATGTACCATAGAAAAACTGAAGGTTGATACCAGTTTTACACAAATTTAATTTACAGGCTTCCTCCAGAGAATCCTGGGAATTATAGTAGGGTGTGTATGAAAACTCTGATATTCCCAGATTCCCACAATTAATTCTCATGGAACTATAGTTCCAGATCTCCCTGCTAAATCATATCAAACATGTAAATATATTTTTATTCATATTGCATTGCTGGCAGGTTTGCCCAAAGCTAGATATGAAGGTGTGTTCAGGTAACAGTTTTATTGTGCAATTGCATTGCCTCATTCTCAGAATTGAATTGCATTGCCTTAGTCCAAATGTCCCCATCTTTTCTTTATAGCCCTCCGGTGCTTTTCTCACCACTTCTGTCTTTAATCATATCAGCAAATATCCTTCAAGGAACAAAAGATGGAATAATCTACAATCATCTGGAGCCACCTGAAATAACATGTAGGTATTCAGAAATATTGTTGCAGAACCCAAGTACAAAACAACTCAGTTCCTTGAAGTTGTAGGAAGTCCTTATTGTTGTAAGCCGCCCCGAGGCTTCGGCGAATGGGGCGGCATAAAAATGTTTTAATAAATAAATAAATAAATAAATAAATAAATAAATAAATAAAAAAAGTGTGTCAGTTATCTTCAGAGCCTCAAAGATAAGTAATTTTTGTAACATCCCCGGACAATAGAATATCATATAGACATAAGTCACAGAAATATCCATTGCTTTATTTATTTATTTTTCTATACTGTCTATTATTTTCACAGAAAATCTCAAGATGGTTTACTATCATAAAAACATAAAATCATTTAAAAATATGGCATCACATCACATTATTTCTGAACACAGACAAGTAACATTGCAAGGACCTTGCGCAAACAGAACCAAAATATGCCATGGAGGTCAGGTTGTTCTGACTCATACCTGTCCTTTCAGCTCAGACCTTATATATATAGCTCCAGATTACTCCATGCGTGAAGATTAGCAGTGACCAATCAAGGAAGGGATCTTGGGGTGCTGGTGAAAATGTTGGCCCAGTGCACAGCTGCTGTGAAAAAGGCAAACTCTGTGTGAGGCGTAAGTAGAAAAGAAATTGAAACAGAACTGGCAAGATTAAGCCTCGGTGTGAGTGCAGTTAGAACACTGTATTCCATTTTGGTCCCTGCACCTGAAAGAGGACGTTGAGCTGGGAAACATGCAGAAAAGGACAAATAAAATGATGAAGGGTTGGAGCGACTCCACTAGGAGGAAAGGCCATAACAACTGGGATGGTTAACTTAGAAAAAAAGTAGATTTAGGGACACAAGATAGAGGTGTTTATTATACATGGTGTAAAGAAAGCAGAGAGGGATACATTTTTCTCCTGGCTTTCTGGCTATGTGCTCCCTCCATTATCCAAAGCGGCATGCCTGCAGACAACAGTTGCTAGGGAGCCTGGGCAGGTAGAACTCGCATCCACACTGCATGAGGGATCCTGCTTGAGCAGAGCTGAATAGAGCGCTGGGCTAGAAGCACAACTGGTTTGATCTAGCTTGGCTTTCCTTGTGTTGTGATCACAAGAACAATGATGGCAAGTCAATTCCCCTTGGGAAAGGAGGTTGTCCAAATCTATGTTTGCAACAGCTTGTTCCTGTACTGCTCTTGTGCCACTGGACTCCAGGGGTTTATAGTAGTTTTCTCTGTGATCTGAACATTCTGATGTTTGTAGGGAATAGAAGTAATTTGTGGTTGTTAGTCATGAAGTCGTGTCTGACCCATCGTGACCCCATGGACAACATTCCTCCAGGCCTTCCTGTCCTCCACCATCCCCCAGAGTCCACTTAAGCTCACATCAACTGCTTCAGTGACTCCATCTAGCCACCTCATTCTCTGCTGTCCCCTTCTTCTTTTGCCCTCAGTTGTTCCCAGCATTAGGCTCTTCTCCAGGGAGTCCTTCCTTCTCATTAGGTGGCCAAAGTATTTGAGTTTAATCTTCAGTATCTGGCCTTCTAAAGAGCAGTCAGGGTTGATCTCCTCTAGGACTGACTGGTTTGATTGCCTTGCGGTCCAAGAGACTCGCAGGAGTCTTCTCCAGCACCACAATTCAAAGGCCTCAATTCTTCGGCGCTCAACCTTCCTTATGGTCCAACTTTCACAGCCATACATGGCAACTGGGAAAACCATAGCCTTGACTTTACACACTTTTGTTGGCAGGGAGATGTCTCTGCGTTTTAGTATGCTGTCTAGATTTGCCATAACTTTCCTCCCCAGGAGCAACCGTCTTTTAATTTCTTGGCTGTAGTCCCCATCTGCGGAGATCTTGGAGCCCAGGAAAATAAAATCTGTCACTACCTCCATTTCTTCTCCATCTATTTGCCAGGAAGTGAGAGGACCGGATGCCGTGATCTTAGTTTTCTTAATATTGAGTTTCAAGCCAACTTTCAAATCAGCAATTTATGTTACTCCTAATTGTGTCCCCACAGTTTGACTTGGTATGTGAATACTCCTGGAAGTTAGATGTGTTTCAGGCATGTGTGAATGCCGGATTTTTCATCGGATCTGTTTATATTGGCTACATAGCAGACAGGTAGGTACAAAGTGATGGGCAATGTTAAAAAGAACTAGGATTTGAATCAGTTTTGTTAAAATTAAGAATGTGTAGTGAGAAGACAATGAGTCTCATTCTCAAAAACATTTCCTAATATAATCTATAACACTGTGTACCAAATATTCATTCATTCCTGTCCTGAGTTAGGAACTTATTTTTGGATCCTTAGAACACCTCCTTTGACTACCTAATAGTCAAATAGTCATGGCAATGTTTGAACCCCAATCCTAACCCTGACTATTATTAAAACATAGGGTGGTGCAGTGAAGAATGGCATCAGCAGGAAATATGCTCCATCGCAGTTCCAGATGCTTGTTGGCACCGAATGGGCTTCTAGCCCAACACATCAGGGGGCCTGTTTCCTGGCTGCTACCTGAGCAGAGCACAGAAGCTGCTCCAGAAACTGCTCCAGCTGGTCTGGGGGCTACACAAGGAAGGACGTCTTGGCTCCTTCCATCCACGATTCCATGACACCAGGCTGGGGAAGGTTGCCCTGGTCCTGACACTTCAAGCTGATGCGTTTTCCCACCACCCGCTTCCAGTAGCAAAATAATGGACGATACTATGCCATAGAGGGGTTTGCCATTTCCTGTATTGGGACTGAAGCATCATGCTTACGTGCCGCTTATGCACTGGAATATCAAAGGTGCAGGCTCATTGGTCCTGCAATTACATTTAAAGCAATTAGTAGGCAGAGTTACAAGAGATGGCAGTCAAAGTGCAGAGCTAATTGACAGTTCTGGGTGAATTTGAAAGCTCTGGGTGCAAAGAGGGACCTTAAGGAGGGAATGTAAGAAAGTACAGAACACAGAAAAAGCTGTTTTATACAGAATCGGTCTATCTAATCTAGTTGCTGACACTGACTGGCATTGGCTCTCCAGGATGTGGGGCAGGGGCTTTCCAGCCCTACCTGGAAGCGCCAGGGATTGAACGTGGGGCCTCCTGCATGCAAGGCAGGTGCTTTTCCACAAAGCTAAAGCTTAGCTGTTCAGATGGAGCCAAGTCAGGCTCCTTTTAAACCTCGGTCTCTTGCATTAACAAACTCTAGCATGTTCACTGTGTTCTGTGGCAGTGGTTTCATTGTGCTAGAAGTCTACTATGCATAACATGATACATTACACTTCCAACTGCTTAGCTAGGAGATTATTTCTTTATGACTCAATAAAGTTTGCCAAGCCCTTCACTTTCCGCATTTGGTCTGCTTCACTCAGCTACTTCTGCTAGCAGCAGGCACACTCCCCTATGTCCACTGCAAAACATATCAGCAAAACAGCCCTGTTTCCATCATACGTCACAACTAGGATTATAATCAAAGTGCAATAGTTACAACAGTTGTGCAGAATCACCAGAGAGCAGATTCCAAATCTGTTGCAGACAAATATCTAGCTGAATAGATGGAATATCCTCCTTGGTTCCACCTCTGCATCTTTCTTCTTAACTATTTTGACTCATGCTATGCAAGAGAATTTGCAGAAACCTTTAATGCAGTGGCACAGGCCTTATTAACATACACATGGGCATTTTTATCTTTACATGGACTTTATCCACGCACAGATAGGCATCCAGGGTCTCTTACTGGAGTTTTGCTTATACTTTTGTGTGTGTACTTTTAAAATCCTTTATGTTGCCTTGTCCCTGTTATCCCCTCACTGCAGGTTTGGACGTAAAGCAAGTCTCTTAATTAACACCCTGGTCACTTCCATCGCAGGAGTCCTTGTGTCCATAGCCCCGAACTACTTGTGGTCTGTCATATTTCGCTTCATACAAGGGCTAGTCAGCAAGGGCAGCTGGACAGCTGGCTACATCCTAAGTGAGTCAGATCTTCCTTTTCCTACAAGTGGTTTTCCTTCTTGCTAAATCCAAAGCAATTTGTGGGATCAAAGCAGAAGTGACTGCTCTAACTAAGGGAACAGAGCTGCATTGGTATGAGAGACTGTAGGCCCATCACTGTCCAGGGATTACAGCAGCCAAACCCAGCCTGTTGTCTACCAAATGTGTTGCATTGCAGCTGCCACCATCTGCTGCCAGCAAGATTTTGGCAGCACCAAAAGACATGAGCAAGATTTGCCCTCTGATCTAGCCGTGCCTCTAATGTCTGGCTTCCATTCTTGGATATCTATGGCTTGGGATGCAATCCCATGCATGTTTAGACAGAGAAGGCCTTCAACTCCTGGCACTCCCAAGTTAGTGCATTTTTCATGTCTAAACATACATAGGATTGTGCCCATAATTGACTAGGTATAAAGTACCAGTTCACAACTTTATTTTAAATTTAAGCATAGAGGGTCAGATCTAGGCCCAGCCCCAGATTTCCCATATCTATGCATCATTTTTCTGAGAGTTTGCCAGTTCTTCCCATTTATGAGTTACTGTAATTTCTAAAGATTTCATGACAGTGTGGTTCAAAAGCGCTTGCATAATCCTCTGAGTGAGGTTCAGTCTTTATTACTTCTATCTAAATTAAAACTCATGCATTTCAGTTTGAAGAGCTCAACCTTATCCTGTATGCATACTAAATAGCTTAACTTCAGGGGGGGAAAAGTCCTTGAATCCTAAAGAAATAAAACTGGTATAAATGAATTTCACCAGCTCTTGCTGTATCTTCAAACCAGTGTGTGTACTGGTTAAGAGTGAAGGACTGGGACTCAGGCAAACTGGGCTCTAGTCCCTGCTCAGTCATGGAACTCATTGGATGACTTTGGCCCAGTCACAGGCTTTCAGTCAGCCTACCTCACAGGGATGTTGTTGTGGGGATAAGATCAAAAGCAGGAAGAGGAGCATTATGTAACCTGCTTTGAGTTTGTTGTAAGAAAAAAGGCAGGATATAAGCATAATAAGTACTGCAGGTAGCGCAGTGGTTTAAACCGCTGTGCTGCTGGGCTGGTTGATCGAAAGGTTGCTGGTTCAAATCTGCACAATGGGGTGAGTTCCCGTTGCTCCGTCCCAGCTCCTGCCCACCTTGCAGTTCGAAAGCATGCAATTGCAAGTAGATAAAAGGTACCACTTTGGTGGGAAGGTGAGAGCATTCCGTGCACTTCGGTGTTGAGTCATGCCGGCCACATGACCACGGAGACTGTCTGTGGACAAACGCTGGCTCCCTCGGCTAGGAAACGGAGATGAGCACCACCCCCTAGAGTCAGGCATGACTGGACTTAATGTCAAGGGGAAACATTTACCTTTACCTTTTAAGCATAATAAATGATAATAAATGCTAAACCTAAAAACTTAGCATTCATTTTTGGTTGTTCCAATAGGTAATACAAATATTAAAGGTAAAAGAATGCACTCTTTGTGTCACTGTATGGATTTAGATGGAACCATATTAGCTCAATATGTATACATGCATGCATCTTTCATTAATTGCTTCATATTTGAACCACTACAGCAATCCAAATCTGTTGCAGACATTCCAGGCAAGAGTTATCTTCATGTAGAAAAGATTAAGATGAAGATCAACCCCTTTATTTTGCAGTCACGGAAATTGTCGGTCCAGCCTACAGAAGGACTGTAGCGATTCTCTACCAGGCAGCCTTTGCGGTGGGCCTTCTTGCCCTCGATGCTCTGGCCTACGCGATCCCCCACTGGAGATGGCTTCAGCTCACCATTACTCTGCCAATGTTCCTCTTCATGCTCTACTACTGGTGAGAAAGATCCCCTCCTTCGGCACTGGGCCTTGTCCTCCCTCTTTCCTTCCCCATCCAGGGACAGAGCTGTGAGGGCCGGGGCTGTGCAGCTGGGAGGAAGGAGGCTGGATTCTCCATAGCCTGGGACAGCAGGGGTGAGCAGCCAGTTTGTCTGCTTTCCCGCCTTTTGCTTTGCCCATACAAGTGAATGGTTGCCATTCGGGGTATGGCATTTGGGAATGCTGCTTCAATTGAGGGAAATTCTGTCCTCTGCTCCTGCCACTGGGTGGCCTTTGCTCCACCGACAGGCGTTTTGCAGCAGGCAGTGGGGATGGAAAAGAGGGCTCAGCATGTCTCTCTGGATAAATCTCACCCACCGTGGATTGTTTGCCATGTACAGTGCTTCAATAAAGAGTCAGCCTGGTGTGTGTGTTTGTACATGTGTGTGTGTACAGAGCTGGATATAAGGTATGTGTGAGTGTGCCAGGTCGTCTGAAACTTAGTATGCATACTAAAGAGACCTTGGGGGGGGGGTGCCCTGCAGAGTTAGATTTTTCTATGGCATTAGTTTGTTTTAATTCCTCAGAATGTGTCCCAAAGTGCCATTATCGGGGATGTTTTTCTCCCCCACACTGCCACCCCCTGTGGGGAAACTGCTTTGTCACTGGGCAACCCCACCTGTGGCGTTTCCAGTTTTTAGCAAAAGCTTGTATTTCAGGACCTCAGAACTGCCACTGTTGTTCAGTTTTCCATAAGTGGACCCTTTCCTGCTGCTTCCAGTTTTGCTATAATACTTTAAAACTTCCTAGTAGCTTGGGATAGGAAGTTATGGTGTGAGATAAGATGACAGACAAGACAAACTTTGAACAAGTAATTTATTAATGGGATCTTTTGAATATACAGGGATTGCTAAGTGACACTTCTTAAGGACCCAAGAAACTCTGCTGCTGCTACAGCCCTCTAATGACTTTTTTGCCTCAGGCCAATTCCCTAACCCTCCACCCCAGCCAAATACACTCACAACCAAGTTCAGCTGCTGAGTCCTCCTGCTGACATCAAAGTTCCTTCTTTTGTATTTCTGGCTGCTTGAACAGTTTATTTGGATTTTTACTTCCTGCTTATATAACCTTCCTCTGACAAGGTCTTTGGGCAACCACCTGACATAACATCGTCACCTGCTCTCTACCCCTGATTTTCACTAGCCACGTGGTTTCTCCCTCAGAAAAGGAACAGCTTAACATTCCCCCTCTCCCTTTCTCCTGGTCCTTTTCGAACAGCACACACTGAAAAGCAGACCTCTTGCCTCACTCTCCACAGACCTAACCCTTGGCTGTCAACTCCCTAACTCCTTTCCACCTAAATAGAATCTGATTATATCTATAAATATAATCAGAATCAAGCTTACATGATCCAGTTTTCAAAGTGATTATCTCTCTTGTTCTTTTTCTTTCTCTTCAGAAGAACACTGAGCAATCTCTGCACAGAACTTTGAAAGTAACTCAAGCACATAGGGCATGTTTGCCTGTTGTAACAACCCGTCCTGACAATAAACCATCTGGGGCTGGTTATTGTGCAAATGACCCATGATGCAACCAAGAGCTGATCTGGCTCCCCATGGCTTGTTCACCCGTCCCGCTCCTTCCCCCTTTGTTCCTCCTGCAGGTATCCCTGGGGACGCGGCAGCAGATCTGACTTGCCTCCTTTCTACCTCTTGTGATTGAGAGCTCTTTGGGGCTCAGCATGGCCTTTCCCCCCTTTGCATTCCCCCCTCCCCCTTTGACAGCCACTGATAACCCCTTCAAAGTGCCCAAGCGGCACTTTGGAAGGGGCTGTTAGTGGCTGACAAACCATTTTGATTATAAAAATGCACACAAAGACAGTCATGTATGCCTGTCCAGAAACCACTTGTTGCTATTTAAAAGGGAACTAGGAGACGGCTAGTTGTTAAAACTCCTTTTCCAGAGAAAATGGGCATGGACATAATTTTGCACTTTCCCTGAAGACTGCCAAGGTACACACACACTCATCATTGCAAGCAGGATGTAAATCTCATCACCTTTTTTACAAGCAAAGATCACTTGTACCTCTGCTTTCCCTTGACAGCTTGCCTTCTGATAGCTGTCAAGAGAATGGGAATAAGAAGCCTCTTTGTGTTACTTTACAGGGTTTGTACCCATTGCACTATGTCGGCAGGTACCTTCTAGGACATGCACCCCTCCCCCAGGCTTCAAATGTCCACATTTGTGGAACTGCAGACCTCCACAGTTCCTCAAATGTGGCTTAAAAACAAATCAATTAAAAATGTTTTACCAGTTACTGATAGCCCCCTACTGCCCCCCCCCCCCAACAAGTGCCACTCAGGGACTGTCAAAACAGGGACCGTGAAAGTCAGCTGTCAGGGTGCTAATTGCAATCTTAGAAAAAAAAGACATTAAAGAGGAAAAATGCTGGTGTGAGCTTGGTCACTTGCGGTTATGACAGGCAGCCAGCAGCCCTGGGGCACTTGTGTGGTGGCTGGCACCGGCTGGTGCTCAGACAAGTCTGACAAGGAGGCTTTGCTGTTCTTGCCCAACAGCTTCCCATTCCTGGTACCCACAGTGGGATCAATCACCTGGGTGTAGATGACATGACAATCCATCACAAGCACAACAACCACTGCGAAGGCCTGGGAGTTATCAGGGCTGCTTGTTTCCACTTGTGGAAATTGGCCCAGGTTTGGGTGACATGACAATCCATTCTGGGTAACCAGTGTGATATGTGCCCCATTCTGGACAGGGTTGCACACCCCTAAGGGACAGGGTGCACAATTTGGGTGTGCTCCTTGGCCCAGAGTTATCTCAGGAAACCCAGGTGACTGCTGTGGCAAGGAGCAATTCCACCAGCTTTGGCTGGTCCATGAACTACATGGACAGGCAGAGCCTAGGAACAGCAACCCAGTCTCTGGTGACCTCCCAGTTGGACTATTGTAACACGCTGTGTGTGGGGCTACCCTTCATACTTCAATTGGTACAGAGTGGAACTTCAGGATTACTTACTGGGACTGGCAGATGTGAGCACATAACCCTAGTCCCATATTATCAATGGTTACCAGTTGCAGTCTGGGCCTATTTAAGGTGTTAACTTTGACATAGGAAGCCTCAAACAGCTTAGGGTCTGGATATCTGAAGGAATGTCTCCTTCCATATACACCTGCCTGAACTTTGAGATCTTCCACTGAGTTCCTTCTTTGGAAGCCCTCTCTGAAAGAGGTTAGAGAACCCTAGCTACCCAGGGAAGGGCCTTTTCTGTGGTAGCGCCCTGGCTATAGAATCTGCTTCCCAGAGAGATGAATACTTTATTCATTTCGGCACCAGGCCAAAACCTTTTTATTTACCCACCATTTTAATGGTCAATTGAGTTTTATTATACAATATAGCTTTTTTTACTACATATTTTTATGTAGTAAAAAAATACATTTTTAATGTGTGGCTGAAGTTTTGGTTTAGTAAGCTGTCTTGAGATCCATTTGTAAATCTAGACAGGATACAAATGTTTAAAATACATAAATAGATAAAGCTGGTCACTGCAGCCTCACAGAGGCAGCACAAAGGAAGTGTTACTGAACTGCCATGTTTTCACAGCCAGTTTTGGTTACCAGGCAGGAGACTTTCTTAACCTCAGCATGGCTTTGCAGCAGAGGCAGCCTGAAGTCAGGGGAGTAAATCGAGCGGCCACACCTCCCCCTGCTGTGGAGGACCCCCCCTCAGGGGAACGGAGAGGACAGAGCCCTTCCTCAGAGGCTCTGGAGATGTCCCATGGCGGGGACTGTTCCTAGCGGTGCCGTTACTGTGCTCAGACTGGCTGAGCAGAATGTATCCCACTTTCACTGTTGTGCTACATTGCTTGAAGGGTTTCAGAGGAAGGGTGATTCTAATTGGTGTAAAGCTGGATCAGGTTGATCCGTTCATCACACATGTGTGTGTGTGCACGCGCACACACACACACACTTATGCTCTACCACCAGTTCCACCAAATAACAATAGCTAAGATCGAAATACCTCCAGAATGACCTAGGATGGATTCAAATGTTTCTTTCTGCGACAGACTAGCACTTCTGTTCCTCTGGCATATAATCCTGTGCAATGACTCTGCCACATCTGTTTTAATTTGCAGGTGTCTTCCAGAGTCTCCCAGATGGCTGATCTCTCAAGGACAGAATGGCAGAGCTATGCAAATTGTGGATGATATTGCTAAAAAGAACGGGAAAGTCGTACCTACCCAGTTTGAGGTGAATTTCAAATGTTGCATATATAAACTATTGGCTTCCTTGGGGTGCTCTTGGGTACTATAGGTATGCTAACTACAAGTAGCAGCAATTAATTGTAATAATAGGCTATGTGATACCATAATGTATCATGTTTCATAACATTATCAGATAGCATTGCTTTTGACTGGGCAAGTATAGACAGATATTTATCTCGGATCTGATATCATAGGCAGGATTAGAGGTCATTAGGCCTTTGAATGGAAGCCAGAATGATACAACTGTAGCTGTCATATTTCAGGCACAACACTAAAGGGCAAGACACACTGGAGAAGAAAATAATGCTAATGAAAGTCAAAGGAAGAAGAAGAAGAGGAAGACCATATGAGATGGACTGATTCCATAAAGAAAGCTGCAGCCTTGAGTTCACAAGAGCAGAGCAGGGCTGTCTAGAACAGGACTTTTTGGAGGACCCTTGTTCATAGGGTTACTGAAAGTCAGAGGTCACTTGATGGGGCGTAACACCAGGTTGTTAAATGTAATGCAAGTTGCTAGCTAACATAGTTATGGTTAGTGGTTCTTGCATGTGTGTATGTGTGTGTGCACGCACACAGAATCCAATTTGTAATCAGCCATGGAAATGGATTAATTTATCTGAGCAGAGCAAACTGCACTGTACAGCAGAGGGAGGAAATCTGCTTTGGATGTACCAAGACAACAGATGAAGGCCAGAACTGGTTTCTGCATGTCACAGCAAGTCATTGTGAAGTGTTGATTGTATCATGCGTGTGATGCCATTTGGCTCCACTTCAGCAGGGCCAAAGGACAGAGTGTGGTAGAATGTGACGCTTCACTGGGACCTGGGCACCCAGGCAGATGCTGGCCTAGGCAGTAACCCTGTTACCACAAAAGGAAATGTTAGTTAAGTTGTAGATCATGGTTGAGGATATTTATGGAAATTAACTCCTTTATCTAGATACTTATGTGCATCTCTTCTGAGAGTCACTGAAGCCAGTCAGAAGCACTGCTGGGGCAGACCATGCAGCACCCTGTCCCCTCCCTGCCACCCCTGCCATGAAAATTGGCTCCCAGCCTGTAGTGCAAAGACAAGGAACATTGTTCTAGCAAGGGAGCTGTCCAGCAGAGAGCACGGTGAAGAGAGTGTTGCTTAATCTATCATAGAATCCTCATCATAGAAGAGTAGAGTTGGAAGGGGCCAAGAAGGCCATTGGGTCCAAGCCCCTGTTGTTGCGGGAAACCAAGTTACACCATCCCACTCAGATGGCTGTCCAGTTTCTTCTTGAATGTCTCTGGTGTGAGAGAGTCCATGACCTCTAGACAATGGGTTCCACTGTCATCTTGCTTTCACATTGAGGAGACTTTTCCGGATATCTGGCCTGAACTATATCCTGCTCTCTGGTATCAGCAAGAAGAGATCTTGTCCTTCCTCTTTGTGACAGCCTTTGAGGTGCTTATAGAATGATATCATCTCCCCCCCCCCCCCGGTCTTCTCTTCTCAAGGCTGAACATGCCCAGTTCTCTCAGTCTCTGCTCACAGGGCAATGTTTCCAAATCCTGGTTCATTTTTTTGCCCTCCTCTGGAGCCTTTCTGATTTTTCTGCATCTTTCTTAAATCTTGGTGCCTAGAACTGGAAACAATATTCTAAATGGGTTCTGACTAGTGAAGAGTATAGGGGAACTATTTCTTCTTGTGATTTGGAAGTAATACTTTTATTAATGCATCCTAAAGTAGCATTTGCTCTTTTTGCAGCTGCATTGTATTGTTGACTCATATTTAGCCTGTTGTCCACAATAACTCCAAAATCCTTCTCTTTTCCAGTTTTGTTGAGCTACGTATTCCCCATCTTGTATTGATTGGTTTCTTTTTCCTAAATGGAGGACTAGACATTTATTCCTATTGAATTTCATTTTGTTGTTTTCAGCCCAGCATTCAAGTTTATCAAGATCACCCTGGATTTTCATTCTGTCTTCCAGGGTGTTCACTATTCTACCAAATTTTGAATCATCTGCAAACTTGATTATCTTTCCTTGTACTTCCTCATCTAGATCATTACTAAAGCCATTGAAGAGCACTGGGTCTAGGAGTGCACTCTGCGGCAAACTACTAGTTACGTTTCTCCAGTTTGAGAAGGTGCCATTGATGAGCACTCTTTGTGTCCAATTTAGCAGCCAATTTTGGATCAACCTCATAGTTTTTCTATCTAGTCCACTTTTTTTGATAGTTTGCTTATCAGGATGTCATGAGGCATTATGTCAAAAACTTTGCTAATCGATGTGCCAAGAGCGACGGTCCAGCTGAGCAGCTTCGTGGGGAATTCTGATACTCTACCTCTTCTTGGTTTGTCTGTAGGGCCCAAATGCAGACCATGCTTCTTTGTCATGAGTAGGGCTCCGAGACAGCTGACCTGATGCCCGATGACCACTGCATCTCTGGCTCTAGGAGGAGCGCCCACTGATGCCTTTTTGGGGGGCCGGTGAGGATGCTGGGGAATACCTGGTGGCCCTGAAGCAGTGGAATAGACAAGCCCAGGTGCTTAGGCTCCTTCATTGCCAGAGCATCATTGAGGGGGCCACTGCACTGGTCTTGGAGAGGCTACTGGCACTCTTTTTGTGCTTTTGCAACCACTAGAATTGGCAGCAGGACTCTTGAGGTCTTTTCGGGCTTCTGGGTTGTTCTGGAAGGAAGGCGATAGGATGCAGCACATTCTCAAGAGTGAACTGCAGGGTCAGGCCCTTTGTGAGAAGTGATGATCACCAGAGAGCCAATTAGAGCTGCAGTTAGGATGATTCGAACCCAAATATATGTCCAATTCACATCCAGAAAACACACTGTTAAGTGGCCCATATCCCTTGCCCTTGGGTAATTTTGCAACAATGTTTGATTTTTAGAGTATCAACCTTGAAGAAGAAAGTAAAGAGGATCCAAACCTGAGTCCTTCACTGATGGATCTTGTAAGGACACCTCGGATGAGAAAATACACATTAATTTTGATGTACAACTGGTGAGATGCCCTTTATTTCAGTCTCTTTGATTCCTTGCCATGTTTACAACCTTCATACTAGACTGTTCCGTTTCAGTGCGCTGCTCCACGGTCCCAGTGCCAAGCATGTGGGGACTAAGCATGTGGCGTGCTTGTCTCTCAAACGATCCTCCTCTTGAACCCAGTTCTTTGGATTTTATAAAGTTCACTCACTGAGCATGAGGCACAGGAGCAGGGCTGGTGTGGTATCTTCTGCCATCTCGGGTAGAGAGCTTGTGATTTATCTGAGGCAGGGGCTGCACCAGGACCAGCACTGGTGGAGGCCTTGGAGCTGTACCACCATAGTGTCCTCAGATAATGGCCCCCTCCCACCAAGTTGCCTCTTCACTCTGGCCTATCAAGCCAATGTTGCCCAATCACCTCTCCAAATCTACTCACGCTGCTAGTCATGTTTGTGTGATAGGGCATTTCTGGACTGAGGAGAGAAACATTCTGCGTATGTGATTGTATGCAAACTGGTCATTAATAATAATAATACTGGAAAGTTATTCCTTTTTTCACCATCCAAAAGAATAAAGAAGTACTTAGGAACTTTATGGGTGGGGGGGGTGGGACTTAACTGTAGGCAAAAGATGACCCTGTTTCAAATAGGTTGGCTGTATAATTTGGAACTGAAGTGACATATTTTGAGCTGCAGGATTTTTTGGAAAATTGGCTGCTCTTCTTTCAGACTGGCAAATCTTTCCACCATTAACCTTGGTTGCTCTTCTTTCCATAGGTTCACAAGTGCTGTCATGTACCAGGGGCTCATCATGCACCTAGGAATTGCTGCAGACAATGTTTACCTGGACTTTTTATATGCTGGTCTTGTTGAATTTCCAGCGGCCATCATCCTCTTACTCACAATTGAGCGAGTGGGCCGACGTTACCCCTGGGCTGCAGCGAGTCTGATGGCAGGAATCGCTTGCCTGGTGGCTGCTTTCATCCCAGAAGGCAAGTTGATCAGTGGATGTCTGTGCCCTGCTCTGCAGAGGACAGTCTGTGATATGAAGCGCACTTGGAGCATGATCTGCTGAGGAGACTGTCCACCCCAAGTCCAGTGGAAAGATGAAGAAGGGGGAACAGTGGAGGGAGGCTAGGAGGTGCCCATAAGAGAGAGCGCCAGGCAAGGCCATTGGCAAGGGTGGGCACAGTTGTGGGGGCTCACACTCCAGCGAGAGAGACCCCTGACCTTGACTCCCCTCTCCACCACTGTGCCTGCTTCTTCACCTGCCCCTTCCATGCAGTGGTGGTGGTGGTGGTGGTGGCGGCAAGGCTCAGGAGAGGCCACGCCTCTCTGGTGCCAGGCAAGCAAGGAGTGGCCTCCAAGGGAAAGAGAATGAGGAGCAAGAGGGAGATCACTGCCCGATGGCAAAGGCAGTGAGGAATCTGGAGGGAGGGGCCCAGGGAGCGCACTGTGCCCCCAGGCTCTGCCCATTTGCTCCCCCTTGCAACCCAGGTGACATCAGTGGGCGTGGCCATGCCAGTGGCCCCCCTTCACCCCCGCTCCACCCTGCCCATGCTGCCCTCTCCATGGTGAGCAGGTCAACCCGCTCTGTGGCTTCCTCCATATAGAGAAAGGGACATGGCTGGAGCTGGGAAGGGCAGCCTTCTCTGCCTGCTTCTTCAAGGGCACCCCTTTCCCCATGGCAATGACAAACGAGGCACTCTGGAGGTGGAATCCCCATTTTACCGCTTTCCTGCAAGTGCATTCCACTCTGCTGCTGGCCAGGGCATTGGGTGAGGCCCACAAAGGGAGCCCCAACTTCCGTGGGCCAAATCGGGAACCCCTGTGGGCCAGGCTTTCCCCACCAGCAGCATGCATTTTGAGTAAGCATCATTTCTACATTACGGCAAAGGCGGCCTCATTAAGCGCCCTCTTTTGCATTCCTGCTCAGCTCTGCTTTCCATCCATTCCAGTCACTCACGATAACATATTTAAGTTTGTACTACATGTCCAGTACAAGATAGGATAGGAATGGGATGCACTCAGTGCTTTTTTTGTTATAGAACGTACCGGAACAGAGTTCTGGCACCTTTTTTCAACAGATTTTCCAAGTTTTAAAAGTAACTTTTGAAAATTTGATGTTTGGTCCATGTGGATTTGAATCGCCCTGTGAGCGTAGCAGGTCGGCAGCAAAATCATCAAAACGGTGCATGCGGGCTGCTCGTGTGTCGAGTCCGATGCATGCGCACTTTGTCCGCACTGGTTGTGATGGCGTTGCTCGGCTTGTGGTGCTGCTCGGCTTGTGATTGGTCATGTGGTCACACGCTGAGTGCTTATTGTGGGTGGCGACCATTATGTTTCGTTACACAACTGATGTGTGTGGGTGTGTGTACAGTGATTGACTACGTGCGAAAGGTAAATAATTTCATGAGTTCTGGCACATTTTTCTTACCAAAAAAGCACTGGATGCACTTCATTCAAAAAGTGCCTTGGGATTTTTTGTGGGGCCACAGAGGTTGTGATGCTGCGTATCAGCAGCTGCTGCATATCAGCAGCTGTCACCTATAAGCAGAGAAGTGCGTTCCTGGGTCCCCTGCAGCCTCGCTGAGGCTGCACGTGCTTCATTTTTGGCTTTTGCACAGCAGATGCAGTAAAACAGATCATGCTCCCCAAAGTGCATCCAAAACGTTTTGCAATCCTGGACAGGATACCAGAGACACAAATCAGATTGTGTGCCATATGTGCCATCCAAAGGGTTTTCCTGTGAGAGAAGTGCAGCAAACCATGTGCAGACCTGTTTGAGAATGGTCAGCTGCCTGCAGGTTAAGGGTGGTCACGGTTCCAAGGGCTAGACATGTCTGATGTCTTTATGCAGATTAAGAAACCAACCGATCTGAGCTACGCCTCACAGACTAAAGTGCAAATCAGAATGCGGGCATCCTTCAGATTTTACAATTCTCAGCTCCAATCAGTATCAGAACACATTTCAAAATACTTGTTTTATGAAAAAAAAATCTCTTCAAAATGTGTATTTAAATGCAACATTTGGTGCTTTTAAAAATTAGATTGATTTGAAAGTGGGTAGAATGTATGAAGGAACACATGAAAAAGTGACACTGAGCAGAAACAGTCCAATCTGTCCCCTCCTGATGGCTTCTGACATTTTGTAACACTGCTTGCTTATAGCTTAGGATGTTCAGTCCATGTTACATGGATTGAGCACATGAGATGAGATGGTGTCTTGCTCACTGGCATTTACTCTCCCGCCTTTGGAATGCAAGAGCAATTATGGGCTTGATCTTTCAAGCAGACACACTGGCATTTTGCTATGGAAAACTAAAGAATCTCTTCCATTATAGCACATTTCAAACAAAATGGGACTACTCTTCAGAAAACATATGGTTGATGACAATTACCTATAAGCTCCATAAGTAATTCTACAACAGTCTGGAGCTAATAAATGAAATGTACCTGTGTCCAAGTTCCAGACCACTAGCTTTTTTCATTGTAATGTCTGGTTTCAAACACAGACCAAGGGCTTGAATGATTCCTGGGTAATCAGGGAAGGGTTTCCAATATAGGGAAAGAGGTTGAATGGTTTTTAGGATAAGCCTTCTCAGGGAAACAAAGCCAAGTGTTTTAGAAAAAGACAGTGACAAAGTTGGTGATAAATCTATAGGCACAGAGGTTTAGTCCAACCTAGGAATATTCATTGGAACCTCTGTATTACATGGGCCCGGCATTTCACACCCAAGAGGCAAAGCATGTTCAAGAACAAGTCCAAAGAAATCTCACACAGGCACAGGTTTTGGCAGTCAGAGCGCCCCCTTTTGTATTTCTACATTACATGGGTTCTGATGTAGGACAGTCCAAGGGACAAGTTCAATCATGGGCTATGGACAAATACAATACATAATCTATAGCAAGCAATGAAAATCCTATACAAAGTTCTATGAAAGCACAGCAACACATTCTGTGGCAGGTTCTTAGCAGCATTCAAAGGACAGAAGTCCAAAGGGGAAGGAGTCTGTGTGAAGAATGCCTCCAGAGGCTCCAACAGTAGTAAGTCCAAACAGAGAAGATTTGGGGCAGCAAAGATGAGGCTGTTCCTGGCAAGAGCCCTTGGCCTGGGCACCTGCTTGAAAGGGAAAGTGCTGCTATGGCAGAACTCTTCCTGAACAACTGACAAGGGATTTCAGTTCATCAATGAGGCCTCTCCCAGGCAGGGCATTTCCATTTGGCCCTCTTGAGCTGACATGTCAACCTGTGTGACACCTCTAAAACCACCCCTATCTTCTGCTTGGTTCTCACAGAAAGGCTGCCAGCTTCCTTCCCAGCCAAGGCTGAAGTTGGCAGTTGGATGGGAGGAACTTAACTCCTGCCTGCTTTCTTCTGGGAACATCAACAGATAAGCACACACAGATTCCGACATTCTACAGGGTGAACAGACCCAGACCCTTCCCAACCACTTCTGATCAGGTCCTAGCAATATAGCCTGTTAGGTCTGCTGCAGCACTGGAGCTGAGGCCTGAGAGCATCTGAGAATAAAAACTGTGAAAAACACTTGGCAGATGAAATGCAGTACTGAAGCTGTAGCACTGGTGTGAAGCTGTAGCACTGGTGTGAATGTGTGTGAGTGCACGCACATGTGCGCACGCACCTGTGCATATGCAAAAAATACCTTAAGTGAATTTGTTGCCTGCAGAAAGACTGCCTATTCTAATATGTTCTGTTTATATTTTTGTAAATAAAGTCACAAGTTTGCGGTGTGCCCTTATCCAATCCAAATGAGATACTGTCCAATCAAAATATGAATGCTGCCCTTGGCATTTGCTACTGCTAGGAAGTGAGGAGAGGAACCCCCAATTCCTTGAAAAACAATGATCTATTATGTTACTGGCATTAATATTTCCACAGAAATGAACTGTTAGGAAAATTATGTATCACTGTTTACTTGCATACTTTCTAGATATGTACTGGCTAAAGGTTACCGTCTCTTGCCTGGGCAGATTGGGAACCACGATGGCTTTTGAAATGGTGTGCTTCGTCAATACTGAACTGTACCCAACGTTCCTCAGGTAGGTGTTTTTACCACTTTTGAAACTGCTGAATGTTTCTATCTGATGAATGCACAGTTCAGTTATCTCAGGGATAAAGGTGTTACATTGCTAAAGGAGGGAGATGGACAATCTGTTCTCTCTCTCTCTCTCTCTCTCTCTCTCTCTCACACACACACACACACGCGCGTGCGCGCGCGCGCGGAGGGGATGAGTTTCTTGGAGAGGAACCACATTTAATTGTGAAGCTTCTGGTTGCTATCTAGGGAAGTCATGTTGATTTGCTTTTTCCATTTAGCAAGAAAACTGATTTAGCATGAAAACTGATCATCATCAATCATCATCTTCATTATCATCATCATCTTGACAGTAGCTGAGCTATAAGTAAATGCAGTTATAAAAAGCAGTTCATTAGAAACACTCCTACAATTAGGAAGCAAGCATAGTAAGGGAAACAGAACAGGAAATGAGGCATCAAAACTGGGAAAGGCAGAGAGGTTGGAAAGTATCTTGGTGCTCCTGGCTGAGGTTGTCTGAAAAAGTTGTTTAAAATGGACACACATTTTGTTCCTACCTTATGAAGGAGTTTATTTTAGAAAATGATCCATACAAATGGGCATTTTAAAAAGTGAGTAAAACAGACATCTTTGGTGAAATAACATGTTTCTGCTATTTATTACTTAAATGTGTATTTTGCTTATCAGCTTTCACTTTCTCACTTTATGCACCAAAAGCAGTTTGCTTGTATGCAGCTAAATCCTATGTATGTATACTCAAGCATAAGTCCCACTGAGCTCAAAAAACTTCCATATAAGTGTGTGTAAGATTTCACTTTTCTTTGGTGGACTAAAGAACTTGGTTATCAAAGCTATTCATAATAGCTAGCTTTAGGAGTGGGATTGTTATAATCTTCCCAATGTGACAGAAGTTTAAAAAAATTGAAACTATATTCTGATTCAAATACAGCAAAACCACAATCTTCAGACATTAACTTGGTGAAAATCACATAAATCAGCCCTCCTTCAGACTTTTTTGTTTACAACGTCCATCATGTTTGACCATCGGCTATGCTGACTAGGGATAATAGGAGATGTAGTCTAGCACATCTTGAGGCAACAGGTTGTGGAAGTCTGACACAAATAATTCCCTAAATTATTATGGTTCATATTCCCATTTATTGGATATTAAACTTTCTAATGTGCATTATTTTGAGTTCAACTGGCCCACTCATTTTCTTTACAAACATGTTGGGAGATTTGGGATCTAAGGAAAGAACTTTAATGATCCTTAATGTCTTGTATTATTTCTTTTGCTCACTTGCTTCCTCCAGTCTTTGGAATGTGATATTCATCAGAAAAACGGGGAAGGGCAGAGACAACATTAGAAGCAGTATTCGTATAGTATAGGAAACAAGAGTCATGGAGTGCAGAGAATTTTTGCTGACAAAAGTTGGACTTGAAAAAGTTTGTGGGGAGACTGCAGGGCTGTGGGGTGATATGGCTGCTTGGAAGATTCTCACGTACCAGTGGCTTTGCTTAGGGTTTACTCTGTTACTGTACATGGAAAACAGATATTGCAAAGCAGGGGTGGGTAACTTGTGGTCCTCCAAGTATTTTGGGTTACGTATTACCCACCCGTTATTACCTACCTTATTCAAAAGTAATGAAAACCTGCAGTAATCAAGACCATGAACTTCTCACGGCACAGGGAGTCCTGGACACTCATCATGTTCAGAATGATGGAAATTTATTCAAACATTACTCTGTCCTCACTCGGAGCACTGATTGTACCACATAAAATTAAAGGAGAGGGGAAATTTCTATCCTCCTAGCCTTCTACCTACCTGTAAATGGGAGGCAACTATGGGAAGATGAATTGTCCTACCTGGTCTGGAAAATGGAGGGAATGTATGAGGCAGACACCATAGCCAATAAGCAAGCAACCTTTTGCCGGATTTGCAGTCTAGATTAACAATCGTTTAATGTCTCCCCGCCTCCTGCACTTCTTTTTTTATCCAGGAACCTTGGTGTGATGGTGTGTTCCTCCTTGTGTGATTTTGGTGGAATCATATCCCCATTTGTTGTTTATAGACTGGCAGAGATCTGGGACCAGCTACCTCTCATAGTATTTGGTAAGTAATGTTCTAACATGGTTGCTAGAGAAAGTTAATGCTGGACAGGGCAATCCTACCTAGCATTGCAGAGAGTTCCAATGCTGAAGCTTCTAACCAGTCTGCAATGGTTAGAGGCTTCACTCTCCTGGCCAGAGCTATTCTTCCTTTTCCTCTTTTAAAGAACAGATTCCCTCCCTTTGAAACCAATGATCTACCAGTGATCAGTTCTAGGGCTGGTGTGGGGAGTGGAGATCTAATTAATCTTATGGCCCCTGGCAGGACACCTTCCCAGGTATCAGGGGATTGCTGCTGAAGTTGTTTTACCTTATTTAAAATAGCTGCACACCATATTTCTACTTTAGAAGTCTCCAGAGTGGGTGCTGTAAAACTCACTCAATCAAAATAAGACAAATGTGCAAATGAGATCAACATAAGCAACGGCCTCAGTCAGCTAAAACACCTTTCAAAAAGAGATAAATTGTATTTATTCATTCATTTATTTCAAGCTTTTATTAGATCATCACTATAGCCACATGGCTCTCTGGACAGTTTACAACAATTGGAAACCATCAAACAAAACAAATTCAATAATAAAACATCAATTCCAATAAAAACACCCATTCCATCAGCAAAAGCACCAACCATGTTGACTTCATACAATAACCAGATTAGACAGCATCTTATATAAAAATAATGATTAAAATTTTAAAATTCATCAATTAAAATACCAACCTAAATTAGAAATAAAATAAAATTAAGACTATCGACAGTTAAAATACTCTGAAAATCAAAAAGTCTTTGCCAGGCACTGAAATGTGTACAAAGAAGGTACACATTCTTTGGGGAGCCGATTCCACAAACGGGATGGCACAACAGAAAAGGCCCTACGCTGGGTATCCACCTTCCTAGCATCCTTTAAAGGTGGCTCCTTGGGTGAAGATCTTAGGGCCTGGGTAGTCTATATGGATTGAGTTCCTTTAGATATTCAGATTCTAAATCATTTAGGGCTCTTAACATTAAAACAAGCACCTTGAAGCTGGGCTGGACTTCAGCTGGCAGCCAGTGCAACTAATAGATGACTGGTTTTGTATGTTTATTGCTACCGGTCCTTGTTAGCAGTTTGGCCACTCTATTTTGCACCAGTTGAAGCTTCTAGACTGCTTTCAAGGGCAGCACCACGTAAAGTGCATTACAGTAGTCCAACCAAGAGGTTACTAGGGCATGGATAAAAGCAACAGGGCCTGAATTAAAGGCCTTCAAGACACTTACAAAGTGTTTTAACCTTAAAACTAAAAGTTAATGGTATTAGTCCCTTACCTAACCTTTTGAAGACTGGTCAGGAGTGGAGAGAGAGGAGAGGAGATTGAGGGGAGCATGAGAACCAAACTGAATGTTTGGACATGTTCAAATGGAAGACCTATGACTTAGGTCATAAGCTGAATAGGGCTTAAAAGCTACAACCCAGCATCTTGACCAATGCCCAGAAATATACTGCTAAATAATGTAGATATGGTGAAATGGATGAAATTATGTCTCCCACACTAGAGACATGCAAGGTGAATCTGGACAGCCATCTCAGTGGGTTGGTGTGATGTGGTGTCCTGCAAGAGCAGGGAGTTGGACCTGATGGCCTTCATGGCCCCTTCCAACTCTACTATTCTATGATTCTTTGATTCTGTGTTCAGTCTGGCATATGCCAGCTGGAATCTACCTGCCATATTCCAAACTAGCTGAGGTTTCTGAGCAATCATCCCAGACAGAAGCCCCACATGTTACACAGAGCAACAATCTGTCCCGAGTGTTCCAAGAATATGGATATTGCAATGGATGGTGCATTTCTGGCCAGATGGTGCACCAGCCAAAGCTTATGATCTGCCCTCATGCCGTAGACACTAGTTCAGCATTCATTCCAAAGGGCAGAACTAATTGTGTCCCAGTGCCAGCACTAAGGGCGACATGGACAGAGAATGACGGCAGTTGTAGACAAGCACATCCAGAGAGTGACAGGTTGGGGAATGCTGATTTAGCGTGCATCTCTGAAAATGACGCATAATATGAAGGTTTCTAACATTCTTTCTTTGTGCTTTTCTTTGGTAGCTGTAGTTGGTTTAATTGCTGCAGGATCTGTGCTACTTCTGCCTGAGACCAAGGGAAGAACTTTGCCTGAGACAATTGAAGATGTAGAAAACTTTCATCGGTACCATAAGAAACAGCTTAATTAAGGCCAAATTCAAGTTTAAATGTTATTTGACACATTTGCTTTCAAGTGTTCTTTATAAAAGCCCAGCTTTGCTAACTACCTTGGCTAGAAAGGCACAGATAAAACTGAAAGGACTTTCATTAGTGACTATAAAGGAAACTATTAAAAATATAAATATATATTTTCATCCCCTGTGTTTCTGTTAAATTGAGGAATATAGTAAATTCAGCATATAACATATGAAAAGGCATTTTTGAAAAAAAATCGATGAGACTAGCCCTGTCCCAGATGCCTTTTTGGAGGGCAGTAAATGCATCCTTGTTTCACCCACCTAGAAATGTATGCAAAATTTGTTTCCATTCATTTTTGATGAGGATTTGCCCTTTTTGCACTTTCCTAATTGAACACAGACTTGAATGCAATCTGTGCTTGAAGTCTGTATGCTTCTGCGCCCGCTTGGGTGATTCCTGGACACCCCTACTCCCAAAGCATTCAACAGCATGCTTACACCCAGAATACTTCTGAAAAATGCAAGTGGACGTGCTTTATTCAAAGGGAGAAGAATGTATGTATTTCACAAATGTGCACGACTGATGTGTACACTTGGAAAATACACATGCACATACACACAGATTGCAATTTGACATGCACATGAGATGGAATTTGGAACAGTTTGACAAACTTGAGGTTTGCTTGTATGCAGAACTGTAGACTTGGACATTAGTGGTTTTAATTCAACAATACTCCTTTGATTTTCAGGTCTTAGTTTCAATTTTCATTGCATGCCATCCATTTGTAAACCAATTTGGGGGCTTTTGTAAGAGTCAAAACATTCTATGAGCATGCCTTTGTAAAAGTAGTAAAACAATGGAATGATAGATTTGGGAAAGAGCCCCTTCCTTGCTTCATCCGAAAGACTTTTTCAGTAGACCATTATCTGTCTATCTGTCTTCAAGCTGGGAAAAATATCTGCACACCCACAGGTACTCATGAACATGTGCACATGCACGCAGACACGCCTGTCTGGGGAGCTTTCACAAGACCGTTTATCCTCCAATGAAAAGAAAGGGTGTTTGACAACTTTTGGAGTGGGCAAAGTCTGAACATTTTATTCTGGGCGGTGGTATCTTTAAACATGACATGGCCGAGCCTTGTCACTACTTGTCACTACAGTGTACAGTGGTACCTCAGGTCACAAACACCTCAGTTCACGACCAAATCGGGTTGCAAACAAAAATTTCATACTCAGGCTGCGAACTCCACATTGGGTGGCAACCGCAATCGCGCCCATCTCCCCCCCCCCAACAAGTGGGGAGATGGCTGCAATCGTGCGGGGGAGGGGGAATGCCCATGATTGCGCCCGTCTTTCCTGCAGGAGCACAACCACAACCCCGGCCCCCTCCCCCCCCAGCATAATCGCGCCTGTCCCCCCCCCCCCAGCACGCCCGCAATCGCGCCCGCCTCTCCCCACCCCCAGTGCGCCAGGATGACGGGTGCATGCAGGGATGACAGGCATGATCATGGTTGTGCTGGGAGGGGGGAGGGTGGGGAGATGGCCACACTCCTGCTCAGGGTGTGGGTGTGGGGGAGATGGCCATGATCTTTGTTGTTCTTTGTCACTTTACTTCACATTTTTCCGATTAAAAAAAAAAAAATTACAGAACGGATTAACCTTATTTACATTGAACCTTTTGGGGAAATTTAACTTGGCTCACAACCAATTTGGGTCACGACCAGAGTCCTGGAACGGATTAAGTTCGTGAGCCAAGGTACCACTGTATTGCTGTTTTGAAGGGCATTGCTAGGGTGGGGTGTAGTGATCTTCTGTCCACACCATGCATACCTTTCCAAATTTCTCTCATCGTTCCCTGCACGCCCCCCCGCCCCCCGGCTATTTGTTCTGGAAGTTCCCATCATCTCTTTCTTCAAAACACAAGTGGCCACTTTTAATTATACTTCTCTGAAAGTATGAATTTTGGCTCTGGCCTTCATGACAGGAAAATGGGATACTAATGTGACCCCTTCAGTAAACTTTGTTGGCTTTTGAGGAGTGCCTTGTCCTCTTCTTTTTCCACATCGCAGGCTCTGTGCATGCCTCCTGGCACTTCCCTTCATTACGTTTCTTTTCACATGTGTAGGTATCAACAGGATGGAAATATCTGCTACTGTTGGAACACCTGTCCTGTTGATGCGTTTACAGCAATTGGATCTGAAGACACAATGTAGCTTGTCATGATAAATAATGTGCTATGCTTGGTTGAGCAGAAAGGCACTTTTCTCCCCACACCTGCCCCCAAGAGAACTACACAACCAAGAGCGTCTGTTGCACAAGACACCAATTAACCCGCGCCAAATAAGAACAGCCAAACCACTGTGGCACCGCACTGATTTATTATTGTATGGTATGAGCTCGGATAACAGCTTGTATGTCATCAGACAGATGAAAATGGGAGGGTTGTTGCTGTGTATCTGTACACACGCATGAGATGACGCACTCACAAGGTTAAAGTGAGGGCACAAAGCAACTCAAACCAACTGATGGGGGATTCTCAATTCCCATTGCTCTGATTTTACCCAAATTCCCTGTTGACATCAGTGAGACTTAAAATTCACTCAATTTAGGCTGGGTAGTGCCCAGAGTTAAGAAAGGGTGAGCATGTATGTCAAACAATACTGGTACTCTTAATGCAGTGTCTAGCCAAAAGGACATCCATTGTCTTTAGGAACGTCCTGTGTATTTGATTGAAACAAAAGTATTGTAAAAAAAAAAGGGGGGGGGCTCCATTCACTTTCACTTCTTGTTTTCCTAACCACAATCAGCATTTCATCATGTAGGGGTGGGTCTCTCCTTTGCTAATCAAATTGTAACCTTTTCCCTAAAACATTTGGCAGTCAAAAGCCTTTATCATTCATCAGTGTGACTTCCCTGCATTTCTTCCCATAAACCTGATTATTTATTATAAGCATGAGATCTCAGACTTCTTTTGGTATGCCATATCCAGAACCTACATTTACACAAAGTAAATTCAACTAACTTAAATGAGATTTCCATCCAAGTGTGGATATTTAGGATTGCAATTCTGTTTTCCAAAACAATATGGACAGAGAAATAGGAGCAGAAATGGAACCTTGGGAAATCCAGAGTTAGAGAATTGCCAACTCTGGGTTGAAGGCCCTCAGTAAACGAGTACATACTAGCTCTCTTTACCTGGCTGAACTTTATTATTAGCTTAGCTCAGTGTGGTGAAATCTTCAGGAAAGAAGGCCCTTAAAAGGCCACTATGCAGAAAGAGAAGTATGCAGCTTTTGAAAGATAGTTATTTAGCTAACCTAAGCTGTTGGAAATTTGTGGCATAATCCAGCCAAAGTTGAGCATACTTAATTCTTATTAATTTCAGTACATGCTCTCAACTGTCTCCTTTTAAATTAATAGATATGTTTAGATACATAGATATGGGGCTTAGATATGTTTGAGTTTGGCTGTTCATGCCTTTCGTTTTGCTTAAAGTTGGCTACCAGAAACTGTGTGCCTCTTTAGGCCACTGGGAGGTATTGTCTATTCTATGCTCCACAGGGTTCTCTCGCTCCAGGACAATAGAATTCTTTACAAAACACTGGAATCATAAGGGAACAAAGATTCAAAGGGTACAGAAAGGTTGAAATGCTTTGGAGGGTTGTGTTTGTGTCCACCCTCATGTTCCATTTTCCTTCACGTTTCATCAAGGGAAAACACTGCAGCTGTCTGTCTTTAATTAGGTGCTGCATCAGAGGTTCGGACATGAAGATAAATCATTTTTTCTTTTGGCCTTCTTTGACTGTGGAAATAAAGCCAGAAGAGCAGTGTAAAAGGATAAAAGAAATCAGACTCTGATGTCCAGAGAATGTTCAACTAAATAAATGTCACCATGACCTTTTTTGGCCAAACTGCACTTGCCATTAATGCACCCCTTGTCCCCAGGGCAGCTGGGAAGGGGGTGGGGTAACCCTTCCCCACACAGTTACCATCCCGGTCAGCCCTCCAAACTCTATAGTTTGCATCAGAATAGATATGCCCATGGAGGTTTTCCTCAGATGCAAATAGCAACTTTTGGAGAGGCAATTTTCAACAAGGCCATGAGATAAGCTTTTCCTTGCTGATTCTGAAAGTCTCAAGCCGGATCTGCCCCTCTGCAGGTCCTGCTGGCATCTGAAGAAAGAGCCACACCTTTCTCATCCTATTCTACAGGTCCTCTGTAGCTCCTTCTTTGCATAAGGGAGCTGGTATGGAGCAGCTCAGGAACAAAATCTGGGCACAGGCGGCACAGAACTGGATGCAAAATGCACTCTCTTGACTAAGAGGCAGCTGGATTTGGATGAGCATCTGTGTTTGCAGTCCCAGAACACCTGGCCTGGGGACCTAATGGTTGCTGTCGGCTTCCAGGCTCTACAGTCCAATCTGAGCACTCCATAGTCCGAAGTTATGGGGCGGCCTAGTGAGCTACCAAGCTTGGCACCATGGGTGAACCTTTCTGGCAAAGTGCTGTTTGGTGGGCCCCATCCCAAGAACATTGCCCCATTTCCAGCTGTCTTCCCAGGAGAGGGCGGTCATGCTATGACCCATGGAAGGTTTCTGGAAGTGGTCCTCCAGTGGCCCAGTGTCTTATCACTCAAAGACTGCAGGGCATTTTAAAAGGCTTTCAGGCCCAGAAGCTGCTAAAGCCACAAGCTGTGGAATGGGGCAGGAGGGAGAGCTCACAACCAGCCCAACGGGTCCTCTGGGTTGAAGGGCCTGGCCCGGCCGCCTACCAGGTCAGCCACCATGGCAGGTGCTCATTGGCAGAGGCTCAGAAGGGGACAAGGCTGTGCAATATGCGCTGCTGTGGTTGCCTTAAGGATGGGGCCCTGAGACTGGCAGACCCCACGAAAAAGTCAGTCTTGTGGGCGTCCTGCATTGCAGGTGCCAGCTCCACTGACATCGGAGACCCTGAATGGAAGAGGAGGGGGGTACTCCCCAAGTCAGAGTTTGGTGGCTCCTTTTCTGGCTCTGTGCAGTCATGCCGGCTCAGGCGGATTTCTGCTGTTTGGGGAGTGAGTGGGGGGCAAGCAAAATGCCCCTTGAGGTCTGCATTAGTCTTGGAGAGGCAAGTGAATGCTAATGATCTTTAGAGAGGGGTGGTCAGACCACCAGGATTTCCCCCCTTCTACGCACACACAAGGTTGCTTGATCATCCAGCACCTTCTTGGTTGCTCCTGGGCATGGTGCTACATAGCCTGAGAAGTGCCTGGGCTCCTAAGACCAGCCAAGCTGCCACTTCAAGCCATGGCAAAGTTTTCTGAATGGGTGTAAAAAGGGGAAGGGCACATGGACTCCCCGGTATTTAAAAGACAAGGTTGTTCCCCCTCCCACCTCCATTCTTGAAATTTGTTTGCACCCAAAGTCTACCACTGCCTCTTTTGTGGGAGATGATTGAATGGTCCCATGAAATTTGGGGTGGGGGTGGGGAGAAATACTCAGCACACATTTACTGTGTCCGCTGATGCCCGCAAGATCATATTCTTTGCCGATAATGCCACTCCCTGAAGAGCAGGAGTGTCCATTTATTTTATTATATTTATATCCCCCATTCCCCCTTTCCTTTCAATCTTACCCTCATAACAACAATGCTATGAAATAGGTCACTCTGAGAATCAGTGACTGGCCCAAAGCCACCCAGGGAGCTCCATGGCTTAGTGGGGACTAGAACCCAGATCTCCTGAGTCCCAGTCCAGCACTCTGACCACTACCCCATGCTGGTTCTCATACCCTCTTGAGCCTCTTTCATCCAGAGGGCTGAATTCAATTTCACAAACACCCTTGAGGGTCTCATTTCAGGAGTGGGCAAAGCAAAAGTGGGTGAAGTAGGGCAACAGTTTCCAAAAATTTCAGCATATTTCACCCTGAAACTCTTACTGATAGTAACTAAGCCTTGGGAGTCAACCTTTTTGACCTGGGAAAAAACTGTGGTTGGGCAAGGGAGGTTGTCCTCCTTGGGATCTCCAAGCAGGCTGGATTCAGCCCATGGGCCTGAGGTGCAGCTTCTCTTGCGGTGTGTATAATGCAGAGCCATACCTGTGCATATTTTCAGCATCCTTGATCGTTTCAGGCAAAGGTTTTCCTTTGGTTTCAGGCAACAGCAGAACCAAGCCACCATCGATGAGGCCTATCACAGCTTCAAGCACATAGCACACACATAAGCAAAACTGGAGTCACCTTATGAGTCTGCCAGATTATGTCAATATATTAAGCATGGCATCAAGGCATATTGATGCACTTCTGGAACATGCTGGTCATGTCCGAAATGCATGGCTAAACCACGATCAAGGAAATGACAGTGCTGGCTCTCCTTTCCTCCCTTCTGCACACATCACTTCTCCATGACTCATTTTTCTCCAGAATCCTCCTTAGAGAAGAAAACTAGCTGTAGTTTCTGAGGAATCTACCCCAGTAAAAATATAGATGAAACTTATTCTTTATGTACCAACGCAGTTCCAGATGAAATAAAGCATTACTGGATGTAGGGAAAAGGATATGAGCAATCAGAGGCTGGGTCCTAAGCTGCGTTCACAGGCCTCGGGCTTCCTTACAATGACCTGAAGGTGTGTTTGTGAATTTCAAGGCCCTCGGCTCCCATATCCAGGGAACCAGTCGCCCTCCAGGCTGGTTCCATGTCTGAGGCAAGGGTGGGCAAGGTGCCCTATGGCTGGGCCCTGCTATGCTGCCGAGCCCCATCAGTGTAGATGGTGGTGGCAGCAGAGCTCCGAGCATGGCTGGAGCGCCATGTTTATCTCCCACACTGTCCTAGAAGCCCAAAGGCGCAGGGGTGTTGAGGAAACCGACATGGAACCTCAGAAGCCCCGCGGTGAGTCCAGGGTGCCAAGCACTGGCTCCACCCTGGCAGCTTTCTCGTATCTCCTGGCCCTGTCATCCTTCCCCTTCCACACTCTTAGGGTGCTGGGCAACAAGCCACTCCGACTCCCTTCCCTCCCATATTTGTGCAAATAGAAGCAAAACAAGCCACGCACTTGCAGCCAAGAGTAACATTTGATTAAACCGAGTTGTTTAGTAGAAGAGCAGAAATTTCTGACAGTGGGATTTAGGGTACTTTATTGTTTTAAGATTGGAGACCTTAAAAAAAGCCAGCAAAGGGCCAAATAAATGACGCCAGGATGTCCTGCCAAGAAACCACTGAGGAAAAGAAGGAATCCAAACCCTGATATCAAGCAAGTAACCAAGGACTGTATGTATCTGGTGAAGTAGTAGATAGATTTGGGTTATAAATCTCAATATTCCCCGGTCATAGCCTTGCCCAGATGACCACCAGATGGTTCAGACAACATTTCTGGCCATTAGCCAGAGTAGCGGGTTCTGATGGCAGTCCCAATCATCTGGAGAGGTCCCAGGTTGAGAAGGGTTGCTCAGTTGTGTAGGAGCAATCTACAAGTGCACCGTCAACTTCTGTTTAAGCTGCCCCACTGTTAGGTGTGCCTACACCTGCAGCTGTTTCCAGACAGCGCCCTAGCACAAATGTTCCACCCCCATTCATCCTAAAAGAACACAATCGGATTCTTACCAAAGACAATCAGTGGAAGTTCATGCCAAATCTCTGCCAGTCTGTAGACAACGAATGGCGTTATGATCCCTCCAATGTCACACATCGAGGAGCAGACAAGGACCCCCAAGTTCCTTTTAAAAAAAGGGATCACTGTAATCTTTAACAAATGGCAGATGCACAAGCAGAGCGAGCATCAAGACCAGGCATGGCTGGGCAGCCACCACACCCCAGGAGCGGCTGGGCTTGCTCCTCTTCTTCACAGCTGCAATCTGCATGCTCCCCTGCCTCTCGCCCTGGCCCAGATGGTGGGGTGGTGAGACGGAGAGGCAGAAGAGGTCACTGCCCTCTTGCTCCCTGCCCCTCTGCCTGTGCAGCCGGCCGCAAGGAAGAAAGAGGGAATGAGGATCAATAGCAGCCGGTGGCAGCAAGCTTTTCGGCACACTAGAAAGAACCGCAGATGCAAATGGAGACATGGAGCAGAGGGGCAGGGAGTGTCTCAGTGCCCACTGGGGCTTGGGCAAGGGATGCCCTCATATGTACCCCCAAGTATCTGGAGATGGCGCACTCACCTGAGGAAGGTTGGGTACAGTTCTGCATTGACCAAGCAGACCATCTCGTAGCACATAGTGATGCCCATCCTGCCTAAGCAGGTAACAGTCATTTTAAGCCAATAGAGATCTGAAAAGACATGGAAGGTATTCACGGGCTGGACGTTTTCCTGGCTCCTGTTTGTGCAAGCGGCACATTGACTCTCACACTCCCCACACACTGCAGTTGCAGTGTCTATTTGCAAGAGGAAGGAATGCCTAACCCCTTAGATAGTGATCAAACAAGCCTGTGTAAACACATGAGACAACCGGCACAAACCCTTCCTACTTGTGTTGTCCCCAGAGGGTCTCGCAGGAGGCAAGGCAGCCCTCCAGCTCCCACAAGGCTGCTCGCCCCAGGCTGCCCCTGCTCTTGGCATCTGTGTCATCCAGTGGCCAGACAGTCCTGCCCTGGGCTTTCTTTTCTGTGTCATCCAAGCATTGCATGTACAAGAGCAAAGATGACAGATCCAGCACCCTGCGCCAAAACCCCACTTTAATGTTTCCATTTGGCATAGACGCCTAGCACAAAATACGCCCTGCAGGGCATCAATTGTGAACGTTTCTGCAGATTTAAATGAATGCGGTTTGCTTGTTAGCGCCAGTGAGAAACTAAGAAAGGGTGGGATGGAAAAGGGTGTGTGACCCTTTCTCCTGCTAGTCATTTCTGTTCAAAATCTTCTCTCAAGCTGATTTCCCCCTCCAAAACAAAAGGTTCAACACCCCACATATTGGTTTCCCTGCAGGAAAAAGGCAGGAAACGTATAATGAGAAGAGATAGATGTTTAAAGCACCCCTCTCAGACGGCTAAGGTGCCTCATTGAAGAGCTCACCTTCGGGGATCAGGGCTGTGACGAGGCAGGCGGCACCTGCGGTCAGGTTTGCTGCGGCCCAGGGATAGCGGCGGCCTATGCGGTCGACGGTGAGCATGAGGATGAGAGCGGCTGGAAACTCGACGAGAGCAGAGTAAAAGAAGTCCAGATAAATGTTGCCGCCAGCAATTCCCACATGCATGATGAGGCCTTGATACAGGACTGAGCTTGTGAACCTAGATGTAGAACACATTGCTTTATTGTATGGAATTTAATGCCCGCTTTTCATTCTAATATCATCCCAAAGGGAGGGGTCGCTTTGCTGTGTAGGGAAAGTGCACCCGGGTCTTTTCCTGAAAGTAACGGCCATGCAAATAGCACTGTGGAAGGGGAATCCTACCAGCTCTCTGTTTCTGCGGGGATTCCCTCTGCATTGCATATGCAAGAGGGGGTGGAGCATGACCAAGGAGCGTAATCTTGGGGTGGGGGGATCATTTCTTGGGAAGGTTTTTTTAATGAGCTTTTCTCACCAAGTGTACATTAAGATGAGCGTGTGCTTCCTTATCTGTGGTGTCCTCACCAAGTCTAGAAAGGAAGGGCGTGGCTTGTCACCCACTTCTTCCTCAGGGTGCAGGTTCTAGAAGAGCAAACAAAGCAAGAGCCAGTCGCATGGGGGACGCTTTTCATATTCTGGCTTCAGGAATTTTTGCAAAACCTTCAGTGGGATTTTGTTTAAGGGCAATGTCTTTGCCAAATTTGGAATTCCCCCTAAAACTTGCATTGTTTACTGTATGTTATTCTGCATCATAACAAATGTTATATTCCGGAAAGTTATATCGTGGATTAAAAACAAGCACATGTGGCTCATGGATATAAATGAGCCAGTGCATGTGTTTGACCCTCTCACAGATTTTCCGGTCCTCTTCCTGGAAAGCTTTGCTTTCACTTAACAGTAAAATGTCCATCTTTGACCTGCTGCTTTCATCCATGAAAAGAAAAACAGTGCAGGCAGCCTTTTCTGTTCAGTCATAAGTAAACCTGCCCACAGGTTCTGGTAAATGAATAAAGGTGAAGTGCTCCTTGCTGAGTCCTGAATCCGTAAAGGCAAATGATTAAACAAAATACCAGCCCCTTTTGACTTGGCTTGCACAACATGACAACCCATCATGGGTTAGTATGCATGGTGGGTAGTTATGAGATCCCTACCCAGACCACTTCTCATTGGTTGGCTAACTTTTCAGCAACAAGCCACCCGGAGTATTTGATCCACTGTGGGTTGTCACGTCATCCAAATCCAGGAGAGCAATTTCACGGTGGGTTGCAGGGAACAGTGGCAACCGTTGCTGCTTTCTTTTGTGAGTTTGCCCTTGCTGCCACCAGAGATGACTCTTGCACTGATGCCCAGGTGGCCCTTTGGAGCCGCAGTCACTGGTCCTGCCAAATTGTGCATGTGTTCATAATTTTTTTTTTTTAAAGTGTTTGTGGTCATTTTTCACACACATGTAAGGATTCTCTTATAGCTGGCTGGTATGCCTGCTCTTGATGTGTAATCTTCTGGTGTATTTTGGCTGTCCAAGGCAGTAGGGAATTTGAGTAGGTAACATACATGGAAACTGACATAGCGAGACTGCATCTAGGCTAACTGATGCACGGCTGTCAGGAACAAATTACTGAAAGGTCAAATGAAAAGCACTGAATAAGTGGCAAAATAGGTGCATCCAAAGGGGGGCAATAGCTTCCCCTTGACAATGTGTTCTCTGGCCTTTAAGTGCCCTCCACCTTTTAACACATTCCAGACTTGCCAACTACTTCAGAAAGGGGAGCTAGAGGCTTCTCCACTTTTTGTGCTCATTTTAGATAGAGGGCCAATTTGCATGTTATGGTAACAAATTGTGAGTTAATTAACCAATAATTTACAGGGGACATGCAAAGCATGCAAGCCATTTCCAGTTTAAAAACAACAACAACAATCTACAAGCACCCAGTACATATGTAATTAGCATGGCATCCAAACCTGGACACTGCATCATTTATGGGTTAAACTATCCAGACCTAACCCATTAACAAACATTAACAACCCAAGGTTTCCAGGTTCAGATTTCATGTTAATGGTCTTTGAAAGGGGTATCAATAAGCTCCTGAGCATGGCTTGTATACTCCACATGTCCCTAAAAATCATGGTCTAATTAACTCAATATGCTGCTGTGACATGCAAATCAGGTCATGATTATTGTTGTAAACCACCCAGAGAGCTTTGGCTATGGGTGGTATTGAAATGTAATTGATGATGTCTATAAACTGATTAATGAAATAGACACCTACTTCCTGGAGCGGGTGGATTATAACACTGTAATTGGTCTGATTACCTCCATAGAAAGTGGTAGCTTTTTATGGTTTCCCTTGGCAATGCGTCTAATAATTTTCAGGGCTTTGTCACTTTTCCGTTGTGCTATCAGCCACCTTGGGGACTCTGGAAGGCACCTGTAATGCCAATGAATTAGGTATTGTTAGATGATAGCAAAATGCATCCTCTGTATAATAGTCATGGTAAACAAAGTTAGGGATAAATGAGAGTTAGCCTGAGCTAGGTGAGAGGATACACTTGGAATGCCAATCATCCCACGCCCAGTCTATGTTCCTTTTGTACTGAAACCCATGCAGTGGGTAAATGCTATCTGATGTCTAATTGTTCTTTCTCTTTTGTCACAGTTTGACGTACTTAAAATATACGAACCACTCTCACGATCAAATTCATATGGCATATCAAAACAAAGGTTGAAGGTAACAAGTGTGCTGTTCCTAGATAAATAAGGTATTGAGGATGCCCACAGCAGATGCTCATAAGTCTCCAAACCTGGGCATTATCAGCTAAATTTAGCATTGGGAGGTGGAAGGAAAGAGTCTGGGGCACCAATCTGAATCTGTGTAAATCTGTGGTCCCAGCTTTTTCCCATCCCCAGAGCTCCAGCAAAGCCCATTCCCGCCTCCCTCCAAAGACAAGTTGTAATGTTTGAGGGGCAGGAGGCTCAGCCTTTGGAGTCCCAGCTCTGAGATCACATGATCTGAGTTAGGACACAGAAGAATCCTATGGCCTCCCAGACCATGTTGGGAAGCCATAAGATTTAGCCCTTAGCTCGGTCTCTATCATTATGCAGTTGTTTTTGCTTTCTGATGCCCATATTCTGTTTATGTCCTTCTGTTTCCTTTTGGGGGCTGTAATAGAGTTTACCAGTAATAAAGCAAGAAGAAGAAATTTGGCAACGTAATGGTGAGCTGCAGCCATCTCCAGTGAGGAAGCGCGTAAGCAATGGCAGCCAGGACAAGGAGTCCAACGGAAAATGCAACTTGGTAAACAATGCCAACTGTTCTTCGGTAATTCAAGCCAACGAATTCTGTGACTTTAAAAAGATAAATACTTCATTAGCATAGGGAAAGGGTGGCTTCCCTCATAGCTTTGACCTCATAAATACAGATTTCATATAATCAAGATCCAGTAGGAGTTGTTTTTCATTAAAGCAAATGGTTGGACTATCAAAGTAGACAAAGTGATGGGGAGTATCTTCCTATAAAAATCAACAACATTTAGTAAACACCTGATTTTTTAAATTACCCTTACTACTCAGAGAGACAGAAAATATTCTAAGTTTGCGATCCTATGCACATTTAAAAGTTCCACGAAATACACAGAATTGTTTCCTAGGAGCATGAAGAATATGTAAAAAGCATCAGATACAGTATAAGTCCTGAAGGTACATCTCATCGGCTTGAGTGGAATGGTTGTAGAATATCTCAGAAAAGTTAAACATTGACTTTGCATTTGGTATCATTATCAGACGATATTGCATTCAGTAAGGTGAAACGAGGACTCCCAATGATCTTTAACTGTTCGTTCATTGCCTTTGGGGCCCTCCAAATGGTTTGGCGTATGGTTTTCATGAGTCACAGTCAGCATAACCAATAGGGAGGGAAAATGCAACTTCTAGGGGAAAGTAAGTGGAGGACCACAAGTTGTCCACCCACTTAAATTAACACGTATATGACCAAAACCTGAAGGTTGGTATCTTCTTGAGATGCTAAAGCAGGTAAAGGCATTGCATAAGAGAATAAAATTGCCACTGCCAGAAGGAAATATTTAATGTTTTATTTTTTTAGTTCCTAGTTCAGTGAGCGAGTCGGACCAGTGCAGCCATTTACAGAGTGGCCTATGAATTCACAACTTCTTCGTCTGCATTTTGCCCCATTGATCCCACAATGAGGCTCACACCTGAGCAACCAAACATAGGATCCATGGCTAGTGGCAAATTTAGAAGTGGGATGTCCCTTCGTGCTAGTCAAAGCCACACCCCCATCAAAGCCACCCCCATCAGAATCGCATCCCCAAGAAACCACTTCCAGCCTGCTCTGCAAAAAGAAGTGAAACTTAGCTGCGACAACTGACACTTAACTACTTCCTTGCAAAAAATAAATTTGAGCTTCCTGTGATCCTGAAGCCACTTTCTGCCTGTTCAGTCCTTCCCAACTGAAGGAAAGGCATGAATAACCAGGATTGGGAGCAGAAGTCAGGGGGATAGGAGGTAGTTTTTGGAGCAGCAAAGGCAAGCTGACCACATGTTGCTGAGGAGCATTGGCTGGCCATGAGGGAAAGGGTCACAGAAAACACATGTGCATACCTGGCAGGCCTCTCTACATAGGGACTTCCCAGGAACTGCTGGGAACTGCCAAAAAAAATCCCGTTCTTAACCCGTTAAATTCAGGACTCCAACACAGTGGCAGCTGCCAGCCACAAACCTAGAAAATTAACTCTTTTGAGAGATGGTGGGGGAGGGAAAGGGACCCTGGCTTCAGGGATCCAGAGATCCACCTAAGGCCCCCCTCCAAAATAAGTGGGGGTGCTCTGACCCCCCCAAGGGGCCCCCTCCACTACACTTTCACATAGAATTGTACTTTAGGTTTAATTCCATGTTCCCTGCATTCTCTGCCGAGACTTCCACCTATCTTAGTTGTAGTAGAAGAAAACTATTGGATCTTGGAACAGGTTGCTTTAATTCCCTGAAGATGCTACCATAAAGAGCCTTACTCAGGATGTAGCCTGTCAACCAGCCCCCTTTGCTGACCAGTCCTTGTATCAGCCGGAAAGCCACAGCCCAGGAGTAGCTCGGAGCGACAGCCAGGAGAACGCCTGAGACGGAATTGATAAGGATGGTGACTAACAGGCACAGTTTACGGCCAAACCTATGGAGAAGAATAACACCAGCATTACTATACAGATAGGAGAGAGCAGGGACACTGTAACGGATGCTATGGAAATGGAAAGGATAAAAAGGTGAATTACTTTGCTACTAGATGCAGCCATTATGGGATGAAACCAAGCCTGCCTTAAAAGTCCTTAAGTGAGGGTGCCTTCTGACACGAGACCATAGGATTCTTGAGGGTCTGAGTGCGGGGGTCCTCCAAGCCACACCAGCTGCTTCCCAAGCCCCATCGACCTCAGACAGGGAAGGGATCATGCTGGAGAGTGAGGAGAGGAGGAAGCTGAGGCCAGGGGCCAATTCCAGCAGGTGTCCAGCCTTCTTCCTCCCCATCCCTAGTACTAAATCTAGGCAGCCCAAAATGGCCATATAGATCAGTGGTTTTCAACCATCCATCTGTGGATCAGCACTGGTCCACCAGAGATTTCCTGCTAGTCCATGGGAAGGCCACATCCCATTCTCTGCAGACTGGTGTGGGGGGTGGCTGTGATCGACCACCTCTTCCTTGGTTGCCATCATGTTTCCGGGGGGTGTGCTGGTGCCCCCCAGGGGGGGGGGTGGCTGTGAAGAGAAGACACAGCTGGTGGAACGGGGAGCCACACTGTGCCAATTTTGGTTTTTTGTTCTGTTGTTGGCATTTTTTGTTGCTTGGTTTCTGCCTGCTTTGGAGAATTTTCATTTTTTGGTATTATGCTTGGAAACTAATACAAAGACTACTGTATTATGGGTATGGTGCTTTTTGCTTCTGCCTCAGTGGTCCCCGAGGTGGTTTTCCTGGTTTTGCCAGTGCCCAGCTGTGGAAAGGTTGACAACCACTGCTCTAGATAAGCTGCAGGGCACAAGGCAAAGCAGCAGCCAGGATCCTCCTGTGCCTTGTGCTGAATCCCTGGAGGCCTCCAAATTCAGGGGCTTCTGAGCATCTGCTGCGAGGACAACTGGATTGCCCCCAAAGCAAAAGAATCCCTTTCCATATCTCCATCCATTCACTGTCTAAAACAAAGGAAAATGCTCTACAAAACAGCTACACCTGCTTGATTGGATTATTGTCGCCTCATAAGTCACCCCTGCAGAATTAATTTTCTTCTCCCTGTTTCTTTGCTCTAACAAACCCATGCTTGCTGGTTTTCAGAAGGCAACTGAGGGCGGAATGTGGCCTCCCCACCAACACCTGGTTTGGCATGTTCTGGCCATTGGGAGCTCCCTCCTAGGTTTGGTAAAATAGTTTTCAGAATTGAAGGTGATATGATAGAGGAAACCCTGTTTCTAGTGTCCCTCTGGCAGCTTTCTTGAAACAGCTTTCTTAAAACTCAGCTTTCTCCTTAAGCTTAGTTCTTTGTATGAAAACTGTCCCAGCTGAGAAGCCTCCACACAAAGAGTTCCTAGTAAAACTCATGACGCAAATATTGCATCTTGTTCTCCTTTTTCTGTAATACAAGAAAAAATAGAAGCACGAAGATCTGGGAGGATTATGAGAGACAACTTGTAATTCCTGAATGAGGCACGGCAATCACATGATAAAAGCATCATTTCTGGAAGTCCCTCAGTGGACTCACTGACTCTAAACTAAGCCTGCTGTTCATGGCAAAAGCAGAGAAGTGCTAAAATGTCATCTGAGGCCACCAGGCAAAATGGGAGGGTGGTCACTTCCTAGCTACACAGCTGAGATCTTGCACCAGTGCAAATCTTTTGACTATCTCAATATATTAGTAAAAGGTAAAGGTTTCCCCATGACATTAAAATCCAGTCATGTCTGACTCTTGGGGGCGGTGCTCATCTCCATTTCCTAGCCGAGGGAGCCAGTGTTTGTCTGCAGACAGTCTCCGTGGTCATGTGGCCGGCATGACTAAGCACCGTGGCACCTTTTTACTACTTGCATTTGCATGCTTTCGAACTGCAAGGTTGGCAGGAGCTGGGATGGAGCAACGAGAGCTCACCCCGTTGTGCAGATTTGAACCAGTGACCTTTTGATCAACCAGCCCAGCAGCTCAGTAGTTTAAACCACTGCACCACCCGCATCCCGTTTCTCAATATATTATTACATTACCTTTATAGCCTGGGTTTTGCCCCTCGTGAGGAAGCCAAGCCAGCTTACATTGTCATCCCCCACTGCATTTTATCCTCACAACAACAACCCTGTGAGGTAGGCTGGGCTGAGGGTAAGTGACTAGTCCAAAGTCACCCACTTGAGCTTCAGGACAGAGCCTGTACCTTGCAAGTCTCCAGCCACACACTGCACCACACTGACTCGTATCAAAATTCAATCGAAATGGCTATTTTCCCAGCAAAAATATCGCCCATTCAGGACTTTATTCCTAATGAAGGGATAGCAAATACCCACCTGTCTGCCATGTACCCGATGCTTATGGAACCCACGAAGAACCCCACATTCACACATGATTGAAACAGATCCAATTTCCAGGCATCCCCACACACCAGGTTGAACTGAAAAGAAACACATCCAGATCAAAGAAAATACATTAAAATATATCCCTGTCATTCTGTTATCACCCCCAATGATAGTTTTCTTCCTTTGTTTGAAAAGGTGTTAGGAAAAAAAAGCTTGGAGTTAGATAATATTTCAGTGAGGCTTCTCTAAGCATGCCTAAGTCAGGATGCAACCCATTCTCCTGTAATTCCAGCATCATTCTGAGGGTTCTTTGCTTCTAAAGAACCTGCCATTTTTCTCAAATCAATCCCACATTTCTCAAATCACCCTTCTTGGAACATAGCTGAGTACTCCCCAAAGCAAGCATCATTTCTCAATCTGGAGTATCAGAGAATATACAAAACATTTATATATCACTTTATACCAGTGTTAGTATCGAAGGGTGTGTGTGTTATTGCATATAATAGCAGTAAATGAACGAGAAACAAAAAGCCTTCCCAAGACTTGCAGCTAAAAACAATGGCTTGGTCCAGACTGAATTATATTTAGATCAATGGAATTTAATAAGTCATTATTCACTTTTCATACAAATTCATGATTTCACTTTTGATACAAATTTGAAAGGAGACTAAGATCAGCTAAACCTGGCCCCACCATTTACATTAATGGCAGTGTTGAAAAACACCACTAGAGGTTGTTTTAGGGAACGATTCTATGGTCTCCCAACATTGTTGTGGGTGAGGGGGAATATGAGTTCTGGAGTCTCAGCACAGAGGTCCTGTGACTCCAAAAGCTCAGTCCCCACCTATCCCCCTGTGTGGGCTGCCTCACCGAGACTTATTTATTTATTAGATTTAAATCCAGCTTTTAAAAAAACATTGAACTCAATGTGGTTTACATCATTCTCCTCCTCCTGCTCCTCTTATCCCCCCAATGAGAACCCTGTGAGCTAGGCTGGGCTGGGAGTCTGTGACTGGCCCAGAGTCACCCAGTTGGCTCCATGACTGAGGGGAGGGTCTAGAATCCACCTGAGTCCCAACCTCATGCTCTTAACCACCACACCACACTGGGATGTATTGCTGTATATTGACATTGTTTAGTCTGAGTGAGCTCTTAAGGGTCCCCCAACTCTGGGAATGTGTCTGTAAAAAGATATTGCTACAGTGGGTACAAATGGCTGGGCAAGTTTATCCAAAAAAACTAAAGGGGAAGGTAATAATAAGTTGCCAAGTGAAAGGGAGTTTTAAAAAATCCAAGATGCAGGAAGGAAAATATTTCTTTGGTCCAATGCATTTTGGAAAAAAATATTTGCAAATATTTGGAAAAAATATTTGCAAAAAAATGTTATGGGCAAAAGAAACATGTTTTCTTCAGACACCTGAGATTTTTCATTCTTTCATTTGGCATATCCTCAGAGATAGCCATAGGTAGGCTCCCCCCTCCCATGGAAAGTGTTAATTCAGAGGTCTGGCTAGAAGCAATCAATGTGAATAGTAGCCAGTTTGTGCTAGGACTGAGCTTGGAGCTGGAGCTGAAAAAGAGGCAAGAGCTAAGTGCTGAAACCTTGAAATGTCTCACCCCTTGAAGTGGGGGGGATGTGCGTAACGGTGCTGCCTGCTAGGAAGTGACCAATAATGTATGTAACAGTTCTTACCTCGCTCACAATGGAAGATCCTGGAGAGTCATAAAGCCAACCATCTTGGCATGCAATAAGGGGAATGCTGCTAACGTTTGTTTCCGGGGTGAAAAAGTTCAGTGGATTTGTGCAGTTCAGCTCGGTGGTGTTCCACTCCACATCGTATCTCTTGCACTGACCCGTGAAGGTGTCTCCATGGGTTTCTCTCTGGGGAACTGTGTAATTCAGTTCCTCCACAAGATTCCAGCCGCATCTGTCTCTTAGCTCGGCAACTCCAGGACTCCGGCAGTAGTGCTCTGGTATAAAACCTAGGAAGACGATGCCTACATAGATGGGTGTGAAGGCAGCAGAAAGCAAGCACAGGACAAAAAATGCCCTTTTCTGGTACAAGTCAAACTCCCCAATATGCTCCAAAATGTCATCTAATGTTGGCATCCTTGCACTTGAAGCAACTCATTGAAAAGAAAAGCCTTGTGTGCATCTTCCAGCTTTTTGTTGGCACGGAAACTATTTAAAGTAGCAGTACCCGATCTGACCAAAAGTCACCATGGAGTAATTAATTCACTTTGTAAATTGACAAGCCATGCATTACAGCCTGAATTTCTAATGCGCTATTTCACACCATTCAGGAATCTCATGTCCCACACATTCTGTGAGTCGCTTGGCTGATTCCATGTTTTCTAGCCTTGGAACCAAGACCAGAGAGATTATGGCGTCTGGGGCACATGTGCTCTTGGAGGACCTCCGCAAGGCATCCTTTATGTGTGGGGCTCCGATGAAGAATGAGAGAGGACTGGGACCATCAGTATGGCCAAGGGCAGATGCAGGGAGCCCCTCACTTTGGGACCCCCCCCCCCACAACAGTCCTGATTGGAACATTATAATTATGTCTGCAAGTGTTGATCAGGTTTAGACCATGGCATACAGATCATATCATACTTTTGTAACATACCAAACACTTATCCAATGCAACCAAACTTCAGGGCCATTTCTTGCCATTGGTTCTGTATTGGGTAGTTGCAACTTTAGTTTTCATGTACTGCAAGCCACTTGAGGGCACCTGCTTTCATGGGGCAAGTCCCAGATTCAATTTCTTGCATCTCCAACAATGACCGGAGAGCAGGGCTAATCTTCACTAGAGTCTTTTCCATGGATCAGGGAGTGCTGTCAGCGTGCAGCGCTCATAAATACCACTGCTGGAACACATGCTAATGATTACAGGACAGTTTCCGCTGTGCTGAGAAGATGATCTTGTGTGTGTGTGTGTGTGTGTGTGTGTGTGTGTGTCTCATTAATGCAGTTGTGGGAGAAGAGAGGATGGAAAGGTGATGCATGCAGGAAATAACCCTTTAAGATTCAATTTAAAAAATCTATGAAGCTTATGAGCATGTTTTCTTATGTGAAGGAACATAGATTTCATAGGAATAAAAACTATTGAAGAAAATGCAATCTACGTATGCATAAGCATCTTTCTTATTTATTGATTGGTTGGTTGGTTGGTTTAGTCACAAAGTCGTGCCTGACCCATCACAACCCCATGGACAACAGTTCTCCAGGCTCTCCTGTCCTCCACCATCCCTCGGAGTCCACCCAAGCCCACCCCCACTGCCCCAGTGACTCCATCCAGCATAAGCATCTATATCAGCTGCTTTATCCTTGAGGTAAGAAAATGAAAAGGACAAAAGAGAAAATTAGAAGACTTGAGAAATTTCAATGTTTACTTTATCAAAAGTAGGAGGGAAGGAGGGAAAGAAGCAGCATGGCATTTACTCTCCAGTTCACTGAGCAAGGCAGAGAGAGAGAGAGAGAGAGAGAGAGAGAGAGAGAGAGAGAGAGAGATACACGGAGTGATGGTGTTGGAGGCCAGCAGGGCAGTTTAGCAAACACGAAAAGCCAGTGTGGTGTGGTGGTTAAGAGTGCAGGCCTGGGACTCAGGTGATCCAGATTCTAGTCCACACTCAGCCATGGAGCTCCCTGGGTGACTTGGGTCAGTCACAGACTCTCAGCCCTCACAGGGATGTTCTCATGAGGGTGAGATTAAGGAGGAGGGGAATTATATGTAAGCTGTTCTGTGGTCCTTGGAAGCAATAGGAAAGGCAACATATAACTAAGTTGTGATATATCTGGTCTAAAGAAACCCAGAGTATACTGGCAAACATAGCATGAGAAGGCTGGTTTGGAATGTGTTTCATGTGACCCACCAGGGACTCAGACAGTACAATAGCAAGAATATCCCTCATGTAGGCTCCCCACCACCACCACCACCCAAAGCTCTGCTCCACAACCCTGGAGTACTGTTTCTAATTGGTGCAGAGCAGCCTCCCCGAACTTGGTGCCTTCCAGACAGCTTGGAGTTCAACTCCCATTTTCATGGCAACAGTCAGGAATGTTGAGATTTATTGTCCAAACAGCTGAAAGGCAGGAAGTTGCAGAAGGCTAGTGCAGATGATACAGAGTTAGCTGGAACATAGTTTGGTAGCTTCTGATGTTAAGCAGCTTCATCAGGGCCACCATACATTGAGTAGTCATGACAATAGTCTGCAAGCTGTCGGTCCATGTGGGCTCCAATCCTTGTAGCACCAGCATACGCACAATTAGCTTAACATGTGGAAGTGCTACCAAAGATGGCTTAAAGTCAGGAGTGTCATGTGACAAGCTTAATTCAGGTTGAAGCATTATCAACCCTGGTGGTGGACCAGATTTCCTGGGGTACATTTTTTTAATGCGAAACCTCAGAGAAATGACAAAGCGGGCTAAAAGGTACTCGAAATGGGCTGGAGTAAAGCAACAACCATTTTGATAAGGAATCTGAACCAAGAGGATGGGGACAAAAGACAAAAGTGAACTTGTTTTCTTCTTCCACTAGGTTCTTCCTATAACTACTCCCAACACAACTGTTTGGTTTTGAGGTAGCAGCGGAAGTGTGTTTTCTGCAGTACTTGCTTTGTAACAGTTCCATGTTGAAACTACACAGCAATAACATACTAGATAAATATAGTTCCTACTCTAAAAGAATGAACTTTTTCTTTTTGGCATATTAGAATTCTATCCTGTGCTACTCTTGAGTATTGTGTTTCTTCTCTAGTCTTTGGCAGATATCTTTCTAAACATTGCTCTCTGGGATCCTGTAGTGTAGTGGTTAAGAGCACGGGACTGGGACTCAGAGGATCCGGGTTCTAGTCCCCGCTCGGCCATGGAGCCAACTGGGTGACTTTGGGCCAGTCACAGCCTCTCAGCCCAACCTACCTCACAGGGTTGTTGTTGTGGGGATAAGATGGAGGAGGAGAGAAGATGTAAGCTGCCTTGAGCCCTTTGTAGGAAAAAGGCAGGATATAAATCGCACTATAAATAAAATAAAATAAATCCTTAAACAGAGATGCCAAAGATTCAACTGGAACATTTATAGGTGCAATTTCCCCCAACTATTAAACTATGGCCATGCCTTGTAAGCGGAGGACAAATTCTTGAAGGTCCAAAATCCAAATGCTTGCAGGCATTCTGTTGATCTACGCCACCCCAAAGGAACTGCAGTCAGGACACCAAAGATTATTCTGACAAAGGAGTGTTGAAGAACATCAACATGGAAACTCCTTCCTCAGAGGAGTAAATAAATGTGTAGGTGGGAACTCCATAAACCTGGGGTGCAGAACCTCAGAGCTGGAGGCCAAATCTATCCTACCTGGTGTCCCAGTATAGCTCTCAGGGGTTCACCAGATTGCTAGACCCCCTTTCCATGGGGGAGGGTCTCCTTTCCCCTAGTTTCCAATTATTTGGCCATGTTGGCTTCTGTGCCATTTCCCCCCGCCCATTATATAAAGTTGAAATGACTTCCCTAACCTTTAAGATCCAAAATGTAGTGGTATATTGTGATATTTGGTCCCACCCTGGTTGTCTTTGGCCCTAGTCACTGTGGGTATGTGTCCCTCTGCACAAAGAAATGCAGCCCACAGACTGCAAGAGGTTCTGCACCCTGACTTAGCTAGTGGAATGCCAGTTTTAAACTAAACTATGGTGTTGTCTTTTGTATTTTTGGCTCCATCCCTTTTCCTGCAGCCCCATCAACCATTAAGATATATGTCTGAGAGTTTCTCAGAAATGGAATTCAGTCCAAAGAGGTTCTTTCTATACCCCTGACATCAACACTCAGTTTTGAACTGGACCATCCACAGTTGAGAAATGGCTATGGTGCATCCACATTGCAGTTTCAAGGCATGGGAGCAATCCTGGAAATGTCCATTTCTAATGCCTAATGGTGGGGGGCTTAAAGCTTAAGCGCCTCAGATGGCCTTCCAGGGCAGTGTGCCATAGTCAGCAGGTCTAGGTGGGCTAGCTCTGCTATAGACACTCTTGCCAGTGTTTCAGGAGATCAGGAGTGGGGCACAGTCCCCCGATGTGTTGCATGGTGTAAGCTGGAGGTGTTCTAAAATGTGCAAATTGCCTGAAGTGTAGCCAGCTATCTGCTACGCCGATCGACTCCTTTAAGAGAAACAGCAATGACCTAGGAGGCCCTTTCCTGGGCAGCTGGCTCCGGAAAGCATGCTGAGGGAATGAACAGTTCAGTCCTGTGTTCCATGTAAATAAATGTTGCTGCTCTGATGTTTGTTGTTCTACCTCACTCTTGGTCTCAACTTCTGAAGCAGAGGACAATGTAAGATTTCCGGGGGAAATGGATGCCTCAGGCAAAAGCTACACATGACAAGCATAGTTCAGCACCACTTCTTTATTTCTGTTTGACAAAATGCAGCTGTAGAAGCTGCAAATGAAAGAGGGCTCATAAAACTTTTCATTTGCTGCCTTCGTCCTGCCCCCCCCCCCCCATGCTTTTCACCCCTCAAGTGATATCCCAGGATGGGCAGAAAGTAGATCTCCAGATGTTTTGGACTGACTATTGGCCCTTTTGGCATGGGCTTCTGGAAACTGAAATCAAAAACACCTAGAGACCTACTTTTTGCTTTTTCATTTTTGCTTGAAAAATTCTGGAAGTGGATTGGGCGGGCTGGCTGGTGCCCTGAACTGGAACACTCCAAAATGCAACATTTTCTTACAACTTTCCCTTGTAATCCATAGTCAGGTGGAAAGAGTTGGAAGGACGGCCTGGAAAATGAGAGGTGAAGGCTGCATGGGAGGGTTAGCACAGAGGCATCATAAATGGATGCAACAACATGGAGCTGGAATGGGAGCAGGAAGGAAAATTAGGAGCAAAGATGGAGACAGGATGGTGCAGCTGAGACTTCCTAGGAGGCAGAAGGGAGGAGAGGACAAGACACACCAGAGGGCACTGACTAAGAAATGTTCCGTGGCAGAAGCACTACGGCAATTTCATCAAAAGATCAGAGGAATGGTCCTGTCTTCATTTGCTGTTGGATGAGCATCCCGTAGCTCATCAGCATGTAATATTTATCCATTGTAAAACTTGCCCCAGCTGGAAATATCAC